TGGAGCTTTTTGAAACAGAGACTCATAAGGGGATTTATGATTAAGAGACCTTTTTGGCATGCGGTTGATCAGGAAATTTGCAGTAGCCAACGCCTCAACCCAAAATTTTGCTGGAAGATTGGCTGTGCAAAGGAGTGTGACAAGGGTTTCAACCAAGTGACGGTGCTTTCTTTCAGCAACACCATTTTGTTCAGGAGTGTAAGGACAAGATTTTTGATGGAGAATTCCCAAACTTTGTAAAAACAACCCAAACTTTTTATTGACATATTCCCTCCCATTATCTGTTCGAAATAGCTTAAGAGATGCATTGAACTGAGTTTGAACCATAGATTGGAAACTAAGAAAAACATCAAATGCATCAGATTTATTTTTAAGAGGGTACAACCAGCAAAACTTGGTATAGTCATCAATAAAATTAATATAAAAATGATAACCTCCAAAGGAGGGTACAGAAGTAGGTCCCCATACATCAGAGTGAATAAGTTCAAACGGAGCAGATGTTTTAGTGTCAGACACTGGGAAGGGGAGTTTATGAGACTTGGCAATAGAACAAGAATTACAATGATCAAGATGTTGAAATCTAAAACCTAATTGAGACAATAAAGACTTTGTGACTTGAGCTGAGGGATGACCAAGACGGCAGTGCCATTGATACGGAGTGACTTTGACAGAGTTGACCACCAGAGAAGAGGGAGATGCCGGTATGGAGTACAAACCACGCTCACAAGGGCCCTTGAAAAGAACTTGGTTGGTGAGATTGTCCCGAATCGTAAAATCCTTAGAGGTAAAAAGAAGAGAACAATTGTTATCTTTAGTAAATTGATGGACAGAAAGAAGATGAGAATTAATGTGAGGGGAATGGAGAAGGTTGGTTAAGGTAAAAGTGTGGAGAGGGGTGGTGAGTATACCTGAACTTGTATGGTCAATGGGATAGGTGTTACTTCCTGCAGTTGTGATGGAATTGGTGCCATGGTACGGAGTTAGAGTATGTAGCCGAGACAAATCAGGTGTGACATGGGTGTTTGCTCCAGTGTCCAGATGCCAGTTCGAACTAGATTCAGTGGATTGATTTGCATAAAACGCCTGCGGAGGACCAGTGTAGGATTCATCGTAGCGGTGCCAACAATTCCAAACCGCATGACCGGGCTTCCCACATAATTGACAAGTGACGGATGCCCCTCGTCCGCCACCTCTGCCACGCGCATCGTCGCGGTATGGCTGTTGCCGGCCACCCCTGCCAGCTGGGTTACCACCACGGTACGGCCCTCCTCGGCCTCGTGGTGGCCCACGGCCACGCCCTCGTCCAGCGCCTCGTCCGGAATGTGTGAAAAGAGCATTATGAATGTCGACAGACGAGGTAGAACCAGAGTCACCCAGAGATAATTTTTTCTCAAAGGATAAGTTCAATTCCTCAGAAAGCAACCAAGAGGAGACCTGATTAAAGGTGACTGTGGCGATGTTGGTGCGAATATTTTGCTTGAGGGAGGCATAGTCAGCCGGTAGACCTCGAAGAACACACAGAATAATATCTTGTTCAGAGATGTCCTCATGAGCCAACTTGAGAGACGACACAATGGTGAGAACAGTGTCCAAATATGTTTGCATGGAATCGGTCCCCTTACTAACACCATGTAAACGCTCCTTCAACTGAAAAATATGAGTGCGTGAAAGAGAATTGTACCGTTGCTCTAGATGATTCCATATTGCAGCCGCGGTGGGAAGAGCGTGAATATGGGTTTGAACCGTAGGGGAAACAATAGCGAGGAGACAGGCCCGAATCTGAGCGTCAACAATATGCCATGATTCATAGGCAGAATTGGGCTTCATAACCGGGGGTTCATCCTTCCCCGGTGCCGCAGCTTTCTCATCGAGAATAAGAGGCGGAGGTGATGGTTCAGATCCATCCACATAACCGAGAAGACGATGAGCGAGGAGATTTGCACGGACGGTGGCCGACCAAGAGGGATAATTGGTGTCATCAAGCTTGACCGGAGTTAGGGATTGAAGATTCCGGACAAACAACTTGAGTCCCGTAGGAAGACGATCCATCGGATCAGAGGATACAGGAGCCATGGCTGTGCACGGCTTGAACATAGGAGAAGAAATCGGCAGTGCCGAAATTTTTTTTCTTCGATGATTAACGCAGCAAAGGGGAGAGACACGGATCTTTGAGCTCTGATACCATGTTGATTTATGAATTCACTCTTAAGGAATAATTGTGTACATGGATGTTTATATAGGTGAGGATCCCTACATGGACTAGGATTCACCAAATATGTAAACTAACATAAATACAATTCTACTATAACTAGACTTCTTTCCATATATGTCTAACAGTTATTGACTCTATTATAAGATAATATCTATTCATACTATTCTCAATCTAATAACGCACAAAGAGTCAATGCTTCGCCTTGGGGCTTACTTTTACTCAAGGCAGGGGAGAAGTTCTCCCTAAAAGGAGATTTATTATTTACACTAATAATTACTCATCCCGTCCCAAAAAAATGTGCCCATTTTACCCCGAGCACAGTATTTAATAAAGAAACAACTGGATAGTTGAGATTTACGGAGTATGTAATACGGAGTAAAAGAAAGCAAGCACTTCTAATTTTAAACGGATGAACTTCAAACTTCTAATTTAATCACACAAAATTTACAAATTTCCAAACTCTTTATGATATATTCGGGTTGGTCAAACCAGAATTACAATTTAAAAAATTATGGAGATGCTGCCAGAGGGGGGAGTATTATTTAATCAAGCACAATCATACATTCATACCCCATGTACGTCTCCTCATAATTATATATATGGAGTACATAATTATTAGTGAACATAATAAATCTTCACAATTTATCATTCCAATTCAATACATATCTGTATGTATATGTTTGTGTGTATATATATACACACACACACATAAACACACACACACATATAGAGAGACACATTAATTCATGCATGCACATATTTAAATGTATATACACACACTTGCAAATATATAAAGTCTAGGGCAGGGGTAAAAATGTCCAAGAAATCTTTGCGCAGGAGAAATGATGATATGGGAGAGCTTGATGTGTTTGAGGCTGCAAAATATTTTTCAGACTCCAATGAAGTTTCAACATCTGCTCACAAGAATCATCTCAATGGGAGGGCATGGGGAGGAGGAGGAGGAAGAAGGAGCCTAGACATCACCATGCAAATGCGAAAGTCGCTCCAGGGGAAGAAATCGTGGGTGGTGGGGGACGTCGAGCTGTTGGACAAGAAGCAGCCAAGCTCTCCAGGAGGAAAGCTCGCCAGCTTCCTCAACTCTCTCTTCAACCAAACGAGGAAGAAGTGGAAAGCAGGGAAAGAGGATCATGAAGATGAAGATGATGATGATGATGGGAGCCCAGGAGGAGGTAGGAGTAGTAGAAGAAGAAGATGGTTGGGGGTAAAAAACCCCAGACCTTCTTCTTCTTCTACTACTGCTACTACTATGGGTACTAATCTTTCTTCGGGTTGCGGATTTAGAACCCCTCCTCCCACTTACACATATGCCCCTACAAAATCCTACATTTTCTCAAATCTCCATAGTGAACAAGTCACTAATGGTCCCAAAAACCACAAGGGTATATCTTGCTTCGTGAAGAACGCGTTCAGGTCTAATTCAACCCGAAAGGAGAAACATCCGGGGAAGATAAGAACAAAGATGAACGATGAGGACGATGAAGATGATGATGATTATAGTGATACTAGCTCTGATCTGTTTGATTTACCAAGCAGTGAACTGATGAAGGGTTTGTACTCCTCAAGTGGTTTGCCAGTTTACCAAACTACCCAAATGGATTGCATCAAGAAGGGCAATGATAATGCACCAATTTGATAGATATGGTTGGGGAGTTTTTGGGAATATAATTTTCCTTTTATCCTGAGTGTGCTTTGGCCTTTTGGTTTTGGTTTGGTTTATTTTCCAACTCTTAAGGTTAGTGCATTTATTTTCCTTTTATCCTGAGTGTGCTATATGCTTTCAACATGATTGTTTAGTAAATTAAATTAATTGTTAAAAAACAATATTAAAAAATGGAAGGGAAAGAGAAGGGGAACCACACCCCAAAGGGGTAAAAAAGGAAAACTGATGTGGCACTGAGTTGGCAGTTGAGTTGGCAGTTGGGATAGATGGAAACCATACCCCATGGCAATTCAAATAGACACTACCTTGTTGGTAATACATTTAAATCAATAACGTTAAAGTATGACTCACTCACATGTATTTTTTTCACTCGTATTTATTACGGAGTAGTACAAGTTATAAAAAACATATCATTGAAAGTAGAGATATTTGAATTTAAAAAAAAAACCTTGGGATATGATCCACATTATGATTTTCATTCCCTTTTATTTTTACCTCTCTGGAAATGGTCTTAGATTCTATTATTATATCCTTTTACTTTTATTCATGTCTTTGACAGTAAAACATAAATTTTGACTCCAAAGGTGCACTACTTATGTTTGTTTGTCTTGGCTTTTGTTTACTTTCACTGCTTTTGGCACTATTCATGATGATATTCTGCTGGACAAAAATGATGGTTTCATTACTTTAGTAGTGGTTTAAAATCATTGCTGTGCCTCAAAATTAAAGGCCAAATCAGTGCATCTATCACTCTCCCTAAATTTGTCCCAAATTCTAATCGATATAATTTTACGGACCCATTAGGTCTGTAAAATCGTGTTTCAAACATATTTTACTTGTACATTTCTATTAGCCCAAAGCAAAAGGAGAAGTATGTTAAGTTGGCATTAAAAATTCATAAGAACTTGCACATAAAACACATCCTTTCCTCTTCTCATTTTCATTAACTTTCACCTCTTGGAAGCTAAATTGTACAAGTTTCCGTTAACGGATGAATGGACAATCCATAGTGTCAAACTAACACAATCCGTGCGGTAACTTTTGATGAAAATCAGTAGATGAATTTATATCCCTTCTACCCGTAAGCGCAATGAATTTATCCCAAAACACCAAAAGAGGGCATTTATGAATCAAATCAGACCCATTGTAAGCCTCTTTCAAGAAAACAGTACTCTTTGCACCTTTATTAGTAATGTAAAACATACCATGGTGTTTGATCAAGCAAAGCAGCAGTTTGGCTGGCAATCGGTACTCAGAATGAAAAGCGTCGATCTGAGCGGAGGTCAACCGCTTCTCCATGGTCAAACTCAGCAGTTCATGAAGCACCCCCACCACTCTCTTTCGGGCCTTCGGATCAGAGATGTCAAACCTTCTTGCATTCAAGTAAGGAGATGGGAATTCCATCTTCTGCCATTTCCCAACTTCCTCAAGGTAACTCTTGTTTGGCCTGAAACCAGGTGGGAAACTCAAACGAAACGCAAACGGGCCATAAAAATCCATGTCCTTGGATGTTCTTGCCGGGTTCTTGAACACCAAACCCTTCTCCCTGGCAGTAACAGCCAATGAGGAATCCCAATTCTCCAAGTGCAGATATTCTCTGCCATTAAAAGGCTTCACAAGGAAAAACTCTGGGTATTTTGAGATCAAAGAGTCCTTGTAATCGCGAGGTAACCCCAGTTCATCTTGAATGAAATCAATGCTTTCTAAAGGTACCCTACAATCAACAGATAACATCAACAATTTGCGCAAGTTCTTGACCAGAATGGGTTCCATTTCCAGTCTCACTTTCCCTTCTTCACCTGCAATTTCTCTAGCTTTTTTGCTCAGCATAACAGCAGGGGGACTTCCATTATCACTACTGACATAGAAAATCATAGGGTACCTTTCGATGGCATTTATGTAATTCCATTTCTGAACGAACCCTACTTCCTTCTCGAGGTCTCTGAGAAGGAGGCACTGGTTTCTCTGAGATTCGATTATGGATTTTAGTCTGAGAATCAGCGCCGGCTTCTTCTGGAGATCCATTACTCGGTCCAATTCCCGAACTCTGTGGTAAATTTTCTTCTTCGGTCGCCTTCCGCCACTGGATTTAGACATGGTTTGGAGCAACATGTGACCCGATTTCCTAAATGAAATTTGGGCTGAATCTTTCAGAGATTTGTTTTGAATCATGGTTACAGCGTGGTTTTCGGAGAGGGGGTCAATCAGACCCGCCGCCGGCCGCCGGGGGTTGTGGGTTCGGAAGAAGGCGGCAATGCGGAGTTGATGGGCTGGTTGCAGTGGCAGTGCGTTATTGGGCTCATTTTGAAATGGGGGAGTGGTTTTTGAAAATAATAGGGCATTAGGGCCTGCCTGCCTTTGTGAGATAGCCCATTTTTGTTTTCGGGTTATAGAATTGATTTAAATAAATTTTGGGTAAGGGCACTTGCAAATTGCAATGGGAGAATTCATAAGAATATTTCTTCCTAGATTCTCTATACGTTTTGCCTTATTACAACATGTTTTTAGAAACAAGATTTGCTCCAAAATATAATACTCCAAAGCTGACTTTAGTGGCAATGAAATTTGTCCACAAGAAGCAAAAATTAAAGAATATTTCTGCAATATGTCTTTTTCAAACATGTTCTTATATAATTTTAATCTCTTTAAACTTCAGATAATTAATCCTAATTTAGTTGCTAGTAAGCAAATTCGAATGTCGTACATCAATCAACAAAGTGCATCACCAATTAATCAACCTCTTCATCAATCTATAACATTTTCATCAAGCTCCAACGAGTATATTGATGAGTGTGTGATCAACACATTCTGAATCTGACACATAGTGTTAATTGATGCAATATTTTAAAAAGTTCAGGGGATATTAGTTCAAATTTTAAAGTTCGGAGAGAATCTGTACAATTTTTGAAAAATTCATGGGTAAACAATGCAAAAACTCTATTTATTGAAATTAAGGTAATTATGAATTTCTCTCCTGACTTTAGTGGTAAGAAGTTTACTCTTCAGAATTCATGGAGAATTCCACCCATGTTCAAGCCCATTAAAAAATGGGTAGAATTTTAGGTGAGAATAGCAAGGTGAATGATGTTGTTTGGAGAAACCAGAGAAGAAAGCGGATGTTTAATATTATTTTTCTTTTTTTAATACATAAATTACAAGTGAAAAGTGACATATTACGACACTTGCATATTTTGACAACTCTATGGTATTTTGTTCGACTTTGAAATGATATTGGCCTTCTAACCATCCACCCTTAGCACACTTCGTCTTATAAACAATTAAGGGTGTGTTTCATTCGCCTAATATGGTCTGATTTTTTGAAGTTCTAGTTTGATTTGATTGAATCTGATATGAATTTGATTAAAATTAAATTAAAATTTTTATTATAATAGTTATGATAATAATAATAGAAATATTAATAATAAGAGTAATAATAAAAATAAGAACAATACTAATACTAATAGTAATAATAATAATAATAATAATAGTAATAATAAGAAAAGATATAATAATAATAACAACAACAACAACAACTATAATAGTACTAATAATAATAGAAATAATAATAATAATAATAATAATAATAGAAATATTAATAGCGAAAGCAATAATAATAATAATAATAGAAATAATAATAATAGTAAGAATAATAATAATAATAATAATAATAATAATAACAATAATAATAACAATAAAAATAGTAATAATAATATTAGTAACAATGATGATAATAATAATAATGATAATAGTAATAATTATAATAACAATATTAAGAATAATTATAGTCATAATAATAATAGTAATAGTAATAATAATGATAATAGTAATAATAATTGTAATAATAGTAATAATAATAATAGTAGTAATACTAATAACAAAAAAAATAATAATAAATATAATAATAGTAATAGTAATAATAATAGTAATCACAATAATACCAACAATAATAGTATTATTCATTAAATAATAACAATAATAATAATAATAATAATAATTATAATCATATTATTAATATTAATAGCAATAGTAATACTAATACTAATAATAATGGTAATAATAATAATAATAAATTTGTTTGAGTGATTGAGTCTAATATAATTCGATCTGATCTGATTTTAATAAAAATAAATAATAATCCAAAAAAATAAGTTGAACGAAAAAATAGCACACAATTACACAAAACAAGATTTTTGAGCTGTTTCAACTCCGTTTGCCATTACCTTCTCCAGCTGCAGCTCCAGGATTTCGTAGGTTAGATTTTGGTCTCAAGTCTCAACACATATCTAGCACTCGAGCTTCTCGATTATTCATCGCCCCGTACAATATATAGATTCGATTCCTCTGGCACATCCATTAATCAATCGTCTTTGAATCTAATAATTGTAAGTCTATGCTTCTTTTTCATATTTTTTTCTTTCCTCTCGATTTCTTGTTATCTACCCGTCAATCTCTCGATTGTTTTTTCAATTCATCTCGCTAAAAATGATATCTTTTTGATCGACAACGAGTAGTCTTTTGATTCTTGCCTTCAACCCGAGCTAATGAGTTAAAAAGTGTTCGTTTTTTTTTTGGGTATTCTTTTCTCTATTTAAATCTACTGATTAATGTGAAAATCAGCATCCACATGCTCAATTTTTTTGTGTGCTTGGACAATTTGATCTTTATTCATATTAGATATTCGTTTTTTAGATTTTACAGGGTGAAATTCTTGGGTAAGAATTAAGAAACAATGAATAGGGTGCATAGCTTCTTGTTTCAGATAATCACTGACATGTTAAAATAACAGTGGTTCACATGTTTAGCCACTTGAATGTTCTCGCCATTCGATTTGCTGAACTGATCTTTTTTTAGTTTAGGTGTTTGTCTTGAATTGGGAAGGGTGAAGTGGGGAGAGAAAGAGGATGTCGAGTCGATTGATGAAAAAGATATTGAAAGCGCAAGAAGATGCTCTGCAGCAGCAACACGAGAGCGAGGATGAATCTGATTCACCAGATGCTTCATCCGCTTCTCAAAGAAACCCATTTGATCTTCTTGATGAGGAAGACTTTGAGGAGAAAGAGCAAACTGATAATAGTGATGGTATTGACCAGGTGAGATTTAGATACTCTCTACATCCCTATTTAATATCATCATTTGTTTTTTTTGCACGAAGTTTGAGAAATATGAAATTGTTATAGGTGAAATTTGTGCATAGAAGAGAGAAGTGATGTGAACCAAATATTTAGTTCCTTAAAAGGACATAGTAAGATTATTTAGGGACATTCAGAAAAAAAACTGGGAAGATAGAAAAGGGACCTTAGGGTTTAGGATATTTACTAGACCTATTTTTCTTTCCCACTAGTCATTACTGATTCATGTATTGGGTTGTGTTTTTTCTTTTCAAGACTCTTGGTTGAACAGTAATAGGACAACGTAAATTTCTTTTTTTTAGTGCGTAAAATTTCCAAAGTTTATTCATTGTTTCAACTATTCAAGTCATGCAAGGGTAATGGTGTCTCTTAAAAATGATCCATTTTTTGCTATTTTAACATTCTTTTGCTAGTTTATGACTTTCAAGTCTCATCCAAGGAACATAACTGTGGCAAAGAAATTTTCATTGCTAATTTGCTGTTTTCTAGTTTACAACTAAAGTAGATCATATCTACATGAATTTATCTTTACCAATGTTGTCTAGGGAGTGTTGTACAAGTTTTGACTGTTTGAGGTGAGTTGAACCCAATGTAACTGAGCCTTACTTGATTATACACTAGTGAAACTGAAACCTATCATAGCCAACTAGCCAAGCCTATCATTCATACTCCCCTAGGTCTTTAATCCTTATTACAAGCCATAGTCAACTAAATTACACAAACATTGTCAACTAAATTAATCCTTATTACAAACCATAGTCATTTACTATGCTTCGTAAATGGGTACTTTAAAAAAATGAACGAGGACACAAGATTTATTAGGGGCAAACAATGACAAATGTGCTTCATACTGTGACTTTGATCTTGCTTGCAGGTAGATAAGACAGTGGTCACTGAAAGATCCTCTATCAGGAAAAATGATGAGAAGCATTCCTCCAAAGGTGCAGATACTAATAACACAGTCCTGTCATCTAATCTGAGATCAAAGAAAAAGAAAAAGAAAAACAAAAAGAATTCGCATACAACCACTGGAAATCCTCAAAAACCATTGGATGAAACCTTGGAAAACTTATCTATTGATGGAAACTCATCTTGTCGTGAATATACGGCTTCTCATTCGAGGCAAGAAAAAATGTCAAACATAAGTGGAACAAATAAATCTTCCATTGCCACCTTACAAATTGATCCAAAATTTCTAAGTGCTGAAAATGAACTTCGGAGGATATTTGGGTCTAAAGTTGTGAGTTCTTTTGAACGGAATAGTCAAAGTGGAAGTTCTAGACAGGCACATGGCAGCAGACGTGGAGGTTCTAACCACAGGAAGACTCTACTTGTTCATCCTTCCGAGCATTGGCCACGATGGGACGGTTCTCTTACCATGGAACTATTGGGAACCAAAGATGGAATCAATTATTTCAGGTAACATCATTTTACTTAAGTTGAAAATTAGTACTACCCCCCCAAATCCACCACCAAAAAGTCCTATTTGAACAGTTATTTTTGTCCCAAAAAGAGTCTTTTGTTATATTTAATGTATTGTTCTGAAAATGGGAAAAAGTGCCATGCACGTTATGTAATATTAAAATTGTTAATTGAACCAAAAAATAAGTCTTGAAATAAAGATTGATGCTTTGATTGATTTCTTATAATTGTATCTTACTAAAAAATATGGAGTAAAAAGTTTAAGCTTTAATAAACATAGGTTCCTTTTTTTGGGATGGATGCAGTACTAAATAAGTAAAAAAGAGTAAGCCTACAATCACCCAAGCTTACCCCCATTTGGCACCAACCAAATATTGGTCCTCTGTACCCTTGCACTCAAGGATCATTGAAGTCAATGCAGTATTGCAAATGTGCAATGAATGGTCGGGGTCAAACTCGTTGTTAATCTTGGGTGAATTGTAGAATGATTCTGTAAAAATTATACTTTGCTCGTCTGGAAAAAGTCATGTTTCCTACATTTTTTCATTGTCCCAAAGGAGAGCCATTTTTGATCAAACGAAGTTAATTCTCAAAGAGTTGACAAAGAAAGAGTCCTATATTGGTCACGTATGCCACATTTAGTTAAAGAAATAATTTTTATGAACTGATTCTTGATTTTTGTGCCCGATGTAATTGACCAAAACTGAAAATTTGTACATTGGTCATCAAATAACTCTTTTTGAATCTTGATTAGGCATTTATATGTTATATGTTACATTATTTATATAGGTACGCGCATTTGGCATCCTATAGCCAAGCTCAGAGAGCATTCGAAGCTGCAAAGGCGATCCATGACCTTAATGGAATTGTCAATGTTCTCATGCATAATCCATACCACATAGACTCCCTCGTCACGTTAGCCGAATATTACAAATTTTCAGGTGAACTTCAAATGTCATCGGATGCTATTGCAAGGTGTTTGTATGCTATGGAATGTGCGTGGCATCCAATGTTCACTCCCTTACATGGTAAATGTCAGCTCAAGTATAGCCATGAAACAAACAAGCCCTTCTTCTCCGTACTCTTCTCCCACATGAAAAACATGGACAGGCGTGGCTGTCACCGGTCTGCACTGGAGATTTGCAAATTGCTCCTATCCTTAGATTCAGATGATCCAGTCGGTGCCTTATTCTGCGTTGACTACTACTCTTTGAGAGCGGAGGAGTATTCGTGGCTAGAACGTTTCTCTGAAGAATACAAAACTGATAATTCTTTGTGGTTATTCCCAAATTTCTCTTATTCTCTCGCCATATGCTGTTTCAAGCTTGAAAATCAAGAAAAAGAAGATGCGACAAAGACTGAATCTTTGAAAGCTGTCTCTACTGATTTGATGAAGCAGGCTTTGATGCTTCATCCTACCGTTCTGAAGAAGTTAGTGGCTAAGGTTCCTCTGAAAGATCAAGCATTTAACCGTATAATTGGACACGGTTTGTTTGCATCTGAGAAAAGTGGGAGCTTATCTTTGGATCATTTGGTTAATATATATGTTGAGAGGAATTACCTCATATGGAGGCTTCCTGATATCCAGAAGTTCCTCAAGGACTCTGCACTTATGGTGATTGAAATGCTGGATCGAAAGGAAACAGATGCTAGAGATTGGACGTGTGTGCGAAAGGAGGCATTTTCTTCCGACAAAAATGAGTATTTCTCTAACTTAAAGTTCATTCATGGCTTTCATATGTTCTTCGTTGTTTGGCAAATTGTTACATTTCTTGCAACCGTGTGATTTACATCATTTTTCTTTTTAATCCCTCTTCGTAAAAAACGACGAGGCTCATTCTTGTCTAACAGAAGTTGAAGGGGAGGAACTAAAAAGAAAATGGCATAAATTACAGAGATGAAGAACAAAAAAATAAATTCTAGGGACCCAAAAACACTATGTTTGCATTCTTGAAAAACATATTTTAACAGAAGTAGTTAGGAAGATCTTGAAGTTTTAAGTCATGTCTAATCACATGCTGAGTTGATAATTGATTTCTGCCAGGTATTCCCATCTACTGGTGTCTGAATTTTCAGATTCAGTTCCAACTTTGCCCCCAGATAACCTGCAAAATTTCATGGTTGACCCGAGATTGGTGAACAATGGAGGCGAACAACAAGCTGCAAACCGTCCCGTGAGGGATCTGTCAAACCGAAACGCACTTGCAGTTCTTTTCGAGTCAATGTTGCCATGGGTTGACTTTGGTACCGAACACGTCGAAGATCATCCACATGGTCAAGAAGGCTGAAAGTCTAAAATGCCCCTCCTAACGAAACAAAAGAGAAGAAGAAGAAGAAATGCAGAGCTTCACCTGGATCTTGTGCATGGATGTATTTTCCGGATTTCTTGTGTTAGGTGCTGGAAAATATGTTGTGCAAGGAAAAATATTTTCCTCTTTCTTTGCAATTCCGTGGATTAAATGTTGCTGAGGGAGTTTATGTCATAAACAGAGCAATTTTTTTCTTCAAGAAAATTGGGTTTCGTTAAAGAATTTCTCAGTATTTTTTAGTTATTTATTCTATACTCGTAGCAAACTAAGTGATCTTAGATTTATGTTACTACTTCCCCTCAAGTAACATCAAATTAGGGGTTTAGGGTACATCACTTTGGTGTATACCACTTGTACACCAAGTGTGTTACAACACACATAAATAACAATTGTTTACAAATACACTTGTTGTCTATGTGTGTCTATAACATATTTGGTGTGCAAGTGGTGTGTCTATAACATATACAAGCTTTTTCTCAAATTAAGTGACAAGAGTTAACTCGTATCCTAATTGTGACATTTAGGACCAAAGAGATCTTGCATGTATTAGGGATAAATCACAATTTTTTAGATTATATCCACTAACTCAATTTTTCAAGACCTTAGGATGAAGCTTTCCCTTTTCAAATAAGGAGAGATTTAAAACAAAAAAAATGATTTTTTTTGAGATTCTCACCCGTGTTAATACGAACTGGCACTTGAATGTGAGCAAGAGACAATAGCTCATGGACGTTAAATATCTGTTCTTTTGTAAGAACAAATTTACAAACGGTGTTACTCCATCGTCTAAAATAGATATTTCATCTTTTCCAAATTAATGTGTACACTTTGGTTGAGTTAAATAAAATAAACAAAAAATTTACCCATCTTTAAAAAAAGTTAATGTTCTTTCTTTTTCTTGCATATGTGTTCGTCACCTCATTGTATTGTGATTTTGACTAAGGGATGATTGTTATTGTTCATTGTCTTGTTAAAAAAAACCTTTTTTGTGGTGCTCTTTGTTTCCAGCTTATTGTATCCTCAAATTTCTTGCTTCTGTATTTCTTGATTTTTTTCATAGGATTGAGGGTTTTGTTTCAGTTTCACTGTTACTTAGTTGTCTTTCTCACTTTCTCCTTTGGTTAAAGCTTAAGCGTTATGGTGTTTTGTTCATGTTATATTGCAATTCATCTGTTCTTGACCCGATTTTGCAATCGTTTATAGTTAGCATTACACAATTTTTTCTTCTTTTCTAATGGGTATTCAGAGAACTGATTTTTTTGTTGGAAATTGAGAGGAAAGATTTGGTCTTTTTTAGTATCTGTCTGGATTGAAACATAAGCATTGTGTTTTCTTGAAAGAAGTCATAGTTTATTTGATATTGACTTTGACACTTTCTTTGTGGGGTTTCAGAAAATTGGATTTGGAAGAGGAATCTGTGTTTGGTTTTTCTGTTCAGTAAAAATGGAATCTTTGAGCTGTGTTTTTGAGGACAGAGGTTTTATGTTTTCGGATGAATTGCCATTAGACTCCTTCACAAGAACTAGAAGTCACAAAAAAGAATTGAGCTTAAACCCCTTTTCTGATCATCATGAAATCAATGAAGGAGAAGGGTTCACTGAGTCCAGTTTGGCTGAAATGCTACAGAGATCCGAAAGCGATAATGATCTAAGGGAAACAACAAAGAGAATGTCTCCAAAGAGTAACACAGAGTCCAAAGAAGTGAAAAGGGCTCGGACCACAAATTTCAGTTCCAAACAAGCCCTTGTTTGCCAAGTTCTTGGATGCAACAGAGACTTGGGTTCTTCCAAAGACTATCACAAGAGGCATAAAGTTTGTGATGAGCACTCCAAGAGCCCCAATGTCATTGTGAACGGCATTGAGCAGCGGTTTTGCCAGCAATGCAGTAGGTACATTTGCTCAATCTTTCGCCCAACTTTTTATTTAGTGCCCGTTTGGCAACAACTTTAGCATTTTCAAAGTTAATCTGCACCATAAGATATTTATCATCCGGGCACGATAATGAACGGTTCAAGGGACTTTAACTTAAGAGAGTTGGATGGTTTTGGAGCTGATTGTGAAGCTGAAATGGATAAAAATCTGCACAAGAGACCATTAGAATGCTTGAGTTTTTTTCCATATTTCTGCTGGAAGAGGGGAAACCATTGATCTGCAGCAGCTTTCCACTCATCTATTGAGAGTGGAGCAGCAGAGAAGAAGCTATGGTAAGGTGAAACACCACAGCTGTAACTTATGTTTTACTTTTACCACATGATTATGATTAATTTATGAAGACCCATTTATTTACCCTAATGATCTTCGCGTCCGTAATCATTGCCAATCACAACGATTTGTTCGATAATAATTGATATTTTTGACAGATTATTGGAGCTAGCTAGATTCTTTTATGATGTTGGCTTCTTGAGTGTATTTCAAATTATGAGTATATATACTGATATATAATTCATCATTTCCTTTTTATAATTATAATGCACTATATATATATACTATATACACAAGAATATATATTTCATCACATTGCCCATAATAGGGAGATATTCCTTGGAAACTCTATCCAAAATGTCACTATAATGGAATTTACATTTATGTTTGTTAAGACTTTATTGTTGCTCTATGTGACATATTAGCTGAAGGAATATGAGATCTTATTTTTCATTCTTAATTACTTGTAGTATGTGGAAAGAAAGAGGTTATGAAGGAATTTGGTTGGTTGTGCTTTTATTTTATTTTATTTTATTGAAAAAAATTTGATTATTTTTATAATAGAATTTTAAAGCATGTTTTATAGGTGCTCCTTAGCTTATGTTTTTCCATATGTAAAAACTAAAAAGAATAATATTAGACACTGCCAATTATTTCAAACTACTTTTTCTAAAAAATAATAATTGAGAACCATTTTCAAAACCAGACTCAAACTGCTGGGTTTATATATCACTATTAACTTAAAAGCTTCCGTAATCAGGCCTACAAGTTTGGGCTTAACTTAGCTTACTAATTTTATACCTTCTTGGGTTGGGCCACTAATTAGACTGTACGGAGTAATATGTTCCATTACTCCATTTTTCAGTTTTGACTTTTAAAAAGTGTGTAAAAGTTTTTGCAAAATTAATAGGATAATAGGTATGACAAAATTAAAGATTCTTTTCCTTTTAAAAAAGAGTGCATTTAGTAGACCTGACAAAAAATGACCCGACCTATTTTTGACCCGAAACTCGACCTGAAAACACTGGGTTTTGAACAAAGGTTTTGATGACCTAACCCGAAGTTGACCGAACCCGAAATGACCCGCTAAAAATGGGTCAAACCCGACCGAACCTGAACCCAACCTGACCGACCCGTTAAAGTAAAAGTTTTTCAAAATCATACACTTTACTACTCGTTTTTAATGTATAAATTTATATTTTTAGACAAAATTTTAATGATATTGCATAATTATCTTACTTTTTTCTAAAACTTAAGCATTTTTAAAATTCCTTATATTGATTTATATATCTAAAAAAAATTTAGGATTTAAAATAGAATAATCTAATAGATTTAATACATATTTTTAATATTTTAAATTTATTTAATAGAAAATGTAAGTGTTAATGTGAAGTTAAAAATTTAAAAAACCAAAGTCATAACTCGTTGGGTCGACCCGAACCCGATGGTACTGGGTCATGATTCATGAACATACAATTCTCACCCGAACCTGAATTGACTCGAACTCGAAATAACCCGAATTGTGCAGTGTGCACAATTGGGCGTTTGTCCCCCCCCCCCACACTATTTTTTGTCTGCTAAATTTTTAGCATGGTATCGGAGCATGTTCGGTCTGGGTTTGAACTCCTATCCATAGCTGGTGTGTGTCCTTCTACGCTATCTTTGGCACACCTGACTTTTATCAAACACTTACGACCCTTATGTTAAAGTATAAAATTTTATTTTGGAAGCATATTTTAAGCCTTGATGTCAACAAACAACAACTTAAACTACTCAAACAGCAGAAATAAGATACATTTTCAATTAATTAAAAAGAGTTGAGCAAAGTAAGGAAATAAATTAAAGAGGATAACATAGCATATTAATAGGGTTGTGCATGCACTCCTAATAATCAATATACTTTCACAAACACATAAACATACTTAACAATAAAAACAGCAATTAAGTTCACAAAATTACAAATAAAATAAAGTTGACACATAAAACAATTAAATTGAGATCCCACAATTTGTCTTCATGCATTGAGCCCAGCCACACTTGCTTGGATCATCCACCAACTTAGCTTGTTAATTATTAGCTCTAATTAAGCCTTTAATAAAAACATCAAAAAGGAAACAAATATAAATTGTTTTTATTTGTTATATACTGTGTGTGTCTATATATATTATCATAAATAAAATACCTTTAATTTCTAATAATAAAAAAATTAAATTCAAATAATTTTGGAGAGGAAATTTAAAAAATGGATTCTTACATTGGTGGTGCAATGGTCTCTGGTGCGGACCTGCTTGAGGGTGGGTTTGGAATGTATCTTGCCCACTACATATATTAATTATAATAACACAAATTATTGGATTAACAAAAAAACACAATATATATTGAAATATCAATAATTATAATTAAAAATGAAATATTAATGAATAATATAATTATTTATGAAAATTTAATTGGAGTACATACATTTTTGGCAGCGGCACTGAAAGCTTCACGATGGGGTATCTCTGGATTGGCTGCTTTGATGCGTTGAATTTCCTCCCTTTCCCATTATTATTACCAAAAAATAATAAATACTCGTATAATAATAATAATAATACTCCCCAATACAATAATAACAATAAATATACTATTCACCTTAATTTAATTTCAAAATAAAATTTATAGAGTTATTCAATGTGTAATACTCCAAAAAATAATCAATATTGAAAACTTAAAATTACTCTCTATGTCCCATATCTTTTTTTTCTTTCAAATTGACTGAAATTCCACGTTGTGCGATAATTTAAGATTTTAATTATTAATATATCCATTTATATATAAACATATACTCCGTATTGTAAAAAAAATATGATATTGAAAAATAACATTGTGAATTGATTTTTCTATATTTAATTAATATTACAATTAAATGTAATTTTTTTGTAACTTAATTTATACTAGTAAAAAATGTTGAGTCTCAATTTGGTATATAGAATTCAAATTATGGAATTGGGAGCAATAATTCTAATTTCGGTGTTTGGTAGAACAAAAATACGTAGATTTGGAATTGATAGTGCTAAAAATGAATTAAAATTAGAGAATTCAATTACATCCAAATATGCAAATAGATTCCATAGAATTTTAAATTCCGATTCAAATCCAATTTTGTATACCAAACGGACCCTGAACAAACACATCGAAATGTAATAAAGAAGATAAAATAAGAGTATATATATGGGTAGCTAGCTTTGCTTACTTCATGAAGCGATTGTAGGCTGATGGAAGCCTGTGTTTCTTCTCAGGAGCTGAAATTGATTAACATAAAATGAATGTGAATTTGAAATGAAATGCTCAAACAAAAATTAAATTAAATTAATTAGCAGATTAATTAATTAAAACAATGGTAATTAGTTAATTGATACTCTGTACAAGTTAACCCAGCTACATTTTAGCATTTTTGAAGTGTAAAACATTTTTAGCATGAGACCGAATTTCATATGATCGAGCATCTTAATTATTTTGAAAATGGTAGAACTAAAAATGAAAGAATTTATAATTAAAAAGCGAATTGATTATTTAATTAACTAAGAGATATAATTTTTTTAAAAAAATATTGGCATGTATTTACGTTTAACGACGAAAGGAGCCTTTGGGGAAGATGGTTCGGCCGATATCGGCGAAGTAGACGATGATTGACCCCTCTTGTAACCATTGCATGATACCTATTAATTAAATAATGAGTAATTATTCAATTTATTACAAATATATGAGTAATTATTCAATTTATTACAAATATAATTAGTGAATAATTTTTTTTAAAAAAAGAGGAGGTAATAATAAATTATGGAATGATGGTAATAAAATTGAATAATTAATTTACCTGAAGATTAGTGAGGTGATCATAGCACTGGGGCTGAAATGGAGGCCTAGTGGTGAGAAAGGAAAGGTTGCTGCAGTGCCCACATTTCACTGTCACTGTTTCCAACACTCTCTTGCATGGAATCCCAACCTAATTATAATTAATAAGGAAACTTAAATTCAAATATAAATAAAGTTGAAGATATTGGAGAATAACAAATTAAACCACGAATAATGGAGTAGTACTCTTTCCATTAGCTGTTGTTACATCGAGTAATTTATACTCCGTAGTTTTTTTCAAAGCGTTAAAACTAAACATTGAAACTTCTTTGAAAGGCACCCGAAATCCATGTGCTTAATATATGTACTTGATTACTCCCTCCGTCCCAGAAAACCTTTCTTCTTTCTTTTTTCATCCGTCCCAAAAACACTTCTCATTTATATTAAAAAGTCACTTTTACCCCTTACTTTTTCATACCCTACCTATCACATCATGTCTTTTTACTAATAATCTATCCATCAAATCATACTTTTACCCATCACATCAAAGGACATTTTTGGAAATTCAATACCAAAATACACTCCCCTTAAATCCCTCTTCAAAATCAAAACTCTCATGTTTTCCGGGACGGAGGGAGTATTAAATTCTACTCCCTCGTCCCACAAAATCTTTCTCCTTCCTTTTTTTATTTATTCCAAAAAACATTTTCCATTTATATTAAAAAATTATTTTTATCCCTATTAATTTTTAACCTACCTATCACATCGAACTTTTTTACTACTAATCTATCTATCATATCTTTCTTTTACCTATCAGATCCAAAGACATTTTTGAAAAGTCAACAACAAAATACATTCCTCTCAAATCCCTTAAAAATCAAAACAAGAAATGTTTTTGGGACAGAGAGAGTATTTAAATTAGTTACAGGGTATATACTAGAAATTAAACTCTATTTTTTAAAACTTTTTAGGGCTCTTTTTTGGATTTTCTTTGATTCTAGTCCGTACCTAGTTTGAAGTGATATTTTTTGGTTTTCAACATAAAGACGAAGCCCTAGCTTTTTCTTTTCTTAGCACTTTTAACGCTTAATAACCAAGGAATTGATTTTTCTAATGAGATAGTAACAACCACATAAAGTATATATATCATCTAGAGAGAGAGGAATATAATATATTATGCATGCATGCATGGAGATCGAAGTGTGTAAGTAATTAACGTACCGCGAGAACGTTGTTGCAAAAGCTGCAGCGGACATAACAGAGATGATCAGAAGAAGGCTGGCTCAAATCCATGGAGTTTTTGTCTATGTTTTCCAAGAGAGATGAGAAAAATGGAGGCCTGCAAGATGAAGAAGAAGGGGAGGAAGAAGAAGAGGAGGAGGAGAGGGATGGGGAGGATAATGGCATAAATTAAATACTATGCTATACTATTTTAGGACTTGTGTGTGTAGGATATATAGGATAGTAATAAAAGAAGGTATGGGGAAAGTTGGTTTTCAAGTACAAGTAGATGAAATGAGATGAGACTCTAGCTATATAGGGTGTTAGCTAGTGGTGATACCATATATATACACACACACACACTCCCTCTGTCCCTCAAAACATGAGAGATTTTAATCTTTAAGAGATTTAAAGGAAGTGTATTTTTGTGTTAAGTTTTCAAAAATGGATAAATTAATAATGAATAGATGTAGTGATCTGATATGTAGGTTAAGAATTAATAAGGGTAAAATTGACTTTTTAATATAAATGAGAAATTTTTTTTAGGTCGGATAAAAAAAGATAAGAGAATTGTTTTCAGGGACGGAATAAGTCTATAAAGACCTTGAAGTTTTTGGATTTTCAAATTATATTCCTTTCATTCCTTAATTATCCCAAACTCCTCGATCTCAACGTCGTCCTATCTAACATTTTTCAAACCCCACTCATTTCAATTACTACTGTTTTCCTCTGAAAAAACTTCTTTAACTTCAACTTCCATTCCAAAAGTTAATACCGAAAAAGTTTTGTGGGACGGAAGAATATTTTTTATAGAGATCATGATTTTGTGAAAATTAAGAGTAATTTTTATGGAAGAATTAACTATATAAATAAGTAATGTTATACCAAAAGGTCATGCTACGAGTATACTAAAATTGTGTTCTTCATTTGTACATCAGACAAACATAAATACACTATGTCTGTAATCTTCAGAAACTGAATGTCTATGTTTGCTTGGGTGTTTGTGATCCACAGACAGTAGCTTTATTATATACCAAAAGATAAAATCTAGGGAGAAACACCAAAGTAGGACTAAAACATTGAAAATATACCAAAATAGGACTTCCATGTTTTTATTCCCGAAATAGGACTTACATTACCAAACATGGTCATATACATTACCAAAAAAGTATAGTAATGTGCACATGTACACTGTCACATTACCACAGTACAAAGACACATTACCACATTGCAAAGTCCTATTTTGGGGAAAAACATGAAAGTCCTATTTTGGTATTTTTCTCTATGTTTTAGTCCTATTTAGGGTGATTTCTATAAAATCTAATACCAAAGAATGTCACTCCGGAGTAACATATAATGTGAAAAAAATCGTGAAATACCAATACACAATGTTCAAATAAAAAATATGATGTAGTAGAGTGATTTAGAGTTATTAAGTATATAATAGATCTTTTAATAGAAAATGAACATGATCTAATAGATCTTCTTTTTCTAAAAAAATATCCAGAAAAATCTCAACTCTTTTCAAAAATAATTCCACATTTCACTCTAATGCATAATAATCTCAACTTTACTGAAATTTGCAAGTTTTGGGTCACCGTTAAGTTGCTAAGGACGGGTTATTTTTACTTTTTTAAAGTAAGACTAATCTTTAAAAAAAAGAAAAAGAAATGGAGGTAGATCGAATTGAAAGTAATTTTAAAAATTTAAATGAAAATTTCAAAAAAATAGAAAAAAGAAAATTCATCAAAAATAATCTCAACATTCATTTTGTTGCGCAAACAAGTCGTTTCCGTTAATTCGCCGTTAGCAACTTAAAGGCGACCCAAAACTTGCAAATTTTAATAAAGTTGAGATTATTATATATCACAGTGAATGGTGAGATTATTTATGGAAGACCTGATAAATTTGAGATTATTTTGGATAATTTTTCCTTTTTTCCTTCGTCCCAAAAACTTCTTCCATTTTCTTTTTTTACTTGTCCCACAAAATTCTTCTCATTTCTATTAAAAAACCACTTTTATCCCTACTAATCTTTAATCTACCTATCATATCATACTTTTTTACTAATAATCTAGACATCACATTTTACTTTTATCGATCACATTAATGATATTTTTGAAAATTGAAAATTTCAATACAAAAATATCTCTCATTTAAATTTCATAAAAGTCAAAACAGAAATATCTTTTTGGGACGGAGGAAGTATTTAAAAATGAATCATGAAAAATTAAAATTAAATTATGCATCGAAACGCAAATATACGAGTAATTATATTTTTTTTCCATAATCAAATTTCATACTCTGATCAACAATTAATATCAAATTATGAATTATACTTTGAGATGAATGCATGGAATATGTACGTAAACAATATAATTAACGCAATAAGTGCACCATACGTACTCGCTTGACTAATTTGTGTACAATAATCAAATCATTAGATGCCAAAACTTTGGAACTGATAACTATGGTAATTAAGGTATAATTTCAATGTTGAACATCTAAAATACTCCCTCCGTCCGAAAATGTTCTTCACATTTGATTTTTTTTCGTCAAAGTTTGTAAGCTTTGGCTCTAATTTTTGGATTTTTTTATTATGATATAAATTTAATATCAATATATATTCTTAATGAAACATAGTTTCGAAATGTGAAAAATCTGAAAAAGTTACGGTGGTAATTTTGTAAATAAATTGAACTTTCCGAAAAATGCACTACTACAAATGAAAAATACATCACGACATTCTGAAAATGGGCCATTCTCATATAGTTGCAGTAAGGATATTCTCACCTGAACCAACACACACACACTATATATATATATATATATATATATATATATATATATATGTATGTATGTATGTATGTATGTATGTATGTATGTATGTATGTATGTATGTCTAGTCCATTCTATGAGTGAGATATTGGTAACAAACAAGAGACCTCAACTCTCAAATCAAACAGGTGACATGAGCAATGAGATGATGATGAACACAAAAACAAACAAAACAAAAAGCTGATTCGAAGTTGCAATGGATGAAAATGCATTCATATTAGAATTGAATGAGTTAATTATTTAAGTTCTTAGTTATATATTGATTAATGATTCATCAATGAACAATGCATTAAAAAACAAAGAGAGAAACTAGAGAGGGTTATGGTTTACCTGGCCTATATCTGTAATAGGCTCCCTTTTGTGGGTGCATTTCTAAATGAGGAAATATGAAAGTGATTCATGATTGTATCACTTGTCACCATCATCAGCAAACTTTATTTTTGTGTGGCATGCATGAACTCTTTGTACTTCAAACCATACACAAGCAATAATAATCAATACTCTCTCTTTTTTCTCCCTTTGTCTCAATTTTAATTCCAAAATCAAAATTAACTTAAACGGTGTTATTAAAGGTAGTGATGAAGGAGGGTTAGGGGGTTGGAACAGTCAACTAATTATTATATAAGTCTCTTATTTAACCATTAATTCAGCTAAAAGCTAACCTAGCTAAAATATTGAAGAAATCAAATGCATATTTTAGTCAGTTTCATTGACAATAACTGAATGAATACTAAAACTAATTAGTTTCTCATGTGTTTGTGAATTGTTATTTATGTGGAGTAAAAAGACAAATGTTCATAACAGTCAAGTCTGTGCATTATACTTGACAGTGATACATATATAGAGTCTTCTAGCTATAAATATATATGTACGGATTAAATTGTTGATATAAATTAGGGTTTTATTTTATTATAAAGTCTGTGCTAGTGTTCATGTCTACTTTTAACTTTGTAGCAGTGATTCTTTATTAGGGTTTTCTTTTATATTAAAAAATTACTCTCTCCGTCCCACAAAAAAGTTCACATTTTGATGTATTTTTGGTCAAATAGTTACACGCTTTGACCATAAATTAAATATAATCTAAATAAAAAAATTTGAGATATCAAAACTAGATACTAAGATGAATCCAATTATATTAAATATATTTTATAATTCAATATACATTTCTCACAATTTGTAGTCAAAGCGTGTAAATATTTAACTAAATATTATTAAAAATGGAAACTTTTTTGTGGGACAGAGGGAGTATATAAAAAAAAAGTTTAGGGTTTTATTTTAATTTGCATCTGTCTTTTGATTGATGGGACTATTCCTCGTTTGCTAAACATGGAAACAACCTAGCCCTGCAATTCATCTCTACAAACATTCTGTGTTTGTATAAGAGACTTTAAATTAATTTCTCTTTTGAATTTTTTTTCTTTTTTGAATTACTCCTCGAACAGAAAACCCTATTTTACTTTTTTTTTTATTTATTTTGTAGAGATTGATTATATATGGATTTGGAAATAATCATTTGATCTACGAACACCCTCTTTGGTTTCTATTTTGGGAGGCTTTGATTAGACATGTCTTTCTTTTGGGGTTTTATATGTGTCTCCTCCTCACCTTGACTTTGAATTTCATGTCATATATCCAACATTGCATGCACATCAAAACAAAATAAAGTTCCACTATCTAATCTTACCCTTTTATTTTTGCTTCACAAAATCATAATTACCCCTTTCCATTTAAATTTAAGTTTGTGTATAAATTTATATATATAAAACAATTCATATCACATATCCTTTATATATATAAAATACAAAAAATTAATAAAAAGTAGTAAAAATATGAAAAGTTAAACTGAAAATGCAAATGATTAGAACATTTAAAATAAAACAAATAATTTTGAATAGTTTTAACATTTATAAATTTTTTAAAAATATAAAGTTCACATGACATTTAAAAAATAATAAATAATTTATTAAAAAATGTGGATGTGATAAATAAAGTCTAATCGAATGAAATAAATCGTTTATAGTTTTTAAAATTGGTAAATCCTTTAATTTTTAAAAACATAAATTAATAAAAAAATAAAAATAAAAAAGGTAATGTGTAGTTTTAAAAATATGTGCATGCATGTACTAAAAAGTAATAAAATAAAATAATTTCAGAATTTTCTTAAAATATACTCCCTCTGTCCCAAAAAGTCAGTCACGTTTCGAAAAATTCGCGTCCCTTAAAATCCATCTCATTTCTATTAAAAAACCACTTTTACCCCTTATTTTTTCATACCCTAACTATGACATCATACCTTTTTCCTAATAATCTACCCATCACATTTTACTTTTACTCATCACATCAAGAGTATTTTTGGAAAGTCAACACAAAATTACCCTTCCTTATTTTACCACTTTAGTCAAAATGTCCCAATCTTTTTGGGACGGAGGGAGTATATTTTAATTTTTTAAAAAATTTAAAGTTTGTATATACTTCTCCATCCCATAAATATTGTCTCCCTTTTAAGAAATAATCAACACTAAAACTTTTTTATTATAATTAATAAAATAAATAAGGTTTGGCATCGGTTATTTCAGAAAAAATCGATGTCATTGCACTACTTAAAAAAAGCTTTGACATCGTTTGTTATATATATAATACCCGATGCCAAAGCCTCTTTATTTTTTTTATTTATAATAAAAAGGATTCGTCTTCGGTTATTATTTAAGAACATAACCTATGTCAAAGCCCTTTTTTGGCACAAAAAAAGATCAATTGCATCGGTTATTTTACAACTGATTCATTTACACTAGAGCAATTGCATATAAAACCGATGCAAAAATTCCAAAATAACTAACGCTAAAGCCCCAATATTTACTCTCTCCGTCTCTGAAAACCTTTCTCCTTTCTTTTTTCATCCTTCCCAAAAAACACTTCTTATTTCTATTAAAAAGTCACTTTCACCTCTTACTTTTTCATACCGTACCTATCACATCATACTTTTTTTACTAATAATCTACCCATCAAATCCTACTTTTACCCATCACATCAAAGGATATTTTTGGACATTCAATACCAAAATACACTCCCCTTAAATCTCTTCAAAATCAAAACATTCCATGTTATAAAAAGGGACGGATGGAGTATGTATTAGTGTTTACAATGTCGTCTCTAGTCAGAACCGTAGCCCACAACTATAGTCATTATTGTTGTATTGTCTATCAAGCTAGCCGACCTCAGAATACGTTACTGGACATAAGATCCATGTGAAATGATACATTTAGTCCTTAATTTTACACAAGCATGCATGATAGAAGGTCTAAAAATATATTTATAGAAAGGTACCCAAAAAAGATGGACTACGAACGTAATATCTGATAATAGAAGACTAAATATATAAATTTTACTTTTATAAAGGACTAATTATAAATTTTACTCTTAAAATATGTTTTATTATTACTACATTCAATGACTATTAATTAATTTTGTATTAAACTTTTTAGTTTCTAAATAATTTGCCAATATAATTTCACCTTTTTAAAATACGAAGTACATAGTTTTAAATATACATAACTATCTTTTTTTAAGGTCATAACAATTTTACTCTCTCCATTCTAAAACGTTCTTCCCAGTTACTATTCAGAAAGTCAAATTTTAATCACTTTCTTTATCTATTTTTGTTATTTATTTGATAACTAATTAATATAGTCTTATTACCTCATATTTTGTAGAACTTTTGATGTAGTTTTTGAATATATAAATTTTATTTTTTAATTTTACATCTACAATCAAATAAATTGAATTGAAAATAAAGTCGGTCAAACATCATAAATAGAAACGGAAAGAATGATTTAGGATGGAGAGGGTACTATTTAACAAGGTTATACAGAGTATAAATTTTATTTATTTTTCAAAAAATACAAGTATTAATTAAAAACTATTCATTGTTTTTTATTAAGTTTAAAAAACAAAGATGTAAATATACGTTATTATTAAAACTATAAATTTCATTTCAAAAATGATGGCTTACTTATAGTAAAAGATAAACAGAAGAATTATATTCTCTAGAATATAACTTGTTCAAAATATTAAAAAATATTTAAAAATTTAAAATGTATATAAACTCGTGCAAATCATGGAGTTAACACTAATAATATATACACGGTACAATGCAACACTTCTGATAATAAAATGGTTTAAGCATGAGCACATGGTCCGACTTTAGAAAAAGAGTAAACTTTCAAAATGCCTCTAATAAATTGTTCTCCCAAATCAATCTTGAATAAGTTTTAGTTATCTACTTGGTCCTCTACAATTGAGATTTATTCTTTGGATAGTCCTTCGTATATATTAATTGTTACTCATATGATGATCCATTAGGTAAATTGAAAAAACTTTAATTATCAATTATTCTCATTTTATATTGCAATACAATACAATTTCAAAAGTTTCAACAAAATAAATCTAATGATTAATTAATTTTTATATTAATATACACTATATTTTTTATTAAATTGAAGTCTAAAATTTGTCTCATTTGGCAAAAAAAATCAAAATTGGACGAATACACAACTACGAAAGTCGCATATTGTATGAACAAATGTATGTGAAAAAAATCGATTTGGGGCGAATTTGGGGTCAAGGTTAAGGAGGAAATGACTTTTTGGATAATTAAAGTTGGAAAAAAGATAGGACTAGCCCAATTGATTCTCCAATTAGTACACTACATGCATATACTGACATTTTTGTCAGTGTAGTACTAATCCTTTGTGTCAGTGTATGACTATGTTGTACAAATTGAGATACCAATTGGGGTCACCTAGTATGACTCTGAAAGTGAGTGTAAATGCCTCAAGAGGGAAGTTGTTGTCAAGGTTTGGGACAAAAGTTGATTAGCATTAGAAAAATGCTAGGGGTACACCAAAGGTGTACCCCATTTGTCCTCCACCCCCTCCATAACCACTAAAAAAGGCAAGAGATTAAAAAAATTAAATAAATAAAAATAAAATCAAATTGTGTGGTGGAGAAAGGGGTGGGGGACAAATGGGGTACACCTTTGGTGTACCCATAGCATTGCTCTTAGCATTAACATTTTGAATTTCAATTTTAAAAAATGTAAATTAACTTTTAAAATGTTGATGCTAAAGTTATTGCGGTATAATATTTTAAAAACGCTAGACTAAAATATGTTCATTCTAATGCCAAATGGAGTCTTGATTGAGCTTAGCTTGTTCCTCAACAATAATACTTTTGGTTCCATTTGGCATTAGCTTTAACATAATTGGCTTCAACGTTTTGAAAAAATTATTCAACAACTTTTAACGCATTAGTGTTTTCAAACAAAATGTTTAGCAACCTATCTATGCCCAACCCCAGTGTGACACCAGTTCATTTGAGGACCCTACGATGCTATGTTCCCCCTCCCCAAAGACAAACTCAGCACATTCATTATTCCCAAGCATGCCCCGCTTTGCTAGTATGCTATAGTTGTATCATATCGACAAAATAGGAGGCTGAAGTTGCTTGTGAGGAGTGATTTAGGTCATGTTCTCTTCAACTTATTCTTATAACGTATTACTATTTTTTCCTATTAAAATCAGATCAAAAATATCTTTGGATATAACTGCATTCATATCATATCAGGACCATTTAGATCAAGTGAATAGAACATGAACTTAAGGAAATAAGAACCACTTGGAGGTCAAACAGAGCACCGTAGGACTCTCAAATGGACATGGTGTCATATTATAACACGAGAGGTGGCTGTCATATTAAAATAACACTAAAACCAGAGAATATGTCAAAGCAATCCTAGAACCAAACTTTCAAATGGCTTATGTTAGTGAAGTTCGCCATGCATGGTAACAATGGCATGCAATTTGAGCAGAAAGGAAACATAAAGTATAACATATCTCATGAAATGGTTCATCAAAAATACTTCTCAAAAACAAAAAATAAAAATCCAATAAGTAACTCGAATCGTACTAAAGCGTGCTGCCCAGGACGACTAAACCGCGACTAGAGACCAAAGGGAAAAAATAGGACTTTTTATATGCTTTAGTGGAAACCTACTTTGAAGCACCCTTGGAAATGGATAGCTTAGCAAAGTCCACGCCGGTAGGGTTGAGCTCATCCCAAGCTTCAATCCAAGTGACCATGGCATCAGCCAACTTGTTGAAGTAAGGATCAACCTTGCCAAGCTTTTCATTGACTTGTTTGGAGAGCTCAATGTAGCAATTCTGGACAGTGGTGCAGTCCTTGGGAAGGGCAATGGATTGGAAGAAAGGGATGATCTCCTCTTGCCAGAAGATGCCTTTGTACTCCTTTTTGAGATTCACAAAAGGGTTGCTTGCTTTGCTGTGCCATATGTATGGCAGACCTGTCTTGATTCCAAGCCCCAAATGGTCACAAATAACCTGCAAATTTATCAAAAAAGATATTGGTGCTTTCTTCCAACTCAAAATCAAATCCGGCTTTGATTGTATCCCGTATGTTGTTTACATATGTTTTTCGAAGAAATAGCTTTGTGGTACCTTGGTACACCAACCGGCCCACATGTCGTCGTAGCGTCCAATTGGCTGCCCGTCACCCATGAGCCCAAAGTACATGGCGGGTCCAATCAGCTCACGGTCAAAAGCCAAATTCATGCCACACATGGGGAACAAGGTGCCCTTGGGAATGGTCAAAACTGCATCAACATATCTGAAGCCATGCCCAATGTTAAATTGACAGAATTGTACTCAGAATCCATATCATAGGTTCTTACAACTGGTATGTTCTCTCTACTTTATTTACAAATTCCAAACATTCTCTCTACTTTCTTTACAAATTCCAAACATAACCTAAAAACTTTGTCAAAAAGAAATATGCACATGCCTGGTATTCCTCTCACGCGGCTTAACAAGCTGAGTTGGGGCATCATAGTCAGGGATGTTGAGCCAGAGCCCATGAGAAACAGCGGTTGGAACTCCCTCACGAAGGCTAAAGGGATAGCCACGGACAAAGTCAGCACCTTCTCTGTATGGATCATAGAGAGTGTTGAAGAACTGTGGGGTGGCAGGACTTAAGAGATTCTTGATGTGCTGCTCGAGAGCATTGATGTCTTTGCCAGACGGATCTTTGGCTACCTGCACATTCTCATACAACAATGTGGCATAAACAGTATAGATTGGAGCAAAAGCCTCAAAATCAAATTGATAACTTTGGGACTAACTCCTCAAAAAGATCCTTTGGGGTAACTCGCACATGCATATAGAGACTCAAAACATGTAAACAAGAGATATGAGGTACACAATACACCCCCTCAGCCCAAACCAGACTAGATAATAAAAGGTGGGAAAATATGGTCAAAACATCAGCCCCCTTTGACCACCTTTGGTTCAATATCATATTAGTTGTCTAACTTAACCGAATTCAATCCTGAAGACGTATATCCTATGCTGGGCTCAAAGACAATGTGAGATACTCAACACAAACAAATGCATGTAACATTAAGCTTTTCTTTCTTTTTCTTCCACAAAAGGGCTAGTTTATAATCATTCAAATATCATAGAAACCAAATCACAATTCAATAACACCCTGAAGGGTACAAGAACAAGACATTTTTTAAACATACGAAATAATTGAGTGGCGGGGACCAAACCATCAAAAGTTTAATCTTGGGCAATAATAGATTACCTTTAAGCAATAAAATTGCGGGATAGTGAAAAAGATCAGATTTAAAAAAAAGTGTTTTGGCCATCATAAGATCTAAAACAAAGGCAACACTTTTCTGTAAAAAGTTTGAATAACAATGAAAAGTGAGCCGACATGAAACAAAATGTAGACTGACAAGCAGATCTTGAAGATAGTCCCATGATCCAAACAATCAATCACACACACAAATCTAAACAATGCAGAAATCACATGGCATGAAATTCCCAGATCAATTCATCAATCAAAATCCAGAAAATTCAAAATCAATTGCAGAAGACTTACAAAGCAATCATCATCAATGGTGAAGATGTACTTCTTCTTGGAAACCATGTACCCAAAGCACCTGCAAGCAGAGTCCTTGAAGGAGATGCAAGACGCCTTGGGTCCGAGGATCCGATTGATGTCATTGCGATTGTAGAGCTCGTAGTCGAATCCCTCCGGGACTTTGATGGTCTTCGAAGGGTCGCCGTCCTGGACGATGATCAGATGGTAGGGCTGGAAGAAGGGCCTCCACATCTCCAGGAAATCGAGATTCCTGATCGTGGGGATCACGATGTCCAGCTCATCTTTCAGCAGCGGCGTCGCGGGGATCGCTCCTCCGGCCATGGCAGGTCAAGTAACCGACGGCGGGCGGTGGCGTTTTTGTTGGGGCGGAGCACAATTGCGGAAAGGGGGGATCTTGATTGGATGCAGAAACGGAACGGAATGTCCGAATATATAACGATGTAGGTGCAGAAGAAGTCCTTGTTCTTGCGGGTAACTCTCTGCTTAGTCACAAATTGGAAGAATAAATATTTAAAGAAAAAAAACTCTTTTTATTTATCAAAAAATATGTACCCGATATTTATAAAGAAAAAATTAACAAAAATATTTCAAAAAAAAATATGTGATTTTATGTAAATATATCAAAATTGGATAATTGACATCATTGTTTTTAGAAATTATCAACTTTTACACCAATACTTTGAGTTACTAACTAAGTTGAAATATTTGATATTTTACCCTCCCTCCGTCTCACAAAAACTTTTTTTTCTTTTTTCATCCGTCCTAAAAAACTTTTGTCATTTCTATTTAAAAGTCACTTTTACCTCTACTAATTATTAACGTACCTATCACATCATACTTTTTTATTATTAATCTATCATCATATCTTACTTTTACACATAACATCCAAGTGCATTTTTAGAAATTAAACACTGAAATACAGTCATCTTAAAATCTTTTAAAAATCAAAACCAGAAACATTTTGTGGGGCGGAGGGAGTATGTGACTGGACAATTATTATGTAGGAAATGGTAAGTAATTAGATTCTAATCTGTGCGATGCACGGTAAAAAAAATTATTTAACAATAAGTGTAATAAAATACGAAGTATAAAAAGAAGTCATAAATAGGAATAAGATAATTAGTCACTAAACTTCAAATTTTTATATTTAACTGATATAATGTATATAGTGTATTTCACCAATCAATATTTTAAGACATCAATTAAATTTAAATATAATCATAAATCTTGGAAGACTTCTTTACACACATTATTCCATGCATGATTCAGAGAATTGTTTTGTTCACCACAAATCAAGATTTTCAATTCTTATCAATTTGACACTTGTAAAAATAGCAACTTAAAGTTGACATTGTCACATAGAGTTTGTCAATTATTTGTGCTTAATTCTTGTCAATGCAAAAATTATAACCCCTAAATATTGTAGCACTCATAATTAATTTTGAAGTTTGGTAAAAATTTTAATAGCATTCATTGCCTCAGCTCGGATAATATGAATATGAAGAATAAACATTTGCCAATTTATTGATCTTTTTATAATTAACATAGTGAATTTTTAAACTGGGTGGCTCTTTTAAAAAAAATATAGGTCTTGACTCTAACAGATTAAACTATATAAACTACGGAGTATTTTTTTAACAATAATTACGTAATAATTTTTTTTGAAGGAAGCAATATATATTATAGTAATACAAAAAACAAAATTGTAGTATTATAATTAAATATCTTAATAGCTATCTTAAAAAATTAAGTTTTGAAATTTTTTATTAACATAATACAATATATATTACTCCGGAGTAAAATATAAAATATTTGGGCCCCGAAAATATGTACTTGGGCCGGTAGGGCATTTCGCCCACCCTAGGGCCGGCCTTGATTTTAGAGTCATTGTTTCTTCAAGTCCATTGATGTTAATAACATTGTGCTTATTTCTTGACAAATGCAGAAAAAGTTTGAAATATGATTGTGATTCAAGCGTGGACGATACATATGTACACACGCAGGCCCATTCTAAGATTTTTTAGGCTTGGGACGAATAAGAATATAAAGAATTACTTGGTCCGTCCCTGAGTGTTTGTCCACTTTGGACTTTTGGAACTGTTCATCTAAAAAGCATTTTGACTTATCAAATTCTCTCAATGTGTAAGCCTAAAAATAGTCATGTGTGATATTGTTTGATTCGCCTTAACATATAGATTATTAATATATAATTTTTATAATTTTTTAATATACAAATTACAAGATAAAATGGATTAAAGAAGTGCATTGGATGGTGTGCAAAAATGAAAGTGGACAAACACTCAGGGACGGAGGAAGTACTAGCTAAAAGTTTAAATACTTTCTTGATTAAAATTGAAATGCAATAAATTTTTGTATATAAAGAAAAAACATAAATAAAAAAGATTAAAGTATTCTTAATAACACTAGTTGAGGATTGTTTCGGAAACATGGCATTCAAATGTGTGAATATAATATTAATAGTAATTTTGTACAATAGTTTTATTTCTAGGCTACTCATAATATATCCTACGATTCAAATATTTGGGGTCTCCTAAACTTAGAAGACTCGGGGCCGTCGCGATTCTATTCCCATAGGTAATAGAGTACGATGTGAGTCACTGAGTCCAATGTGATGACATTAGTCCATTTAAAGACTCATATGATACTCCGTGACGCCCAAGAGTGGTTCTTTCGGCTCATAACCTTCCCCACCTAAACCTCCCCCCCTCCCTAAATCACCAAAATGCTACGAACATTAATATTGTAACATTTGAGCATTTTTAGGGGACATGAGATTCGGGGTTAGGGATTTCAATCATTTTCGATCTCAACGAAACATCGTAAGATTTGATATCATGCTATGACATTAACATCTAGTGTTATTTGAACTATGGTAATTAGAGTATGTCATTTATAAAATGACCAAATTGCTCATGTACCCCCAGTAGTTTGAAAAATGAGTATCGATCAATACCTCCTTTGTTTTCAAAACTTATTTCCAAAATCTCCGTTGTTTCAAAACCTTGCACCGATGCCCCCTTTCACCTTTTTCAAATCATTCTCCGGCCACCTTTTGGCGAAGATGAGACATTGATGCCTATTTTCCAAACCACAGGAGCAACTAGCTCATTTCTTTTTTTGTTTATTTTTTTCTTTTTTAACTCTTCATCTCTTTGTTTCCATTTTCTTAGAAATTCTTTTAATTTCTTTTCTAATTTTTTAATAACATTTTAAAAAACTCAAATTTTTTGTGTTTCAAATAAAAATAAAAAAAATGAAAAAATAAAATGAAACATACAAAACAATACTCTTATACAAAAAAGTATTTTCAGAACGTCTAAAATAGTCCTTGGGATTGAGATATGCGAAAAATGTTATTCATTTTAATTTTTTTTATTTCATTTCCTATTGTAATCCTCTTTTTTTGAAGTTTCCAAAAAAGGTTTTTTACCTTTTAGTTTTAGAAAACAAACAATAAAAAAGATGCAATGTATGTTAATTATATTTTATTTTAAACAAAAATAATTTTAAATTTTAAGAGCATCATAAAATAGCCAGAAAAAAGGGAAAAAACAAAAAAACAAATAGAAAATTAGAAATGAGCACCGGTACCCCCTCAATTAGAAAAATAGTCGCAAAATGATTATAGTGAGTGCAAAAATTTCTCGGGAATTTTAGAAATAAAATTTGAAAATGAAGGGAATATTGATGCTTTTCACACGTTCTATATAACTTTTGTTCGTAATCCGACAAAAATTACACATAATCATTGCGTGTGAAATCCTTTATGTGTCTAAACGTAAAAATTAAAAATGATGAATGAGAGTTCGTAGTTTTATAGATTGAACAAGTCGTCCTCCATTTGTTGCAGGACACACTTCTTTTTTTTTGATGAAAATGTAAATAGAATAAAGAAATAGAATATACAAATAGAACGGGCATACCCGAGCGTGGAAATGACAGCAAGCCAATTCCGAACAAAGACAAAATGGCTACATCACCAAATGTCCAACAAGCAACAACACAACCAAACATGAAGCAAGGCACACACGCCAACATAAACACCAAGAACAACAATGACATACATCAAAAGGGGAGGGAATACGTATGCCAGAGTCTCCCCAAAATGGAATAGACCATCACTTTGATTTTAAAAATCATACCCTCAACATGAATAGGTTCTTGATCGAAAAGGGTAGCATTACGTTGTTTCCAAATCTGGAAAACAGTACATGCCAGGCCAATCCTCCTAGCCTTCTTAAGAACAACATCACCTCTTCGAAAGGTCTTCATCCAACGAACAGCTCTATCAAGAGTGCTCAGGTGCCCATCAATCCGTAACCACTGCTTAATGGCCTCCCAAACCTGCTTTGAGATTACACACCCAAAAAACAAATGATCAATGTCCTCAAGGGTATCCCCACAGAGGGTATACTCCATAGGCAGACCCAGAAATTCCAAATTTGATTTAGTGGGCAGCCTCCTCCTAAATACTAGCCACATCGTAAAGGAGCATTTAGGAGGAATAGTCGAGTGCCAAATAAAAGCTATCCAAGGCTTGGGGTTGGCCTTCACCCTAAGCAAATCATACACCTTGCTCGGAACAAGTTTATCGCCCTCACACACAGTCTGCATAGCCACTTCCATGGAGGAGTTATGGCCGCCAAGCTTCTGGACAAGAAGCTCTCGCACATAGGCAAGCCTTTTGAAGAGGACGGAGTATCTCTTCTTAGGCTGCCATTGCCAAACATCATCTTGTTTAATAAATATATTATGCACCCATTTGACCCATAGTGAGTCCTTCTTTGATGCAATATTCCAAAGGATCTTGCAGGACACACTTCTAGCTTTATGGACTGTGACCAAAGTTGAAATCAAAAAGTGATACGGAGTATATGTTTATCCGACAATAGCTTTAGACTTAAAATATTTTTTCAAATAATCTATTCCATCCGTCTCTAAAATATGTTCTTGTTTCATTTTTTGCGCATCTCATAAAACAGTTTTCTCCCGTCTCAAATGCCAAAAAGTTGTCAAAATAACCTCTACCCACAATAAATGAAAAATATGATAAATTTTAGGTATTTTAGACTATTTATGTTCATTAGAGTACCTTAAGGCATAGTGTTTGCCTGATGTACAAATGGGGTATCCCATTATGGTGTACTCCTAGGTTTATTCTAAAAATCGTAAAATTCTGTTCTTAGAAGTACTTACCGAGTACAAAATGGAACAAGTATTAAGTAATGGGTCAAATTATTCTTACAACAATACTTATATACAACAAAATTCTATAACAATTCCGTTGGACTACCTACCGTACTTCGTTGGTGGGATTGAGGGTTCTTACCACCTCTAGTACCCATAAATATTTCACCCAGTCACCACTCCCACCTCAGCTCAGCCCCCTGCACCCCACCCCTCCATTAATATAATCATTATTATATTGAATATTCAAATTAAAATATGAATTTTTTTGACTTTTAGGCCGTGTTTGGAAAACGGCTTTTCAGATAGCTTTTGGCATGAACAACCAAAACCATTGTTTGGCTAATGACTTTTTCACTTGGCATTTTGATCCGAAAAGCCAAAATTTGAAATGCCAAAGGGAGTAGCTTTTGGACTTGGCTGTTATGAAAATTAATTTTTTTTAAAGTCATTTTTCTTGAAAGATATTTTATAATATATTTAAAAACTAAAAATAAAAAAAAAAGTTAAAAAAATTAAATACTGAAAAAACAAAATTTAAAAATTTAAAAAAAATGAAATGAGAAAATAAAAAGTAAAAATCATTAAAAAGTTGTATATTAATAATTTCTTATGAATTAAATGAAAGTAAAATTTGATACTCCATATAGTAAAGATTTAATTTTTACATGTAAAAAAATGAAAAATAAATATCATGTGTGTGTGTGTGTGTGTGTATATATATATATATGTATATTTATATTTATATTTATATAATTTTTAAAATATATTTATACCACCGGTTCGACCAGTTGAATCACTGGCTCAACCGGTAAATCAGTATCTTGACCGATTCGGTTAGCGACCGAGTTCCGAAAAGTATGGCATAAACTGAAAGACATGATGTCATTTCCTTGGAATTTTTTTGTGATTTTTGCGCCAAAAAAAGAAGTACTCCCTCCGTTCGAAAATGTTCTTCACATTTGACTTTTCTTGGTCAAAGTTTATAAACTTTTACTACGATTTGTAGAAAAAACACATTGTATTATGATGTAAATTTAATATCAATATATTCAGAATGAAACGTAGTTTTCAAATATCAAATTTTTATAAAATATATTGATGTATAAATATAAATATTAATGGTCAAAATGTAATATTGGAGACTTGAAAAGTTAAATAGAAAGAATATTTTGCAGACGGAGGGAGAGTCAAAAGACTAAATTTGTGTTGCGTCATCCGCCCGGCATCCCTTGTTGCGTGTATATATAAAACGGGGTAGTGCGTAGTATTGTAGTACTCCTACTTTACATGTGAAGTAATTAATTAATTCGCTAAACAAAATGACTTTAAACAAACAAATTGCTCCGATGATCATGAAAATGGACGCTTCCTCAAGGTATATATGTATGTAGTATTCACACACACACATGGTGGGGTTCTAGTGACACCAACTTTTGGTGACACTAGCGGTGCCCGTGTGCCACTGTCATTTTGGTGCATTTCCGGTGCTCCGTTCGTAAAATTGATGGTTCCTATCCTCCTAACCCACTCCCTAAACCCCCCACCCTACCCCAACTCCTGCACCCCCACCCCAACCCCGCCGTAAGCCCCCCACAAAAATGAAAGAGGAACTGTTTTTGAGAACGGAGGGAGTATTTTGTTATAAAGATATGTAAATTCCTATACTGATATATTGAACTTATGTTAATCCAAGTTAAGTAATTCACAATTCTGATCTCTCGACCTCTTTTGTTTGTTTGTTTGTTTGTTTGTTTGTTTGTTTGTGTTGGTATGAAAAATGAATGCAAAGGTTATCCCATTGCGGATTCTCCAACTGGAAGGGATACTTTGGGTAGCAGCAAGCCAAAAAGCGGAGAAGGAGAATCTTGGTAAAATTAATTAATTTCTTCCTATACATTCTCAAAATTGGCGAATATAATTAATTTAATAACGTTCCATTAATTTGATAATTATTTTGTACATCTTCAATGTTCCGTTCAAAAAGTTGATTGTTCCTAGTTCCTACCCACCTAACCTCCTCACTCAGGCCCCCCATTGCCCTTCCACTACCCCGGCCTTCATTCGCCCCTTCCAAATGTGTGACCATTATATTTCGCATAATAGTCACACATTTAGAGGGAGCGAAAGAGAAGGGGGCTAAGGTATGGTGGAGAGGTTAGATCGAGGGAGTAGGAACCAACAACTCTGTGAACAGATCCGAGCATTGGAAGTGCTAAAAAAAGATATATATCACCAGAGTGCTCAGTGTTAACGGAACCTTGCCGTTAATAATTTGATTTCACAAATTTATTTCAACACTAAACTCTAAATTTTAAAATCATTTTGTTAAACTCCATAAAAGCCGTAAAGATTTTTGAAACGGGAAATATAATCAAATAGTCTCCGTATTTGAAATTGAAGAAATCTAGTCCGAATACTTTTCTTTTTTGTTCATTATTAAGTGAGTAAAAATATTTTATATAATTAAAAAAATAAAAATTTAAATATACAATTGGAAAGTTTGTGTTGTTTGTGGCCAAGGTATTCTGACTCAAGCATTACTCATGGATTATTAGGTGAATTTACCATTAAAGTAAATTTCTAAAATGGTCATTTGTAATAAGGTGTTTTCCCAAATCAGTCTTCAATAAATTTTAATTACCTATGTGGTACTTTATAATTAATTTTTATTCCCTCGGAAGTCCTCAATAAAAAATGTCACTTAAGTGTCGATCAAGTGAAAAGTATTTTGGTATTTTTCGTCATCTAAATTTAGAATAAGTTCCTAAAATGATCATTACAAATGAAGTATTTTTCAAAATAGTTCTTTTCTAATTAAGGAGGTGTATTTAATTCAAATTTTAAATTTTTTTTAAAGTTTTTAATAATTCATGGATTGTGTATATATAGTAAAAAAAATTGTTTAAATATTACATGAAAGTGTATAAAATTGACAATTTTGAGTATTTACATTAAGTTTAGATAGTGAAAACATCAAAACGCCCTTCAATTAATCATCGTTTAAGTGACATTTTTTCACGAAGAACTATTTCGGTAATAAATCTCAAATATAAGATATCATGTAGATAAAAAGAATTTATTAAGGACCAATTTGGAAAAATACATCATTAGAAAAATTATTTTGGGAATCTACTCGATCTTACCATTATTATAGGGATCAGAGTATGAACCCTAGCCTCTTAATAATTTTTATTTATTTGTATATTTTAATTCATTACTCAATAAAATAAACCATCTTGTAACGTCTTGTTGGAATTCCCACATCAGAAAAAGTAATAAAACACCACTAGCATATATAGAAAGCAATAAAATAGCGCTAGTTACCGGCCATTTGGATAAACGAGTATAACATATATCCCAATCTCTTAGTCCTATTTTTAGTCCTATTCAGGTCTATATTTCAAATAAATACAGAGTAAAACTTGAACTCTCTAATACAGAGTAAATAAAATATTTTTTGATATGATTTGGTATGTGCGTGCAGCGGTGCAAAATGCTGTGATTGGGTATGTGATTGGTGTTACCTTCTCACCTGCTGTTGCTGTACCTGCGGTAAGGAGGACTAGGTTTGAAGAACACTACTTCGAGTGGTTAAGGGACTCAAATGACCTAATTAACTAATTACCTATGTGTGTGTACACACACACACAAGTATGTTTACAAGTATGCTTCACACGGACTCGTTTATTATATGTACTGCAATTTTATTTGATTTCATTCTCTATAGTGATATGTACTTGATGTTTTTTGTTGTTGGATTAAGCTTGGTTGTTGTGATTTATGATTTATCATTGTTTGATGTGAGTTTTTTTTTGACATTTTTTAACGTTTTTTCCATTGTTTAGCATTTGTGTTTTACTTCATCCGCCCCTTAAAAAACTTTTCATTTTGACTTTTAAAGAATTTAAGGTGAGTGTATTTTGATGTTGACTTTCCAAAAATACCCTTTGATGTGATAGATAAATTAAGATGTGATGGGTAGATTAATAGAGAAAAAGTGTGATGTGATAGGTAAATTAAGAATTAATAGGGGTAAAAGTGACTTTTTAATAAGAAAAGAAAAATGTTTTTTTTGGGACGGATGAAAAAAAAAGATGAAGGGTTTTGTGGGACAGAAGGTGCATGATATGTTTTTTACGTTTGTCATTATTTATTATAATTATGTACAAAGTAGTTCAAATAATTTAACTTTTTTTAAAACTCCATGAAAATCAAATCAAAAACCTAAATTTGGGGCAGACTGGCACAAGAAGTATACCTTGTTTAAATTTTTACTTTTAGTGTGTTTGTATAGACAAATAAACGTATATTAAGTACTATTCATTATTGTAGTTTTGAAACTAAACGACTTTTCAGTTAAAATGTAAAGCTTTAACATTGGAACAAAAATATATGATGAATTAAAATCTAATTTTATTTATTCTAATTTTCTAATAATTATATACTTTGTGCTATATAAATATTTTTTAAGTAATAGATATGATTATTTTTTATATTAAAGTTGTAGTTTTAATAATGATTCACCTGTACTCTGTATTAAAATATTAGGAATTTTTTGGTTTTGATTTACTTTTGAAGAGTATTAAAGGGAAAAATGATTTCTTTTTTTTAATTTTTTAATTTTTTAAAAACAATGAGGCCTATATAACCACTTTAGAATAATAAAATACTTATGCGTATTAAGAATGAGGGGGAAGGGATAATCCCATAGTTTTCAGAACCGAACCGGTGATCGAACCGGTCAAGGCACTGGTTTACTGGTCGAACCAGTGGTTCGAGTGGTTGAACCGGTGGTTCAAACATTTTTAATAAATAGATTTTATATATATATATATATATATATATATATATATATATATATATATATATATATATATATATATATATATATATATATATTGATATATGATTAATAAAATAATATTTCCTCTATTTATAAATAAAGAATTGATGTTTTACTAAACTTAGAGTTTAACTTAATTTACTTGAGTTGTTTCATTAAATAAAAAATAAAATTTACTTATTAAAGAAATCTTAGAAATAAAAAGTGATTTGAATTTTTTTAAACATTTTATCTACTCCGTAGTATTTAAAAATATATACATTTTATTTGTGTGATATGCAATCCATATCAATTACCTCAATGAGTTTTGAATTTTAGTAAAAAAAAACTATCTATACTTAAAAAGTACGAGTATTTGATAAAAAATTTGAATGAAAAATATATTAATGAATAGTTGATAGTTCCCACCAAGTAACGTAGCAGAGATGGTTTGGAAAAGCTCTTCCCTACTGTCTAGTTCCGTGTTCGAACCCCCGGGCGTGCGTTTTTAAAATTCTTTATAAAAGAATTGGAAAACCGGAACCGGCGGTAAAACCGTCCGGTTTTTAAAACTATGGATAATCCTACAAAAAAAATTGCTACAACAATTCTTACAACACTTCAATTGGCAGTTAGGGCTGTTCACATTTAGGTCCGGACCGAAAAAACCGACCGAATCGGACCGATAGGTCCAGATCGAACCCGGACCGAATGGATTTCGGGTCGGTCTTCGGTCCCGGTTGGACCTAATGACCTAAATACTAAAACTCTACTTTTTAAATTTCTTATTACACTTTGATGCTCTATTTTAATAAATATTTTAATTTATTTAATTTAAAGTGTTTTTTATTAAGTAATTTTAAAAAAATCTTTAAAAAAACATTTCATATTTGTTTTTTGGTTCTACATTCAAGTAGTTCATATTGTGTATCCATTTTAAGGCTACCTATTTTTTTTTATTCATTTTCTATTTGAATAGTACAAAGTAAAAAGTCTAAAATATATTTAATTGATCTAAATAATTAAAAAAATATAATTTTTTCGGTCCAATCGGTCCGGACCGGTTCGGTCCTAAATATTTCGGTCCGGTCCGGTCCAAACCCGAATGGATTTAGGTCCGGTCTTCGGTCCTAGAATTTACTCATTTCGGTCTTCGGTCCTGTCCGGGTCGGTCCGGTTCGATCCGGTCTTGGACCGATGAACAGCCCTATTGGCAGTGCGTTATGAATATTTTTTGTTTAATTAAAGGACAAAATCAGAATCACATGTACGAAACAAAAAATATTCATAACGCACATAATAAACAAATAATAAGAGTGCTATTTTGATTTCTCTCCCTTACTATTATTACTATTATTATTATTACTATTGTTTTTATAATTATTTGTATTAGTATTATGATTATGATTGTAATTATTATTATTATTGTTATTATTATTATTACTATTATTATTAATAATATACTCCCTCCGTCCTAAAATGTTCTTCCTTGTTATTTTTCACACGGTCAAACTTTAATCATTTTCTTTACTTATTTTCATTAAGTATTTGATAAAATAATATAGTCTTGTCACCACTTGCTGTGTAGAACTTTTGATGTAGTGTTTAAATATATAAATTTTATTTTTTAATTTTACATCTACAATCAAATAAATTGAATTAAAAATAAGGCCGATCAAATCTCGTAAACAGAAACGGGAAGAACATGGAGTAATTATTATTATTATTATTATAGCCATTATTATTGTTATTACTTCTATTATTATTATTATTATTATTATTATTATTATTATTATTATTATTATTATTATTATTATTATTATTATTATTATTATTATTATTATTATTATTATTATTATTATTATTATTATTATTATTATCGGTGAGTTTTTTTGTCAACAATCATTGTTGTCTTATTATGACAACAATGGTATGCAGTGCTTTGTTCAAAAATTAATGGTTCCTATTTTTCATAATCTCACATAAACTCCATTCTCTCTCCTTGCCCCCCACCCTAAATTGTCGATTGGCTACACTAGGGTGGGCGCATGGGGATTAGGCGATAGGTACCATTAATTTTTCGAACGGAACACCGTAGACCTAACTACCATTGTATGACAATCCTTTTTGTTGTCAACAAAAGGGGGCCGTATTATTATTACTGTTATTATTATACTCCCTCCGTCCCAAAAAGTTTGTTACGTTTAGAAAAAATTGCGTCCCGTAAAGTCTGTTACATTTCTATTAAAAAACCACTTTTACCCTTACTTTTTCATACCCTACCTATCACATCATACCTTTTTTCTAATAATCTACCCATCACATCCTACTTTTACCCATCACATCAAGGGTATTTTTGGAAAGTCAATACCAAAATATCTCACCCCTAATTTCCCAAAAAGTCAAACCGTCCCATTCTTTTTGAGACAGAGGGAGTAATTATTATTATTACTATTATTATAATCATTATAATACTCCGTAATAGTTTAAATTTAAGGATAAAGCTACTTGTACCCCATATTTTGTACCCCACTTTGTACCCCGCAAGTTTACACCAACACTTTGTGTTGGTGTAAAACTAATTTTTGTTAATGCACAAACACTTTGTGTCTGTATAAATTTTTGTTAACGCACCAACACTTATGTCGGTTTAAAGCATCAAAATGTTTGTGTATATCTATAGTGTACAAATGGTGTATAATTTGTGGTGTAAGTATAGCATGACCCTAAATTTAAATCAAATTTATATAAGATCACATGGAATGAGACTACGTTGAATCAGTCTAACCTATATCATCTTACGAGTAGTTAAATTAGTTAGTGAGGTGCGCGAGTAACTAACTTAGAACTTCTTCTTGTTCTTCAGCTCGTCCAATGCCGGGAGAGACCAAACAAATCGGAAAATGGAATCTTCTTCAACCTCCAGGCAAGGCCGGAAACCGCCCACGCCGAAGCAATCGGACATCTACTCCACCTTCGTTGTCCACGGCGGCGGCGACGACGACGACACACAGAGCGAGCAGACTAGCGACACTGACCTCTACGCCACAGTCGTCTGCAAAGACGACGCCGTATCGCTTCCTCCGCTGGCCAAACGACCTCCTCCCGGACGAATCGATTCCGGATCTGAGAGTGACGCGGAGTCCGTTTGCGGCACGATGATTGTGAGAACCGGTCGCCGCAGACCTAATTACGAGACGACGTCGTTTCTCGATCGAACGGAGAGAAGCCGGAAGTGCAGAATCGATGGGATCGGCGAGGAGGAGGACAATGCGGAGGGGGATTTCTCTACGTTTGTCATGAGAGAGAGCGTGGCTGAATCTGGGACGGTGGTGAGGAGAACGAGCAGAAAGGGGGGAATCGGCGAAGGCAGCCGATCCTCAACGATGAGCAGAGCTGTCGCGAGTATGCAGTCCGCGGGGGAGGTTGGGATCGGGAGGCAGATGAAAAGCGGGGGCGGCGGTAGGTCGGAGGAGGAGACCAGGGTGCACGGGAATAAGGTGTCTTCGAGCTCTTTTACAGATAATGTGATGAGGGAAGATCCTTCTACGAAGTATGAAATTCTTCACGAACTGGGTAAATGATTTTCCGTTTTAAATACAGTACTTTGAGCTGGATTGAGAGGTTGAATCAGTAATGGTAGATATAAATAGTACCCGGTAATGATTTGTATATTACAGTAAGTGATTAAAAGGGGGAGGAATTTGCCATGGCAGGGAAGGGTTCATATGGGGCTGTTTTTAAAGCTCGAGATCTGAAGACTTCGGAAATGGTTGCCATAAAAGTCATATCATTGTCTGAAGGGGTTGGGTTTCTCTTCACTCTGTTTCTTTTTGCTCTCTGCTCAAGCATGCTATTCAATGAATTTGATATGCATCCAGGAGGAGGGCTATGAAGATATCATTGGTGAAATTGAGATGTTGCAGCAGTGCAGCCATCCAAATGTTATTCGCTACTTTGCGAGCTACCAAGGAGACGAATACCTTTGGGTATGATAAACTGAATTAATCCACGCAATTTATAACTCATGGAACAATTAATGCTTCAACACATCAAAATAAAAAGAAATGGTTGTGTGTATAATAAGCATAATCAAAATTATGACTTGTGCTTTAGCTTTGGGCATTGCCGATGAAGCTAAAAGAGTTTACTGGCAGTGTTTTAGTTTCAGACACTTAATAGATTAAATCAAAATGACACACTATACTTCTCTTGCTTCTTAGTTTCTAATTTCTATAAAGTTTTACAGGGACAAGACTGCGTTTATCTGACCTCAATGACCCAACACAGTTGTGATTGTATTGGGTTGTTGTTGTTGTTGTTATTTCATTGTGTGGATTTTCTATGTTTTAACAGATTGTGATGGAATATTGTGGGTGTGGAAGTGTTGCTGGTTTAATGAATGCCAATGAGGCACCACTTGAGGAGCACCAAATAGCATATGTTTGCAAAGAAACATTGAAGGTAAAATTGGCTAGATCACTTAACCAATGTTTTTAAGTTGTTGGTCTAAGGAGCAGAGTCATTGACACATGAAGTAGTCTTTTGTTGACAGCACAGCTAACACCCGTAGCCCATGGCCCCACTTTTATGTAGGATATAGTGGGCATGTCTGGTTAATTTGGTTTAGTACTCCCATAGTGGCATGTTAGAGTGTGACCACAAAGGCTTCTCTCTTCGACATCAAAAGTATAATTTAAAATGCAATATTTCATCAATAACTTTGTGCTTGCATTTTGTCTGAACTATCATTTTTCTAATCATCTGATACAGGGTCTCTCTTATTTACACTCCATTTTTAAAGTACATAGAGATATCAAAGGCGGTAATATATTGTTAACTGATCAAGGAGAGGTTAAGTTAGGTTAGTACTTTCATTTAAAGTTCCAACATCTCTTACTATTTTGAAACGACATTCTTGCCATATTACTCGTTTAGAGCTTATAGCTGATGTCATTGATCTGTGGTTTAAATATGATTTCTTGTTATATTTTTTTGTCACATTCTTTAATTGCATTGCTAAGTTAATTCACAAGTCATTTGTGCATCAATGTATCTATTATTATTTCATACCGAGCCCCCCAATTTGTAATAATAATCAGTATAAGCAGGTGATTTTGGTGTTGCTGCACAACTATCTAGAACAATGTCCAAGCGTAACACGGTATTTTTCAGTCATTTAGCTCTATACCTCATTTAGGAATTTGTAGGTTTTCCCTTATACTTTAGCATGTTTTTACCTATTGTGGGATTTCCCCTATACCCCAATTTTTTGCTTTTGGTTCTATGTAATAGTATACGGAGAGTTTTCCCTTATACTTTAGCATGTTTTTACCTATTGTGGGATTTCCCCTATACCCCAATTTTTTGCTTTCGGTTCTATGTAATAGTATACGGAGTAATGTTAAAGGAACTTTTTTGCTTAAAAGTTTTATTTCGTCAATCAATTTTCAGTTTATTGGGACCCCTCATTGGATGGCTCCAGAAGTCATTCAAGAAAGTCGTTATGATGGAAAGGTATGGTTAACGCTGTAGTCTTGCTGTACTTCTTGAACTCTTTCTGGATACTACTTTTATAGAATTATGTTTACTGTTTTTTCAAAAATTATCTGTCTTTTTTCAGGTAGATGTATGGGCACTCGGAATATCTGCTATTGAAATGGCAGAGGTATGTTCATTTCCAATTATTTTGCTATTGAGTTGTATTGCAGCTTAAGATTATAAAAGATTTGATGAATTCTCTCTCATTAGAGGTGACCAACCTCCTTTTCTTTTTAGGGTCTTCCTCCAAGAGCAACCGTGCATCCTATGAGGGTTAGTCTTTGAATCTTAAGCTTCCAGGGAATATCTCATATTCATTATTGTTATTATGTATATGTACGTTGAGATATATGTAAGAAACAATGAGATGTTTTTTGTGCTGTAAAGTTCATATTATTAATAGATTATTCATTCCTTAGTGCTGAAGTGTAATAAACCTGCAAACGACTAGTGCTGAAGTGTAGTTTTGCACCAAGGGTTTTGTTAATGGCATTTAATACAATGTCTTTCTAAATATACAACTTGATATGTTTGTAACTTTGGATAGGTCTTGTTTATGATATCAATTGAACCAGCTCCAATGCTTGAGGATAAAGAGAAATGGTGTGTTCTTTATTCTTGATTCTTTGCACATCCAGTATCCTTGTTTTGTTGGTAGTTTTCTTTTAACTTGTAGTTGTTTCTGTAATTTCAATTGGATTTGTATGGCTTCTTACACTTTGGGGAATAAATATAAATAGGGTTAAGTGGTTAGGACATGGCCATTTGAAGCCATGTGCAAACTCATATAGATGTAAAGAGATTTTGAAATGGAACCATATAAATATATTTTAGGTCTCTTTTATTCCATGACTTCGTTGCAATGTGCCTTACAAAGGATCCCCGTCTTCGTCCAACCGCAGCAGAGTTGCTTAAGGTACTTTTCATATACTTTGCATTTATTTATAAGGAGTATATGTAATTATGGAAAATCATTGTTTCTTTCTTTCCCTGTGTAAAATCTGAAGTATTCATCTTTAGTAAATGTTGTATGCTATATCTGAGGTTTGGAAATTTCATAGATTGGCATCTGATTTCCCTGATTTTAGGCATCTTCTGTGAAGATAATCAATACTGAATTAACATATATCTCCATAACTTTCTACTCCATATTGTATTGTGGGCTCTCAAGTTCAATGGGCTTTAAATACTACATATTCCAAAAAAAAGTTATATTAGCTGTAAGATATGCAACTACTTTCCCCACTCAAAAACATTTGATTGTGAGGTTGATTTTATGCCAAGAATGATGACTCATTTCTTATTCGTTCAATGGTACTTGAAGCACAAATTCATTGAGAAGTGTAAAAGCGGAGCTTCTGGAATGCTACCCAGGATTCACAAGGCAAAACAAGTTAGGTCATCAATGGCCTTGGAAGCTCAGAAAATTGCTTCAGCTGCAACTCTACATGGAAATGTATGCCTCTCCAGTATCTGTATTTATTTCCATGATGAGATCTCAGTGTTCACTAGTTTCCCCTGCCTCAGATCTCAACATCTTTTAGAGATTACTCAGAAAAATTCAAATCAACTTGGTTAAAATGCAGTCAGGAGGTTGCCCCAAAGTAAACGAATCATTTGGAGATACAGTGCCTGCTGGTTTTCAAGTCTCCAATGTTGTCTCTTCTGCAATTGCTCTGAATAAGGATGATTCAGAACATATAGAACCTGCTGCAGAAGGTAACCCTATTAGGTTCCATCCCCCACATCACATACATCTAAATGTTGCCCTCACCGTAGTGTAAACTGAAAACCAATCAACATTTTTTCACTTTTGATTGACCTTTTATGGTTAACTCAATTAAACATTGTGAACTGATAAAACCCATAACATTTTTTCTCTTTACATACATTAAACTTGGGAACCTTGGCCATATTACTTTCATCTTTAAAATTTTGTGACTCTAAACTTGACTTAAGGAAATGTTTGGATCACTTAAGAGAAAATGCTTAGTTACTCGTATTTTTTTATGTTAGGCTTTCCCTTTCAAAATGTAAAGGAAAACGAAATACCCTAGAGTATGATTTTTATTATTAATTATGTTTATATATTTAGATTTTTAGTCTCTACACAAGAGAAATAAATAAATGAATCAAGTTTGAACAAGTATCTACAAGAACTTTAATGATCTTGAAGTATATCTTTTATTTCCCCCCAAAATTCGTTTCCTTCTCGTCTTCTTCATTTTCTTTCTCTGTATTTTTGGGTTTCAAAAGAACCCTAAAAGACATGCTACTTCTAAACAAACAGGTGACTTTGGGACAATGATAATTCGAGATGGTGGTAACATAGATATAGCTGCAACTCAAAGAAATAAAGAACCTTCCCCTTCGGTTAACCATGCTGAAAATGCTCAAATTCCTGGCCACGGTGAAAAAACAATTGAGCATCGGTATTTTATCCCTTCTCTTTTGGTATTATACTACAAAGTTCATTCAGTTTGTGTATCAGGTTTGCAGTACCATATACATGTCTCCTTTCTAAATATCGTATGAGAGGTTGAGGTTATGCAACAACTCTACCTCTCTTCAGTTTATTCAAGATGAGTAATTAACTTCAAAGCTAAGCTCTTTAATAAGAGAAAATACTCTGGATGCACAGAGCCAATATTTGGCATATATATCACTGCCAATGATGTGCTTCTGAAGGGAAATTTCATAATTGAATGTCTTAAATAAGTCTCAAGTCCGAAGAAACAAAATTAGGAAACCTTCCGGTGTAGCTGATGATGCATTCTTGGTGGCATCAGGTTATACAGTGAAGAGAGTGTAAGTTCCCTACCTGGGGCATCCAAAGCCGGAAAAGGGCAAACCACCTCTTCTCCTGCAATGTTTGCTCCTCCTCTTCTGAACCCCCCGCCGGGTGAAACTGTCAGTCAAAAAGCTTTGGAAAAGGTAGTTTCTTTCCCTTTCCAATTCCCTTTCCCTGTAGGAAACTAAGCATTGCTTCATTTGTTTTTCATGCATAATGCTTTCCTTTGTGTATATAATAATCACACATGTGCATATGCACTCTTGTAGCTCCGGTCAATATACTCAGCAGGTAACACAGTACCGATCCCCTTCCTGAGAGCAACTGACATATCGCCAATTGCACTCTTGTCGAGCAACATGCTTGGGGCCTGGCAACAAGATGACACGCTGCATGAGCTTTTCTCTAGCGATGCACAACAGTCAAAAAGAGGCCGAAGCAGAGAAAACGAGGTTGCTTTTTTTAACTCCTCCATTAGTCTTTTTTGGTTCTCTAGTTGTGTCTTTATGGTTCTCTACGACAATTTTCCTCTTCCTTGTACTGCCTTAGGACTTTGCTGTTTATGATTATCTAATAATGGGATCGATACAATGCAGGCCCCCCTTCCTCCAAGTGTACACCGGCGGCTCTCTTCTAGTCCTACTCTAATGAATCTAACCCAAGCTTTGGCATATCATAGGATGTAAGATCATTTCTACTTTTCCCTACACATGCTCCATTTTTTTCAGGTTCTGTTGCATTCTTATTTTGAGCTCATAAGGCAATTGCCTAATGACCACACATTTAGAGGGGGGCAGGGCAGGGGCTGGGGTGGCCTGGGGGGCAGGGATGGGGTCGGGGGGTAGGAACTATTAATTTTGCGAACGTAGCACCATAGGTGCTCTAAAAAGGCAGTGGCAGCGGGAGTGTCTCCGTAAGCTAGTGGTTACGGAACCACCCGTGAATATTTTGCCATTTTATTTTTTTTTTGAAAGATATTTTGCCATTGTATTGTACTTTTGATATCCCAAAATTGATTCCATATTTCTGTTAATAGATCGAGTAAATTATGTAGCATATATATACTGAATGATGACTACGTACAGGTGTTATGATGACATGCCTCTTCAGGAAATGCAAGCTACACAAGAGCAAAAGACCATCCAAAGCCTTTGCGACACGCTTAAAACTATTTTGCGATTATAGATATTATCCCTTTATTACAAAAAAGGAGTATAATATTTGAGTCTCATGTCTTTAACAAGTTGACATCTGTCATCTTACCTGATATTTTTTAAATGACATGACATGCGAATAAATTACATGGCATCTTTTAAATGTTCATTCACCATCTATGGTAAGTTATTTATTGCAACCTTTAAAATTTGAGAAGTTTAAACCAATATATTTTTATATTACAATTTTTTTATATAGATTTTAGAGTCTAGTAAAAATTGAACAATGTAAATGAAATAAAAGCTATGATGTTTTCAACAAAGTTTAAAAGATTTATTCATTACAAAAACTAATCATGATTCGTTGCTTTTTTTTCCTAAAAAATGATGATGATTTTAAGTCTTTTGAGTAAAATATGAATTTTTTAAAATTATTATTATATTCTTCTGTATCGAAAATTATTGTGCTAAATTATACCTCATAAATCATCATAATCTTTTTTTAAATTAAATTATAAATGTGTATCACCTAATTAAGATTAAAAAAATTACTAAAGATGAGAAAACTTTTAGTGCAAAAACCTTTATGGTACAATATATTCCATAATTTTTTTAATAACTATAATTTCCATAAATATATAACAAAAATATAAACAAATAAAGTTTCTATTAAGAATTGAATTTTATTCTGAGATACTCCGTATTATAAACGAAGTATATTCACATCATGGTACCGATAGTAATTTAATACTTTATTTATGAACTGAAAAATATTTACAATGCATAACACTTTTCTTTTAAATAAATGGAAATATTATCATAAAGGATATACGGAGTATAATTTTTAAAAAGAAATATTTTCATCATCTTTATTAGTAACACTTTTTCGGGTGTTTATTTTTGGTGATTGGAACATAATTTTTCATAAAGAAAAAATATTATAGTAACAATAGATAATTGAAAATATAATCTTAATATTCATATGCCATGCCTATATTTTAAAATGCTTAAGGAAATGGAATCATAATCAAATACTACCATAAATATTGAGAGCATTATTGTTTATTATTATTGCTCCACACACCCCTCAAGCTGAACGTCGTGAAACGAGAGGAAACTTGAAAACAAGAGCTGTGTAGCGAGAAGATGGTAGAGCCTTGGTTAGGGGATTGGCTAGCTGGTCAGCAGAAGGAACATAAGAGACAATGATCGTCTCAGCAATAACTTGTTCCCGAATAAAATGATAGTCAGTGCCAACATGCTTTATGCGTTTTGAAAGACAGGATTCTTAGTCAGACAAGTAGCGGATTGATTATCGCAAAATAGATGTGGAGGTGGTAGCGCGATCCTTAGAATGTTAAAAAGATAAGAGAGTAATATTACTTCAGATACTGTGATTGAAAGGGCACGATACTCTGTCTTAGTAGATGATTTTGAGACTTGACTCTGCTTTTTCGTACTTAAAAAAATAAGATTAGGACCCAAATAAACAAGGTACCCAATAATGGAGTGACCATTTGTCTATCATTTGTCCAATCAAAGGTAGAATATGCCTATAGCGCTAAAGGGCCTTTGCGAAACACCAACCCCGAGTCAAGTGTGCCTTTAATGTAGCACGTACAAGTTCCGCTTCAAAGATTGAAAATCATGTTTAGTGGGTGCATGCCTATACTAACAAACATGATTCATTGCAAATTGTATATCCGGTGTAGTATTAGTGAGTTACTGAAGATAACTATCAAGACTATAGAAAAAAGTGGGGTTAAGGTTGCACCACTTAACGCTCCCCTCGGAGTATTTTCCGTCATTTTTTTTTAGAAAGGAGAGACATTGATATCTATTTTTCAAAGCACGAGGGTACCAAAGTCCATGATCTTATTTTCTTGTTTAGTTTCTTTTTAAAAGTGCTATTTGCTACTCCCTCCGTTTGCAAAAAGACTTCTCATTTTGATTTGGGGGCAAAAATAAGGAAGTGTTAAATTATAGTTGATTTCCAATTTTGCCCCTGATGTGATGGGTAAAAGTAAGATGTGATGGATAGATTATTAGAGAAAAAGTATGATGTGATAGGTAGAGTATGAAAAAGTAGGGGTAAAAGTGGTTTTTTAATAGAAAGGGGAAGTATTTTGTTGGAAGTGGAAAAAATGAAAGAGGAAGTGTTTTTGAGAACGGAGGGAGTATAACATTTTATAATTTAAATTGACTTTTATTTGAATACAAAACAACTAGAATGAAAGAATAATACATGCTTGTATGGAATAGTATTTTTAATTTCTATCCGACCATACCGGAAAAAAAGAATAAGCCTCATCTCCGAACACATTGAACGATAATCTAAATTAACTTTTGATCACAGAGATTTGTATTAAAGATTGGATTTTATCGGACGGAGTAACATTTTAGAATGTTTGATAGCAATTTCCCATAATAAAGTAAAATACTCCGTAATAGTTGAGCTTTACAAAATTGGGCCCCAATCTACATTTGGACCCACCCCCCAACCCTAACGCCCTTTCCTACAATAATTATAAATACGGCATGCATTCCGTTCCGCCCTCCTTCAGTCTCCACACGCGCAAATTCACAGTCCTTTCTTCTCCGCGGCGATGGTACCTTTACATTCCTCAGAGATCTGTCATATTTTAATTTAATTTATGCATCTTTTTATTATTATATTTTGCTTCACGTACAGATTTGTAAGTATTATCTATCTATATTCATGCATGTATGTATAGGCTGGAGAACTTGTGAACCCTAAAGCCTACCCTCTGGCTGATTCCCAACTCACCAAAACCATTCTGGATCTGGTCCAGCAAGCCTACAACTTAAGGCAGCTCAAAAAGGGTGCTAATGAAGGTTGTCTCTTGTTTTTGTTTTCAACAATGCCTAAATTTTTGTTTGGTTTTTTTGTTGCTCTTTTTCGACATGATTGTGAAGTTGAATGTCTGGTGTGTTTCAGCCACGAAGACGTTGAACAGAGGAATTTCTGAGTTTGTTGTGATGGCTGCTGATGCCGAGCCTCTCGAAATTATTCTCCACCTCCCACTTTTAGCCGAAGATAAGGTAATACTTAGTACTACTTTGTTTCTTCTTGTTGTTGTCTTTAATTTTAGATATAGTGATCTTGTGTGATATAATGATCTTGCGGATTACTACGTTATAAATAGTCCTGCATGTGAAAAGTTATGAACTATTTATGAACTTTTGAAACTTGAAAAACTAATAGTGCACACAACTTGTTTAATTTGTAGAGTTGAAGGACCAATTGAACGTGAATTTTAACTTGATTTCTAATATGTATTGTTTGTCTTTGATTTGGTCATAGAATGTCCCCTACGTGTTTGTTCCATCCAAAATAGCTCTCGGCCGAGCATGTGGCGTTACTCGACCTGTGATTTCTTGCTCGGTGACATGCAACGAGGGAAGCCAGTTGAAATCTAAAATACAAAAACTCAGAGTAAATATATATTTACTGATGTTGTGTAAATAAACTGTCAATCACCTTTTGATTTCTCACATATAGATATATATGGAACTCATTTTTTCTTTCTTTTGGGGTTTTTTGTAGGATGCCATAGAGAAGCTCCTCATATAATAATAAATGGTGTGAAGTCATCATATATTCAGCATGATGGGCCTCATGATCTCTGCACTAAATTGGGCTGTGATGAGGAGGCCGGCTTTGACTGGCCATGTTTATTTTTGTGCTTAGTTGTTTTATGAATTTCGTTTTAAATTAAGTAGTGTCATAAGGATTCACTAAACCTGTGTATTCACTATAGATTTTAGAAAATCATTATGAATTTTTTTTATATTAGAGGTATTCGATTGAGACTTTTGGTAATGAAAAAAAAATTAGAGGTACACTGCACTAACAAGAATGTTTTTTTCTCATTTTCTTTTTCTTTCCCTCTCATATTCCTAGAACCAAACATAGTGTAAAAGTTATAGAGTATAAAGTGTCAGCTTTCAACAGAACAAACATTAGCATTGAAGATTAATCTTTTTGTCCGAAAAAGTTCTTAAGTTAAATTTTCACCGTGTGTAAAGAAAGATCTTTATTTAATGAATAAAGATAATGAAGATAGTGATTGCGTTCTTCAAAAAAAAAAAATAGTGATCGCGTTTTTAATGTTAAAAAAAGTATTAGGAAAATCTTTTGTCAAAAAAAAAAAAGATATTTTGAAGACCTTTCTCATATAGAGTGTGTATGTTTTATTTTTAAATTCAGTAGTATTGTTGAAAAGTTCAATAGCGTTACTATTATGGTTAATTTTGAATCACTAGTTCTGTATTTTATAAAGATTAGATTGCACTTCTTTCTTCTTAATTTTTTGTTCAATTTTGCTTATCTTGTGCTTTTATTTATGGTGTTATTGGTGTATACCATCATAAATTAATTAGGAGTTTGTATGGAAAAAAGTTTAAATTACGAGTAAAAAACATAGGTAAAAAATTAAAATAGGAGCTCCAAGAACTATTTTTTTGTGAATACCTTCATAAAGTGAATGGTAGTATTTTTAATTTTTTATTATACAAACAATTTTGAATTTTTGAAATTATTTTCTAGAATAAATCTAAAAAAAACTTTATGAAAAAGAAAACAAAGTGAAAACAAAAATGACAAACCAAAAAGGAAACCAAAGATACCCCAAAATGAGGGATCTAAGAATCAGTATAGTAAAACATTAAGGACAAAATTTAAAAACATACTCCGTATTTAATAATGCTTATGCATGAAATAATGGACGAATCACCTCCCAATAATTAAAGTAATCACCAAAATAGAGTAAAACAAATAGAAAATACAAAATTAGTACTTCCATATTTTGTTACTCTCTTCGTCCCAAAATATTTGACACATTTGCTTTTTCAATAGTCGCTAGAATTTTTGTTTATTTCTACGTTTTCATTGGTTATTTGATAAAATAAAATATTCTTGACATCTCTTATTTCGAAGAACTTCCATATAATTTTTTGATATGTAAATTTTATTTTTTATTTCTATACCAATATGTAAATAAAATAAATTGAAAAAATTTGATACTTTGCGTCGAGAATACACGTGTGACAAATATTTAGAGACGAAGGGAGTACAAAATTGGAGTTTGTACTATAACAATGTGACATTGCATATTAGCATTCCACTAAGTTTGTTCGTATTATATATTGATGTTATTACTTATTAGCATTGTAATTTTTATTTTACGAATAAAAATATGAAATTCATGTTTTGATAGTTTTTTATATTTTACTTCCTACTCTCTCCGTCCCTGAGTGTTTGTCCACTTTCATTTTTGCATACCATCCAATGCACTTCTTTAATTCATTTTATCTTGTAATTTGTATATTAAAAAATTATAAAAATTATATATTAATAATCTGTATGTTAACGAATCAAACAAGATCACACATGACTACTTTTAGGCTTACACATTGAGAAAATTTAATAAGTAAAAGTGCTTAGATGAACAATTCCAAAAGTCAAAAGTGGACAAACACTCAGGAACGGAGCAAGTATTAAATTTTGCCCCCAATAATTATAACAAAATTTTAAGGGTCCCTCGGAATTTCTCTAAAACAGAGGAATCTGAGATTTGGAGTAATTTTCTTGGGCAAACATCTAAGCTGACGGTACGCCGGCCTCCGCCGTGGAAGATTTCCAAGACAAAATGAGTAAAGTTAGCTCTTTGTTTAGAACCCAAGCTAGAAACTTTTCTTTTCCTTCGCGTTCTTCCGCTCTTCCTCATTCTCGACATCGCCTTCTACTCCCCGTACCAGCAGAACAATGCTTCAAGAACTCATTCAATGGCTTTCAGACCAACCCCAGAAAACCTGCTCTAAGTTTCGCTGCTCTGAGGCACTTGAGCACAGCTCATTCCGAAGATCGCGGCGACGAATCAAGAAATGGAAACCGCCTTTTGAAATGTATGTCCTTCTTGCTTCTCTGTGTGATGTGAAAATGAACTTTTGGAATTTCCTTCTCTCTCACTCCCTTTGCCCACAACGTGTTTGATGTTTTATCTCTGTGGCGATTTCTCCCAGTTTCTTGTCTAATATGGTACACTCCTTTTGCAAATTTTCTCCTTTTCTATTGTGTTATGGCAAAAGATTACTGCTTGTCTAAATTTCTAAGAAAGCAACTATTTTGTTCTGGTTGATGCATCATTATCCATGTTTATTATTTTAGCAGTAAATAGGTTTTGTCTTACTCTGGTTTTTTTGTGTTATGTAACGTCCGTTGCAAATGGAGATGGAGCTAAAAGAGTCATTTTTATGGACAAAATCAAAGTGGAAAATTAATCTTCCTTTGCTTTTCATGAAGTTTTGGGGAGTAAAGTCTAATGGAAACCATCTCCGATTTTTGGGCTCCAGAACTCTACACTCCAGTGGAGTTGGGATTATACTCAGTTTATTTTTGTGTTTATGTGTTTTGTATATGTGGTTTCTTGCAATTTTAGACGGTACAAGTGAGGAGGTGGAACCAATTGAGTCTTGGGAAGAAGAGGAAGAGGTTGAGCCTGAGGTATATATATACACTCCATGACTGTATTGTTTGCCAACTATTTTCTCTCTTCAAGTTTGAAAATCTTTGAAATTTCAGCTTGGCGATGGAGGGGATGGTGGAGGAGTTGTCTTCCAAAACTGCCCTTGGGGAGAGCAAGCATTGTCCATTGCTAATGAGGTACTGAAGGAACATACAGTTGACATGGAGCTCTTTGCTTTCAAAACTTCTCCCAAGGGATACATCTATGTGAGACTGGACAAACTCACAAATGAGTACGTGCAAGATCACTTATTGATTCAAATTCTTTGTGAATTCATGCTGTCTATAGTAGTCGGCTTGTCATTTGACTCCTTTCTTTTGGACTAGGAGTGGGCCCGTGAAACATAAAAAAAACCACTGAATCGTGGGGAAAACAGCAAAAAATGAATTGAGAAGAACCAAAAGTGAATCAAATTGCTGCTATCTGGTTGCAGTTTCTGCCCCCAAAAACTGAACCAATGCATTCAAACAGGAAAATGATGTCATTTTGCATTTTTGCCTAAGTTAGCTTATTAAGTACATAGTTGAAGAAATATTTTTTAACTATAAACAAGAAAATGTCTAGGTAGTGAGTACAAAATTTTAGGGAAGAAGCTTGGGTATATAGAATAAGTTGGATTTTTAACCCGAAGAATAAAAAGATTCAAAATTTATATGATCTTCTACATCAATTCAAGAAGGTTTGATGTTTTGTGGCTAACAGATACGGTTGTCCAAGCATGGATGAGATGGAAGGTTTCAGCCACGAATACAAGAAAAGATTAGATGAAGCAGGAACAATGGAAGAATTTCCAGATGATTTGGCTCTTGAGGTATCACTAGTTAAATTGATGCTCTGTATTTGATAAGATACAAAATCTTAATCTTCAAAACTAAATGGTTGCATTATTTATTTATTTACTTCTTTATTCTTTTACTTCCCTCTTCTGTTATAGGCATCTTCTTTTTTTTTGGAAAAGTCTGCGCACACACATTCCTCCTACTTTCATGGGACTTTACTGGGTCTGTTGTTGTTGTGTTATAGGTGTCATCTCCAGGGGCAGAACGGCTACTGAAAGTACCGGATGACTTGAACCGGTTCAAACACATGCCCATGAGAGTGAGCTTTGTGGGAGAAGACAACGAATCTCTAGGCGCAGAAGATAGTAAGATATTACTCCTGGAGTGCATCGATGCGGAGTTAGGGAAGTGTGTGTGGAAGCTGGTTGATGTGAAAGAAAACCGTGACCCTTCTGCTAAAGGAAGACCGCTAAGCCGTAAGCAGAAAGATTGGAGACTCTCACTATCATATAATATGATCAAACAGGTGACCTTGTTCATCTCCCACTAAGGGCATGTTTGCTAATCACTTCAATGCTTAGCTTTAGTTTTTAGAAAAGGCTATCTAATGACAACATTTAGCTTTAGTGATTTCAAACTTAATGTGCAGTTGTGCACCATTAAAAAGTTATCTAAAACGCTAACGCTAGTTGAAAATGATGCACCCAAACAAGGCCTAAGTATAGCATATCCTCCCAAACTGCTAGTTTTTTGCACATTGGAGTAGAAACCATTATCTTTGGTATTCCTTGGTTGCAACATGGAAGACATCCGAAATGAACATCTTCGCTGTGCTTCTTTTTTTCGTGAATTTACCGTGTTAACTAATTAATTACTCCGTATTATTTTTCGCAATTAGCTGGCACTATGAATTTCATGCTATCAAACATACCAGTTGGGACTAAGGTGCTAACTATGATCATGAATGGTGACTTTCTAATATGCTATTAGTGAGTGCAGCTTTGTTGTCATATTGTGCTTGCTCTAAAGGCCCTCCTCCAAACACTAAGGGTCCCTTTTACATTGTCATATTGTGACTTTCTGACATACTTGCTCCCTCCTAATTTGTCATTTGATTTGTTTTTTTGCATAGAGTTAGAAAGATAGAAATTATGTCCACATCAAGGGGATGCCAAACCAGCTAAAGTATGTGGGGGTGTTAGGGGGTAGGAGTGTAGGACCCAGTTTCGGGCATACAGTGTCCCCTTCGTAAAATTGATGGTTCCTAATTCCTTGATCCCCCTAACCCCGACCCAAACTCACCCACACTCCCAAGTTTATTTGACTTTGCAATAAAATTTTTTGACTCCAAAGTCAAATAAACTTGGGAGTGCAATTGAAGGGGGTAGTTCGGGTCTAGTGAATGTTAAAACTAATACAAAAAAAAATAAAATAAATTAAAGAAAAGATGTCCACATATGGCATGTGGTAGGTGAATGAGGATGAGATGAAGGGCCTATATCTCATATGTTACTATACAGTGACAAGTCTCCAATGGCAAATCTCATCTGTTACTGGAAATTTTAATCAAATAATTCAATCTTTGCATAGACGACAACCTTTGACTTCTTAACAATATAACCCCAAACCATGTTAATATGTCAACAAATTATGATGTAAGTTGGGAGGATAAGATCAAATAATAATTCAAAAACTTTGTCGGAGTAAATAAGTAAACAAAATCACTATCAATTTGTTTGTTTTTTCAACTTTACACTTCTAGGTTTCATACTACAATTTTTAGTTTTTAGACTTCAGTCTCTAGATTTTAGTTAAAATTATTACTGCAGTTCGACTCCAGTTTCTCGATTTTAGTTAAAATTGCTCGATTGCATATTTATGTTATTTACATTAATCGTGTATTCCTTATTACTGTTTATACTTGTATGCACATAAATAAAGTGCATTTTAGAACTAGCCAAAAAAAAAAAGAAAATGTTTGATATTGTTAAAGAATATAATAGCTGTAGAATTATAGGAGTATAAAGTTGTTTGTTTTTGTTCACATTCTTGAATAGCTTTCACTTCCCATCTAATGAGTTGTGAGGGGGGAACAAGACTTAGGTGGCTCCTTTCTTGTACTGTTTATGATATTGAATAACAATATGTTTTCTATTCATCAAAATTCAAAATAGTCCCTCATTTACAGAGTATTACCATGAAATTAACATTAATTGTATTCATAAATGGATTAGTTATGCTAAATAGTTTGAGAAAGATTTGGGAAACCAACACGATAAATTTGGACGGTTTAAAAAAGAAAAATGCACAACATATTATGGATGGAGGAAGTGTAACACAGGTTTCAAGCACAAGAGAAACCTATGTTTTAACTACGAAATCGTTTGAGATATGAGTTTTGATATGTACCAACCCATTTTGTGAGCGTTTGGCGAAATGTAAACAAGATCGGATTAGATATATCCCAAAATCACAACCCTCCAGAATAGGGGTGTTGTGATATTTCTCGATTTTGAGAGATATCTATCAATCCGGAATTTTATATATCTCTCAGCCACCGGCCATCACTAGTAATCATATCAGATTTCAGATATCTTATAACACGTTTTTTCAGATTTCAGAAGTCATATAATTTCTTCGAAAATGCATAATCCATATCGTTATCTTGCTTCACTCACCATTCACCAAACAAGTTCCCCAGAATATCTAAGAACACACGTTAAATCTTTAGAGGTTATTCCACATTAAAACGTTTCCACAAGATCCATTTGGTAATCAAGAAAGCTTGACACAAAAGATACTCATCCTACTCCATGGTGCACTGGTATACCTAAAGAAAGTAACTATCAGTTGCCTTCGTACTTCGGGTCAGCCATCACGTAATGGTACGCAATCACCAGCACAAACACAAAGATGCCAAGGAAGTTGGCGAAGAACCCAAGGTCTTGATCGTTGATCATCTGCAGCAACGAGTGCATAAAAACCGTTTTTAGAAAAATTGAAAACAGCAATTAGGATGACAATACACATATGCAAGGATCATCCTACACGCACAAAAACAATTGCAGCAAATGCTACAAAATGCAATGCAATCCATAAAGCTTCTAAAAAAGACAGTTCATTCAAGCTGAGGACTTGTGTTCTACAACATCCATTGACATCCACATGAAGGAAACTGAAGCCTTCCAACAACTAACTAGAAATTTCATCAGAATACTATGAAAATGTCTCTTCTCTGCTGTAATATATGGATGAAATGCAAAAGTCTCCAAATTCAACAAAAAAACTCTCATTCATCGCGAGTATACTCTACATTTCTTCTAGCACAAATTCAGATTCAGCCTGAACTTTACAATTTAGATCAAAAACTCGAAATTGGGCAGAATTTTTCATTTTCTTATCGAAAACGAAGTCGAAAACGTAAATCCAGTACCTAGGAAGAGAAATCTAAGATCTAATCGAAACAGAGAGCCGTGAAGGCGGGCAGGTGAAGCAGATCGGATGAGAAATGCGAAGTGAAATGTTAATCAAGCATCGATTCATAGCTTATTAAGACCAGAATCAAATCATAATCCCAGAGCCGAAGAACAAAAAAAAAAGGAATCTTAAAGGAACAGATCTTACCGTTGATTGTCGAAACCCGGAATCTGGAAACCAGATAGATCTGGGAAGATGAGTTTATCGATCTGAGAATTTTTAGATTTTGGAATTAGAGAGCGAGGCCGAGGAAGATGATGATGCTTAAGGTCAAGTTAAGCTGCAGTTTGACTAAAACAATACTCCGTACAACATTTTTTTATTTTCTACAAAAAGAACTTTTTTGGTTCCATTACTAGCTTAATCTCTTAGAGCCGATAGGAATCAACTTTTAAGTGAAATTTGCACTAAATAGGACTAAAACATAATGACTTTTTAATGTAGGATTTAAACTTTTGTATTCCCTAAATAGGACTTAATAATGACCTAGTGAGAGGATTAATGTCCAGTAATGATGGACATTTACTTGAATAATGACTACTTCATAATGACCAAAGGTCCTACATTTGGAAATAAAAACATATGGTCCTATATTGAGAAAGTCATTAAGTTTTAGTCCTATTTATGTAAATTACTCATTAAATAAATATCATATGATATACGGAGTGTTATCTAGATAAAATAATATTTTCAAAATATTTTACAAGAAAAATCTAATAAAATTATTTTTATTTCAATAAATAATACGGAGTATCAATATTATTGAACTATCAAATTTGTTAGTTTTAACCAAAATAAAGTTAAAAATGGACAAACAATCTATTACAAATGTAGTGCTTTCTAGTAGACTACCAATCCAATATATCCTACCTTTTTTCTGCTTTAAAATGGGAGAATTCCTTAGATTAAAGTAAAAGCTGTGAAAATATAAAAATGGGAATTCTAAATAATTTTAAGAAAAAATAATAGTTCATACAAATATGTTACACTGTTACGCTCACCATATTATCACAGTGTAACTGCCACACTATCACTGTCAAGCTGTTATCGTACATTGTTATCACTTTTTTACATTGCATTATCATTATATTTCTATTTTAATCTTACATGACTTATGACTCTTATTTTGATATTTTTATATTTTTAGGGAATTTCTTTTTTAAAGAAAAAAACTCCATACCAAGATAGTATGATACATTAAAAAAATTCTTGGGTGAATATAGACACAATGTATGCCTAAATTCATTAAATTTTACTCCGGGAAATAACTGAAGTGAATACTGAACTTCCAATTAAAACAACTGACCCTAAGGCCATCTCCAATGGGATGCCCAAAGGAGATGCTCAAAGGAGAGAGAAGAAGATGTTTAAAGGTGCCACTATTGGAGATGGGTGCTTAGAGGAGGTGTTCAAAGAAGAAAGAGAGTGAGAGATGCTCAAGAGAGCACCTGATGCTAGCATTCAAAATCATGTGTGCATTCTTTTATTTTTTGTAAAATAAGCTTTTTTTAATAGTACACTCTCTTTTTAATGTTTTTTTTCTTTTCATTTTTGTGTCTCTTTGTTTACCCGGAAAAAATCTTTACCATTTTTTTTATACAAACCCATTTTCCTAAGTTTTTTTTCTTTTCTTTTTCTTAACTTGTAGTGATACCATAAAAAATTGTTAGCCTTGGTTTGCCATAAATCTGTTTGAAATAGTCTTTCATTTGATTGAGTATGATGTGCACAAAATAAATAAATAAATAAATACTCCATAAAAAAATATGACACCCTATTTTATTTTTAGTAATACCACCGTGCCTTTAATTTTTTAATCAAAATTTTTTAACAATAAAAAAAGTCATTGATAATATTTTTAATTATTTACACTATTTTTTTCTTAAAAATCTTTTAATTAATAATTAATTACTCCATATTTAACACTTGTATATATAATACAAAAATCCATAATTAATAATATAAAAATGGCATTTATATGTGAATAGGATCTACCCAAGGCATCTCAATGAGATGTCACCATTAAAAGGTTTGGATGTTTAAAGAGATGCTCCAATGCTATTTTTAAAATAAAGCTCACATTTGGACATCTAATGAGAGGTGGTACCACTGTGGATGCTCTAACTTATCTTTTTTCTGAAATAAAAATGTCTGTGCAAAATACAGTAAAGACTTCGTCCCTATAAATGTGCAATGTCCATCTCCCATTTCCTCACAATTCTCCTTCTGGCCTTCCATCTGTTTCTTCCCCCCTCGGTACGACGTCGTCTCTCTTTCTCTCTCCCTCTTCAGTAATTGTGGACTGGTGGATACATGCGCACACAGTTTTCCTTTTCTTTTTTTTTTTGTAATTTCAAGAATTTTAATTTCTCTATGTGCAACTCAATTTCTTGATCCTTGAAAATGAGATATGTTTCTTTGATCTGGGTCTTATGTCTGTGTTGAAAAGCTGTTTTTTTCTTGCCTTCTTTTTACATGCATATGTTTGATTGAAGGAATTGGAGTCTTGATGTTCTGTTGAGCATGCCACTTCCCAAGAATTGGGCTTATTTTGGGAAAGAATTTTGTTTTTTGAGGTTCAATATCCATCCATAATTTGGGTATATTCTTCATGTTTCTTGTTTCTTCATATGGTTGGATAGGCAGGATAGTCTTGAATCTCCAGCTGTATATTCTTTTTAGGAGAATTTGAAATGAAAATTTGATTTATGTGTTCTTGAAATGGAGTGTAACCCTTGTTTTATCTGCTGAGTTGTCGATTTTCTGGCTGATTTTGTATTCAAGTTTTATAAAGATGTGATCTTTTGGCTTTTGACATGTCCTCAGATAATCTTTTAAATAGAAATTTCATTACATTGCTTCGAAATTCTTGGTATTCGCCGGGATATCTTGTAAATGGTCTCTCTACTTCCAAGTAGGGGTCTTGTGGGGTTCTATTGGGTTTGTTGTTGTTGCTTGGCGATTCTTGTAATTTGAAAGTTCTACTAAGGGCATGAGCTGAACTTTGGTTCCTATTTTTGTGCAGAGTGGTAGTTTATAGTGTTTTCCATTAGAGAAGGATGGCTTTGTATGGGACTAGAACAGATGGAAAAGAGGTGAAGATATATGAAAATGCTGATGAACTGAGCACAGATTTGGCGGAATACATTTCGGAATTATCCGAGGCTTCGGTGATGGAGAGGGGCGTTTTTGCCATTGCGCTATCGGGTGGCTCTCTGATTAGCCTCATGGGGTATGTAAGTGAACCATCTTCTTCTTTTCTTCTTCTTCTCTGATATACCTTTATTTTATTCATAGTCTTTTTTCCCTTGAATTAATGATGTGTTTGTCTTGAACTTATATTGAGGAAACAGAAAACTTGCTGAAGCACCTTACAACAAAACTGTGGATTGGGCCAAGTGGCACATATTCTGGGCCGATGAGCGCGTGGTCGCTAAGAGTCACGCCGATAGTAATTACAAACTAACCAAAGATGGCCTTTTGTCCAAGGTAATGCTTTCATTGTTTTGTCCTCCCTTGAGTCCATTGCCAATGGAGCTAAAAGAGTCATTTTTTGGGAGTTTAGAAATGACATATTAAGAATCCCTTGCTTTGTTACCCTCTAGGAAGTTTGGGGCACAAAATGCAACAATACATCTAGGGTCTAATGGAAACAGTCTCTCTGTTTAGTCTAAGTTACATAGCTGAAGGCCAAATTGAGTCCTAAGTGGAGTCTATATTCAGTCAGACTGACAAAAATACCCTTTCGCCTAGAACCAAGTATGTACCGGGACGAAATCGATTCGCGAAATTGATCCCGAGAAAAGTTGTGGGCGAAATTGAGTAATAGTGTATAATTGAGGAGTTAAATGGGGTTACAATATGTACATTGTCACAAGAATATTGTCCATTTCAATAGTGCACACTCTGCTAAGGAACATGATTCTTTCCTTTGGAAAATGACAAATATGATTAATATTCTTAAAGATTTCCCTTGTATTTTTTTGTTTCCAAATCATTTTCCAAATCCAAAATGGACCCTAAATGTTACTGCATCTGGTGTACTTTCAGGTGCCAATTGTCCCAAGTCACATACACTCCATTAATGACACGGTATCCGCAGAGAAGGCGTCCGAAGAGTATGAGTTTGTTATAAGACAACTCGTGAGGACTCGGGTGATAAGTGTGTCCGACATTAGTGACTGCCCGAAATTTGACCTTATACTTCTAGGGATGGGGCCCGACGGGCACGTGGCGTCCTTGTTTCCTGGTCACCCGGTCCTTGCCCAAAAAGAAGAATGGGTGTCGTTTCTGACCGACTCGCCCAAACCCCCGCCCGAAAGGATCACTTTTACTCTGCCGGTCGTTAACTCCGCCTCGAACGTGGCGGTGGTTGTCACCAGTAGCGGCAAGGCGGAGGCTGTGCGTTTGGCTATCGATGATATTGGGCCGGGCTGTCCGTTGTTGCCAGCGAAGATGGTCCAGCCCAGTAAGGGGAAGTTGGTTTGGTTTCTGGATAAGGCTGCTGCTTCCAAACTTGATGAGTATTCCACATAAGCTATTGCCAAAAATGTATGTTTGTATGTAGTAAAGGGAGTGTAAGTGAAAACTTTACCAAAAATGAAAACTTTAGTTAAAGTCTCATTTAACCCCAGAGATTGACATCTGAGTTTGACACCTTCAGAGACAATCACGTACATGCAGTCATTGTTCGTGAGAATTTAAAGTCTGTGAAATACTGACGGTGTCAACACTGGTGTCATCTCTGGTGTGATTGTAGCGTGACATGTCTTTTCCTTGGCTTGTTCCTTTTTTCTCTCTGCTCATCACAATGAAATCAAAAGAAATGTTTGGATGTTTAGTATAAATTTTGAATGAGGTCAATTGAATTGTTTTTGTGTTTTTTTAAAGGTAATTTAAGCCATGTGTAATGTATTTAGAGTTCTTCCTTTTTTTTGCCAGACTTTAAGAATATCTCCAACTATGAGACAAAACAAAACTGTTTCACAATTGCCATCAACTGACAGGAATAATAACCATTGGTTCAAGGGTATTCTTGGCAAACGATTTTGTTTTTGCTGAAGACAATGCCAAGGGCCATTGGTGAATTACATTTATTGCTCTTTTTTTGTTTTTTTGGAAAAGGTTCATTTATAAGTGAAAAAAGTCCACCTTTTTGCAAAAGGGGACAATGATGTGCAATAATTGCATTTTTAAGGAGTACCATGTTATTTGGGTTCATCAAACTAAATTGGCTGTTTTAATTATTATTTTATTTAATTTCTAGTACGGAGTATATCTTAAGTGAATTCAACAATTTTAGCTAGACTTTTAACAAATGCATGTATTTTAATAGAAGTGTTTCTCTATGCTGGCATTTATTGATTTATTATAAAAAAAAATTTTTTACTTATAACTGCTTATAACTTAATGTTCTTTTGCATAAATAAAATGACTTAAATGATACTCTGTATATAAGTCATTCAAGCATATTCATAATAGGTGAAAGATAATTTTGCAAATAAATTAGTTACAACGGAAAAACGAAAAAACTGACTTAAAAATAAGTAGGTAAGACCTAATTACTCCCTCCGTCTGGGAATATTCTTTTCGTGTTGACTTGGCATGCTTATTAAGGAATAATTAAAAATGTCAAATTTCCAAAAATGCACATACTATAAACTTTTAAATCTTCTTTTCTTAATAAAAAATCAATAAAAAAGTAGATTAGTGATAAAATAGAAGGATATTATTGAAATTTATCCTTAAAAAGTATACTAAAAAAGGAAATGGGAAGAATATTTCCGGACAGGCCAAAAAGGAAAATGGGAAGAATATTTTCGAACGGAGGGAGTAGTTTTCTGACTTACAGGCGACTTATAAATCAGCTTATAAGTATAGAAAAATACATCATCAACTAACTTATAAATTAAAAAGAGTGTATAAGCAATTTTTATAAACACAAAAAAACACCTACAAAATTTATCCCACCAAACAGGTTGTAAAAACTTTTAACTTTCAAATAACACTAAACAGCCTTTGGGTTTTATGAGGAAAAAGTAAAAAAATTATGAACTGATTCTTTTCCATGTGTCCATTACATACCACATCATTTTCAATGGTATTTCAAGAACAGCTGCACAAAATTCTGCACAAGTTTAAATTCTCCATAGGTGTGGAAGAACACACACACTTTGTTGACATCTAAACCAACTAAGATGAAGGCACAAATACTCTCTATTCCTTTCCTATTACAGACAATATTCCGAGAACATCGGGTTCCGAAATTGCATAATGTTCATTTTATCACTATATAAATGTATGAAGTATGAACAAAATACAACAAGCCAATGTGATGTAACATATCACTTGTTTGTCATCTCTCACAACAATAAAAAAAATTAAAGAACTTAATTAATAATAATACAAAGAACAAAACTTGAATACATACATCATTCTTGCAAGGCATAGAAATGAGGGGCTAACTCAGCTAGCCACAAATAATCAATTCCAGAGACGTTGCGAACAAAGGTGTGATTAGTTTGAACTATCTCATTAAATACTACGCACTCTGGTTTTGCCCGGAACAGTACGGAGGAAGGGTGGATTTGAACGGTCGATCCACTGGATAAAACCCTGCCAAATGGTAACGTGTGAGTCGCCCAAAATTTGATCTTTGGTGCATTCGAATAAATCTTTACCACAAGAAAATTTACATGTGAAGAAATGGACAGAAATGGGAAAACAGATTGAAGAAGTTAATACCTGTAAGAACCATCAGGCTGCTTCAGAGCTGCATTCAGGAAAAATGAAGCTGCCAAACATCTTCTGAAGAGAAGTTTGTCATCCATACAAGAAGAGATCCGGAGACCCATCTGTTCCACATTCCTGCGAATTTGGCTGCAAAAAATAGAAAGTGAAAAAACTCGACCTTGAAAAACTAGCAAACTACATTCACAATCTTTGATGTTGAAGACTGAAGATTATGGATCATTATGGCAAACCTGTGAACATCACGTGCATGTCTTAGGGAGCGGCTGTTGATGAAATTGTCCTTGCACCACTTTCTGAGATTCTTTTCAGCTTTCTGTTCACCATTTGCCATCTTGCTCTTCTCGAAAAAATCATTAGAAGCACGAAATACATTGAGCAAAGTCAAATGATCTCCTTCGGAGCTGGCAAAGTTCTTCCATGCGTTCCGCGACTGCTCACAAGGTGAAGATGACATCAGCAAGTTATATTGTATTATTCCCTTCAACTCAATGGTGTGTCATGAAACTCTTTATGTCCAAAATTATTTGATAGCCAAAAAGCGAAGTCCCAAAAAGCTGCTGTTTTGGAATTCAATGCATATTTATGCTCACATTCCAAGATTTTCCCGTATTAATCCTCCAATCTTCATATAATATACGCTTATGTATCTTGGAGAAGAAATGAAATGCGTTTGATGTTAACCGTAGGTAAGGATTCAAATTTCATTTTGTAGGTTTCTTAATAGATACATTCATGCATGATACATACATTAAATGATGACCAAAAGATTGAAATCAAGTGGTACATACAAAAAATAATATTAAAAGGGCACACCTCATCCAACTTTTCACGAGGAGCATAAAAGATGGATTCAACAGAGAGCATTCCAATACAGATAAGCATTTCTTCTAAGCAGCCGAACTCACTGGCAAGAATGAGAGCCTTTGAGTGCATGGGTTCTAAAGGCAACTTAGCCATTTGACGTCCGGTGGGATCAGATAGTTCATCATTTTCTGTTATAGCACCCATCAGATAGAGAATCTCCAGTGATTTGATCAAAGCAATCCTGTTAAAAAGGAGGTTAACACCTAACAGAAAACTCAGTCCCTAAACAATGCATGTTCAATGGGTTCATGAGTCATGACAGAGCTAGAAACGGAGGAACAATCATTTGGTTTTATTTTTTATTTCCTATTTAATGTGTCTTTGAGATGACTTTCTCTAACACTATGTTTGGTTCAAGGAATTTGAAAGAAAAAAAAGAGAAATGTGAAGGAAAACAATTTTTATTGTTTGGCTATAGAGGAAAAGAAAGAAAAGTGGAAGGAAAACAAGATTAGAAGGCAAAATGTACTTAAGGGGGAGAAAACCGAATTCCCCCCATTTTGGTGAGGAAAATGAGAGAAAACCATTTTCTTTTCTTTGTCTTCCAAATTCCTTGAACCAAACATAGTGTAAAGGAATACGTGTTTTTTAGAGTGCTTGAGTGAGGAAGCACTCATCTTAAAAGCCACTTATGACACAAGTTATCCTAAGTGCAACAGGGGATTTCTGGAAATAACCTCTTTGGTTTCTCAATGAAGTCAAAGTCAACAACATTGTCAATCCCAAGAGCCTTGAGCTGCAACACAACATTTGCAAGATTGCATCTCTTTATTTCTGGAACTGTAGAATCAACAAGTTTCTCAAACTCACATTCTGGATAAAGACGATAGCATTTGCCAGGTCCGTCTCGGCCAGCACGCCCACTTTGGTTAGAACAAAACCAAAAAGTTAGAAAGCCTTGTAATATGATTTTTTGTTGTAAAGATTTTTTTAAAAATGCTACCATTTCCTATTAATTTGCTCACCTCCTCTGCAGTGCTTGTGCTTTAGATGTTTTCACAACAACCAGTGAGTCAATTCCCCTATCCGCATCATAGGTGCGTGCTTTTACCAGACCAGGATCAATGACATACTTGATTCCAGGTATAGTCACCGATGTCTCAGCAATGTTTGTTGCCAATATTACCTAAGACATGTAATAAGGCATAGATAGAGTTGGCAAGAATCAAGACAGAAATTGGTAAAAGGAAAATGCTGACAAAACTGTTACAAATCAATTCCAATTAACAAACACAAAAAAAAACAATTTTTCCAGGTCTTCATTACCTAGCATATTAATACAATATTACTCCCTCCGTCCCCAATTTGATTACAAATTGCGGGTTACGGAGTAAAATTTCATACTTTTTGAAATTATTTTATTTACAAATTGGTATATCAATAAGCTATAAAAATTACATATTAAAAAACTATGTCAAAAGTTCTACAAAACAAGAGGTGACAAGAATATTTTATTTTATCAAATACTTGATGAAATCGCGTAAACAAACAAAAGTTATCGAGAGGAGAGAGAAAAAAAGATTGTAATCTATTTAGGGACGGAGGGAGTATTAAGCATGGTGAAGGTAAATTATCAGCTTCGTGTAGCCCTTATCAAAGTGATAGTTTTAGTTTTAGAACAATTATCAACTTATGAAATGCCACTTGTATAAAAGTAGAAAGTAACGCCAAGGGTGGGGATAACTCTATCTCTGGAACAGTGGAACATACAAGCCAAATTGTGCAAAAACTCAATGAAAGATTTTTAAAAAATGACAGCTTAAAGTCTTAAAGATGAGTGGATAGATTATCCATCAAACTCATAAAGGATGCATATTTTATGCTGTAAAATGTTTGGTGTCATGATGCGACTCTCTGAGTCTCTAATCTCTTCCAATATGAGTATATGTGGAGTTTTCTATAGAATATGAACATGCCAAAAAAATAGCTTTTAAGATATGAGAAACTTGCCACCTCACATGGCCAGTTACGAGAAGAATGTCTCACGCGAAAATATACCAACCTTACGGAACCCAGCCGGTGCAGTTGTAAACACTTTCATTTGCTTTTCCGAAGGAAGAGATGAAAATATGGGAAAAATTAAGAGTTTCCTATTGGCTTCAGGTAAATGTCGGAGGCGGTCGCAAACAAGTCTCTCAACGGATTCAATCTCTTCTTGGCCAGTGAGAAAAACCAGTATATCACCAGGGCTCTCCTCCAAATGTATCTAAAACAAAGAAATTAACTAAATAAAAATTGTATAAATAGAAATCTGAGCTGAAAAACAATACGGAGTAGCATTTACAAAATATTCTGTATATATCAAAACATAAAACAAAACTAAATGCAAAATCAAACCAGTAAGTCTCACTAGGAAGTATGGTCTGAGAGTGGGAGTTGTGTGCATACCATAATTCTTCCCAAAAGAAGAAGTTTAAAGCAATGGAACAAGTTATAAATTGAATAGGTTTGCAAATCATATGCTCTCTTCATCACATATTTAAGTTCTCATTTGTTTTTTCACAGAGTTTAAGAAAAAATAAATTGTGGTTGACATTTGTGCATATGAGAAAGAGAAACAATACAAAGTTACAAACTACACAATACATTTCTTAAAAAGAATGCAAAGCTTAAATTTGGAACATCCATAAAAAGATGGAAGGTGGAAACTTAAATATGAAATGAAGGGAGTGTTTGTGTATTGAAAGGTGACAAAAGGGAAAAACAAACGCTTCCAACGGCTATTGTGATAACTGTGAGCCTAAACACAAAACATAAAAGAACTAAGGTATGGTTTTGTAAGACAAATAACCAACAAAATATACTTGATTGCATTACATTAGATCTTACCAAAGAACCAAACTATAAGTAAAAAATAAAAAATGAAGAAAAAGAATGAGATAAACACCTGAAAGATAGTAATCAATGCTGCGTCTATGTAATCTGTCTCTGGCTTATGGGTGTAAAATATATCTACATGAAACTGACGCCCCTGAACATGAACAGCTTTAGCACCACCAAAGTACTCAGAAAAAACACGGGCATCTAAACTGGCAGACATGATGATCAATTTCAAAGGGGTAAATTTTTTAGCCGGGCGCCTGTGGAGGATGCTATTAGAATCACAATCTTTTTTATCCTCGGACTGCAGTTCATTCTTAGACTTCATACCGTTAACATTAACTCCTTTGGAAACATTTTGTAACCTTATTTTCTGTACATCCTTCAACAAGCCAAGTAACACATCAGTGTGGACTGTTCTCTCATGAGCCTCATCAACAATAATAACAGAATACTTAGAGAGGTACGGATCCAATAATGCTTCCCTGTAATCAAGGTATTCATGTATAATATACGGAGTAATTGTTTATAAGAATCTCTTGAGATGCCTTTAGCTTCTATTACTGCTGAATTACCCATAACGTTAATTATAAAGGTATGTGTTTGGAATGGAACTCAAACACGGTAACATTGATTAATTATTGTTTCCCCCCAGCATAATAAAGACTTCAGAATATGCAAAACAATCACATCGCTTTTTACCTAAGAAGCAAACCATCTGTCATGTATTTGATCATTGTTGAGTTGGAGGTCACATCCTCAAATCTAATAGCATATCCGACCCTTTGACCCAATGCAACACCACTTTCCTCGGCAACTCTTTTTGCAACACTTATGGCTGCAACACGTCTGGGTTGAGTGATTCCAATAACTCCACCACCACGACAGAATCCCCCGTGATAAAGGTATTGAGGAAGTTCTGCAAAAAAAATGCACCGATTCAAAAAGAAAGTGACGGTAGTACGTATTTGGAAACCAGTCCTATGACACCAAAAAAAAGTGATTTAAGGCTACACTTTGATACATGATGCAACAATTACCAATGCCCTTCTTATCAATCATTTTTTTCAACCCACTCGAATGAAAACTTACGCGTTGTCTTTCCACTTCCAGTCTCTCCAACGATTATTAATGTGTCATTCTTACGAACCTCCTCCACAAGCCGCTTTTCAACTAGACAACATAATAATGTACTAAACATATCAATACACTGAAAATTGGTCTAAAAAAGAGAGATTAGAGCATGGGTGAATAATCTACTCATAACAAAAAAACATCAGTGTACAAATTCCACCGCAGAACACAGTTACCGGAAGCAATTGGTAAAGATCTTCTTTGTTTCTGAATCTGTTGCCGCCTGCAGATGTTTATAGGCAGTAACTCAGAACATGTGAACTGATTTCAATATTTTCAGATGCAGACACAAACAAACAAACACATAAAGATTAGGCACCCACCTTAGGATTTGATTGTGATGATTTTCATGTGCTCCATTAGTTGTGTTTGCCATGGAAGGCATGTCTTGAAGCTCCGTTACAGGTTGATTGAAAGGAGGGGGGAGCAGGACAACTGTGCGAGGAGAAACCTTAACAAGGCGCGCTTAAAACAGGGGTACCAAGGTGCGAGGAGAAACCTTGTCGGCTGCTAAGGAGCTGTTTGATGGCTGTAAATGGCGTCCTTATCCTCGACGGCGGCGGCGAAAAACCTTCCGGGCGGAGGAGTGGGAGAATCGCCTGCGCAAATTGCAGGCAGTGAAAAAAGAAAAAAAAGAAGGGCCTATGAGCAATACAGAAATACAATAAAAAAAAGAGGATTTTATTTAAATTTGAGTTATATACTCTGTATAAAAATGTATAATTAATTAAAATGGAGTATAAATTATACGGAGTATCATAATATTTGTCTCAAAATAAAACTTCTAATTTATCATTTTTTATAATGTTTTACTAATTTAAGAGATATTGTTGGTTAAACATTTGACAGAAAAATAGAATCTAAATGTTAAAAAACGAAAGGACTATGTTCTTATAATACGTGTAGATTATAGATATATTAGTCTTATTTATATTTTTTGTTTATTAACAAGTTTATGTTGAGAATAAATTCATTTCAATCTTTTTGTTATGTACGAATTGTACTTTACTTAAAAATTAATTTTGTGTAGATAAATCAACAAACATTATATTAACTCAAATGAATTTTTAAATACTACTCCCTATTTGTTAAAGATTTATGTTTTCTCACATTGTTTTCATGTTTGTCACTTTGTTCTGTTAGTTTTGTTATTATTCATTCTTTTAATTTGTGGAATACTCACAAAGTATTTATAAAATTATCATGGATTTTGTTTTATTTCCAAGTGTTGTATGTTTATTTTTCAAAATCATTTTTTATTTTTCAAAAATATGTAAAAGGGTTTCATTATATTTATCAATTTAAAGTAGGGAGAATGCGCGTAACACTTCATTCTAATTTGAAATAAAATCCTTACAGAGAATCTTATACTAACATTTTACGCCTGAAACTAATGCAACATAATTTTTTTATCCAATTAGACTGGGGACTATAAATACTACGGAGTACAACTTTTGTAGTTTCCTATTATACTTTTAATCATTGCCAATCTCATTTCTTAACAGTATTATACTTAGGAATTAAGTATCCCAGAAAGTTTACTTGCATTTGTCGATGACTAAATAGTGTGCATTGCATATAAACTTGTTGGGAACATTTTTTTTTCAATGAAGTTTTTGATGATTGGCTATGCAATTAGATTTTACAAGAGATCAACTATTTTGTTAGATTCAAAATGATAGGTTACATGTTTTATTGTAAGAGTAAACAAGACTCAAAATAATTTTCAAATCTATACTTTATTTAAAAAGAGGTGAATGTTTTCCCGTCCAAACATGAGACTCATATATGGAAAGTGTTGATCCCAAAAATGATAGTTTAATTATTTGGCCTTATTGTTTTCCTTCTATTTTAAGTATGTTTTCATTTTTATTTAAATGTTACACCGTTTAAATACATAAATTAAATTAATTTAAATTTAAATTGTAGTGAACCATTGGGGAATTAAAGTATGGAAATAAAATACACTACCATTTAAATATTAAAATAAAATTAAAAAACTTTTAATTAATAAAGTATGAGCGAGATTAAAATGATTTATTTCAAAAACTACAAATTAATTATTTATTACAATTTACAAGCACGGACGTGTAAAAACGGTAAGTTTTCTAAAATAGATTAGAAAATATATATGGTACAGTATGTAAATGATAACATTTAAATACAATAATAAAATAAAAAACTACAAATTAATATTAATACTATAATTTACAAGCATGGAAACATTTTAAAATGACACGTGTTCTAATTAGAAAATTAGAAAAATAAATAGGTATGGTACGGTAAGCAATTGACACCATTTAAAAACGAAAATAAAATAAATGGTAAGTGTTCTAAAATAAATTAGAAAATAATGTGGTTTGGTAAGTAATTAGTACGATTTAAATATGAAAATAAATAAAAAAACTGCAAAATTAATATTAATACTATAATTTATAAACATGAAATTGTTTTGAAAAAGGTAAGTGTTCTAATTAGAAAATTAGAAAATAAATACAATACAGTATGTCACAACGATAAGAAAATGGTACCATTTAAACACAAGAATAAAATAAATGGTAAGTGTTCTGAAATAAATTAGGTAAGTGTTCTAAATAAATTAGAAAATATAATAAACATCAAAAGGTAAGTGTTCTAAAATATAATAGAGAATAAATATGGTACGGTAAGTAAATGATACCATTTAAATACAAAAATAAAATAGAAAACTGCAAATTTTTACTATCAATTAATACTACAATTTACAAGCATGGAAACATGTTAAAATGATAAGTGTTATAAAATAAATTTAAAGATAATATGGTACATAAAGTAAATTGTACCATTTAAATGCAAAAATAAAAAAATTATGAATTAATAGTATTAATACTATAAGCATGGAAACATGTAACAATGGTAAGTGTTCTAAAATTAATACTATTAATTCTATAATTTACAAGCATGGATAAATATAAAATCGTAAGTGATCTAAAATAAAATAGAAAATAAATACCATATGGTAAGTAAATGGTACCATTTAAATACGAAAATAAAACTAAAAAATACAAATTCCGAAATAGATACATTAATATGTTGAATTATTTTTTAAGAAGTTAAATTATTGTCAGGGACAATATCTGAAACATGTTGAATTATTGTTATTACGGAAACCGGTATTTAGTCATGGGCAAGTGTTTTTGCAGTTTCAAGAGTAATAAATCACAATGACTTGAAGATTCTGATATACAACGAAGTAAATGCTCACACGAATTATACGAGTGATGTAGTTTATAAATAAGTCTTTCGAAATATGTAAATCATTTTACTTTTGTACTTTAAAATAATAAAATTTCTATATTCCATTATATACCAATTTATATTCCTAAAAATGATCTTAATTTAGTACCATAACTATGACTCATGCAACGCACGAGTGTGATACTAGTACCACTCAAGAAATTAAATTGATATTAAAAGATATGAGATGTCTTGCTTTACTACTTTGATTAGTTTCACAATTCTTGATATAAGTCTATATGAAATGTCTCACATATTATATATTTTATTGGAGACTGATTGTCATGACATTGATTCTCAATGTTGATCTGGAGTGTTCCGGTGTCCCATCCCATTCGTAAAGTTGACGTTTCCTACTCTCCTTACCCCTAGTAAACCCCTCACCCCACCCACCCGAAAACAACTCCACGCCGCCCCAACCCAAACACATCCCCACCCCAGAAACTAAGAAGATTTTATTGACCACTTGAATTATGTTTTTAACACTTCAATGTGCCTGTTTGGAAATAGTGTTAGCGTTTTGAAAAAGGCTATCTACGGCCAGCGTTTAACGTTAGCGTTTTCAAATGAATCTGCACCTTTAAAATTTTATCCCAAACGCTAACGTTAATCTCTAACACTATTTTTAAACCTGCCAATATCACGTATTTCAAAAACATATCACATGGGATCATAAATTTGTCACATAGTAATGGTATTCCTAATGAAAAATAGCAAAAAAGATGGGGCCCTCCATTTACAAAACTCCCTCCAACCAGAAGGACCAAGGAGGAAAGGAAACGAAATCACACCATGATATTGTGACAAAATGAATCCGCCTTTTTTTTCCTTCTTCCCATTAAGAAAAAAAATTAATCACATAAATTTCGCCCTTTCTTGAACTCTCTCCACCTTATATATCAGTGTCTATATATCATCACCCTTCTCTCCCGAAATGGCGTGTTCTTGAGCTCTTTTTGCCCCAGAAAACGCTTCAGTTTTTTTCGCTAAGAGGTAAAAAAAAGTCTCAATCTTTCCCTATATTCTTGGCAATCACGAGTTGTCTGCGCTTCGCGTGTAGAAATCTTGGTTCTTTAAACTTCTTTTTAAAAAAATACTCGGTGAGATTTTTTCTTTTCTTCTTCTTCTTCTTTGGAATGGGGTTTTTTCAAGAACTGGTTTTTATTTTTGGGTTTGAGATTATTGGTCTGGCTCTCGTCATTGATTCATGGGTTTACATTGCTGTTGCATTTCGGGGGTGGAGGGTTTATCACGGGGTGGGGTTTATGTGTATGAAGCTGAGACTTACTTTCAAGAAATGATCTTCTTTTTTTCATATAGAATTTCTTTAATGTCTTTAAATTAGATGGGCTAAATCTGGTCTTTTTTATTTGATTAGTATTATTATTACTCGGTATCATGTTGTTTCCCGTGTCTCTTGACCCTTGAATATAGGCATACATTTAGTTCTGTGGATTTTCTTTGCCCCCTCATATATTTTTATTTTATTTGTCACATAATAATGATGGTGATGATGGTGATTACTCTGTATAATACATACTCAACATAACTGTTTTAGAAAATTTTCCTGTACACTGGCTAATCAACATAACTATGCCCACATGCAAATTTTGGCAAACCTTTCCATGTTTGAGTGTACTACAAGACCATACAACCTAATCAAGGCAGTGCATTTAGCCATTTACAGATCAGAGATATTTTGAATCCTTATTAAGAATGGTAATCATTGAGGATGAAAAAAATATGGGGATGATAGTATGGGGGAGTTTAATCCCAACAGCTGTTATGATATAAGTCCATTGTTCTTCTCTGCTTTGATCCTAGAAACTACAACACACATTCAGAGTATTATGGTGAGTGTCTCCTTCTCTTAGATTGTCTTCTGGCTTTTTGTTTTGTTTTGTGAATTCTCACTGGCTTGGATTGTCTTTCTAACATTCCTTCTCTATTCTTGTGTAAAATTTGACACTTCAAGTAGTATGATCTTTTAAAATCTGAAACTGTGTTTGAGGTATCCCATGTTTGGGTGCAGAGATGGTGCGACGTCACTCAGCTGAGACAGTGGGATGTGCATTTACTGAACAGTATTATCAAGTTTTATATCACCAACCCGAAGATACCCACAAATTCTATAAGGATTCGAGTGTTGCTGGATGGGAAGGGAAAGATGGCATTGTTCATCCTGTAACAACAATGAAAGTGAGCATTATCAATCCAATTGTGTTGCCTCTAGCTTATTGTTTCATGGATTCCGTTGACTGGTTAATGTATATCAGATTCTGTCCACATGTAGCATTTAAAGATCACATTCTCCTTGATTTTCAGGAAAAAAAGAAGGCCAATTTCTGTGGAAAGTGGAATAATCTTTGTTTGGCTACTTCAAGGAAGGAGTCAAACTCACTTTTTTTTGTTTTGTTTTTGGAAACCAACACTTTTGATGACAACCATAGACACACACTTAGATATGTGGATTCAACAGTTTTGTTGATAGTTGTTACAAAAACAATTTGCTGAATTCTGAACTCATTAAGGGCATGTTTGGTTGGGGATTTTATAGGGGAATGAAGGGTTGGTGAAGATTGATTTCTGTATTACTAGTTTAAGTTGATTGCTCTTTCCCTTTTGAATATTTTTATTGTTCTTTAAAAAAATTGTGTTACAAATTCTTGGATTTCATGCCTCACATTTTCTATCCAATGAAAAACATATGATCTACTATGATTGCAGGGAATACATGATATGATCATGTCTTCGGATTACAAGGATTCTGATGTAGAAGTGAAAAGTGTCTATGCCCAGGATTCTCTACATGAAAGTATTCTTCTGGTGGTCACGGGAACCTTAACTGGGAAAGATGACGTGACAAGAACATTTAGCCACACGTTCCTTCTCGCAAGACAGGAGAGGGGCTTTTTTGTCCTAAATGATATTTTACGGTTTCTTGACATACCTCCATCCACTCCTGAAGCTGTGAATGGATCTACCATCAATGCATCTGAATCACCTTCTTGTTCCAATTCAGGTACTTCCATAGAGCCCATGAACGGATAAGCTTTTTCATTGTATCATTGTTTTGCATTTTATATTACGAGTTCTTACAGGTTTTTTGGAGCTTGTTGAGGACTCTGAGAAAACGTGCACAAAGGCAGAAGCAGAAGTTACTAATTCTGAGCCCAAACTCAATCAGTCTCCTGAAGAGAATCAAGAGATGACATCTGAATCACTTAAACCCCCACCACCTGCTGTGGTATCCCCCACTAAGGACACTACCCCTAAGACTACCTATCTAGAAAAGGTTAGTTCTCATACATAACCCATCATCATATTTAATCTATGATCCCTGATTCCCTCCAGCTGTTAAACTTACCTTTTTTTAAATGCAGCTGTCAAAAGAGAACAAGTCTCCTCTTACTCATCTTGTCCAAATTGTAAGAGTTTCTGCAAGTGATGGAAGCTTGATTGAAACCAAAACCCATGTCCCTACTGTCAATGAACCGATCAAGAAAACGAATTTGCAACCCAACAGTGTGGTGTCCAAACCCAGCTCTCCCCCAAGTGATGAAACGGCAGAAAATATCTATCAACGTGCGTCTATATATGAGCTCTGGTAAAGTTAGCGTTATAGTTAATACCCAGTTTAGTCCCCTTGACTATACACTATTACTCAATTTATGTTTCGGTGTTCTTTGGACTCAATTTGATCCCAAGTATGCAACTCTTGCAAGTTCCTATGTATATTTGGATGATATTAAAAGGTTTTTTTTTCCTTTCAAGTGATTCCCACCTTGAAAAACAAACCAGAATATATAAGAAAAAACTTAGGTGGGATTTTGGAGAAGAAGGAGAAAGGTGGGAACAACTTGAAGGGACAAATTCCGGCAGATATTTAAATTTGGCCTGAATTGCATAGTCAAGCACATAGTTGAGTCCAAAAACCGAGAGCAAGATATAGTAATAATGTATATTTTGTGAGGCTAAATCAGGTATTAACTCTTCTAGGGTCTTCGGAAACAGCCTCTCTACTTTCAAGTAGGGGTAAGGTCTGCATAGACCTTACTTTTTTGTGGGATTTTGATGGGTTTGTTGTTGTTGCATTATGGACTGATGACGTAAATGAAATGTGTGGTTCTCTTACCAGCTATGGGAATATACATTGGAGGGCTGCCACCAAATACCACTAAAAATGAACTCACTGAAGCTGTCAAGATCTTTGGTAGAATAAGGAAAAACGACGGTGTTCAAGTTATAGACAACAGAAACGAGGTTCGTTGTTTTTAAAGCTTTTATTAACAGTCTGCCATTAGACTTCTAAATGTGTGCAAGCTTGGAATTGACAAACAGGATGGGTTCACTTATGCATTTGTACATTTCGAGACTGAAGACGCTGTACATAGAGCAATTGAGGTATATATCTTCTAAAGACGTTGCATTTGACTTCTCTACTATTGCTCTTGACACTGTTTCTGGTAATGTCTCAGGCTCACAATATCACCATCCGTGGGAAAGAAGCATATATAACGTACAAGAAATCAAACGCCACAGGTAATCAGTTTATTTGGTTGTCCCCCCAAAAAAACAAAGACTTGACCAAGATCAAGAAGAAAATCTTGTCATAGCTTAAAGATTAGTTTTTGCATTGGATATACAGTTTTAACTAACCTTTGCAAGCATACTTTTCTTTGCTTCAGGTAGCAATGGCTATGGAAGGGCTCCAACAGGCAGAGATTGGCCTCGCCATTATCCTTCATCTGGTAGGGTAGGATCCTACAATAATGGGTATGGGGATGGAGGGGGGGACGGCGGATTTTATGAGTACGAATACCACTACCACAACAGAAGCTCTGAGGGACACGACAGAGACCGTTACCAGTGGAATGGTGGTGGTGGTGGTGGTGCAAGGAGGGGTATCAGGGGAGGTTATTAACACCCATGGCGGCCATCCTTACCAGTAGCTATAGCTTGATAGATGCCATGGGCTTTTTTGCATGAAATCTAACAACAGTAGTTTTTTGGATCTTGAAATTGGAATGCCAAACAGACCCTTATTACGTATGACAACATTTCTAGCAGAAATACAATATGGAGTATGATATTTTACAAAAATTTTCTTCTGACATAGTAAATCAGATCAACACCAAAAAAACAAAGGACACTACCAGCAAACAGTTCTATACATGTGCATGATTTTCAAGCACATGATTCTTTTACTAGGAAAAAAACAATGTTATTGAATCCGGACCGGTGGGAAAACGGGCAAACTTACCGGTTTCTGGGTTTTCTTTTTCGGACGGTCCGGGTTTAGCAACATTCTTGAAAAGAAGAGTTAATGAGAGGTAGTATTCTTACCAACTTTCCAATTACTCAACATTTCTTTTTTCACCCTTATTTTTTGAACCAAACTTGGGGTGTTACTGAAGAGAAGAAGAGTTGCGGTTTATGACGATGTGCTTGAGGGGGTGGGCCACATCGCTGCCTCCGGCGTGGGTCACGAACTCGGAGGGCGAGAGGAAAGTCCCATGGCAAACGCACATTATCCTCACCTCCTCGCCTTTGCCGTATTTGTATAGGATCCCGTCTATCCGTCTCCCGCTAGGCCCGTCCCCTTTGGTGAAGACGCACGGCATGTCCTCCATGGCCGCCGCCGTGGCCGTGGTGGTCCCCACTTCTCTCGCCTGCAGGCTTGCGAGCGCCAGCTTGTTGGACGACGTCTCGGTCTCCTCGTTTCCGGTGGCCTTAGTGGCCTTTGTGGTGGTAGAAGAACCGGCCGCTTCTTGGGCTCTGCCCTCTTGCAGGGATTGGATGCTCCTCGGACTTAGCTCATCTGATCCTGTAGAAGAAGAAATAAGTTGTCACTCATTATATGCATAATATAACGTTTGAATTTAAAAAAAAAACAGATAACATTAATTTATTTCCAATATTATAGAATAAGTCATTATTTTCCACAGAAGTTGTTAAGGAGTGGTTTGGTACTTCAAAATTTTTTTTAAAAAAAGGAAGGCATTTTTCGTTTTCATTTGCATTTTCAAAAAGAAACCCAAACACAACAAAGTTTCTTTGAGTTCTTTTTTTTTCTTTTTCTTAGCATTTCAAATACATCAATTTATTTTTACCACAAAGTTTCAAATAAATAGAGTTACCTAGAATTAATTTACTTTCAAATTCTGACATACTTGAACAGCTGCCCCTACGAGATTCGAGTGACCCTCTAGTTGAATGGTAGTTTTTCCTCCCTTTGGAAATTTCTCCCACCTCAATTCCTCCTCCGTAGTAATTTTTTGCCGCCGCCAAGTACTGTTCATCGGCGTTAGAGCAGCCGCGGCTGCCGCCGTCGTCATCTCTATCTCCCCTTGAATTCCTCTGCTTCTCGGACCTCCTCCTCTTGGCTTCCATTCTCCTCATGCTCTGTAACTCCTTCCTCTTCCTCCACTCCTCCTCCGTCTCAGCCGGCAGAGAGGAAGTTCTGATCAAACTTGAATACGCCACCGGCGACGGTGCCGCCGCCGCTTCATCTTCTAGCATAGTTATTGGCAAAGACGTAGTTATGGAAGAGGATCTCACCAGCTTATTTGGACTCTTGTCCACCCCAAATCTACCACCAAGTGAAAGCCCAAGATTCAGTTCAACCTCTCCGCCGTCCTTGGCTGCCTTCTCAGACTCACCACCGCGGCCTTCTCCCACTCCCATGAAACTCTGCAACAAGTCTCTAGAGAACCTCTCTCCATCCAAAGCAAGATTCTTCATTTTCCCACAATCTTCCATGGGAAATACCAACTATGAACTATCCACCCCAGAAGAGATTCGAAAGCTCAAGTAACTGCGTATTGAACCACTCCAATATATAACTCAGGCATACCCAGATGCAAAGATTCGATCTTTGACATGATTTGAGCTCCCCCCAAAAAAAGTTCACAGATTGAATCTTTTCAAACGACCAAGAACTTTGATAGACTAAATCGCCCTTTCTGATTATAAAATTCTAAGAACAACTTATTTCAGCAAACCCAGATGCAAAGATTCGATCTTTGACATGATTTGAGTTCCAACAATAAGTTTAAAGATTGAATCTTTTCAGCAGACCAAAAACTCCGATAGACTAAACCACCCCTTCTGGTTACAGGATTTCAAGAACAACTTATTTCAGCAAACCCAGATGCAAAGATTCGATCTTTGACATGATTTGAGCTCCAACAATAAGTTTAAAGATTGAATCTTTTCAGCAGACCAAGAACTCCGATAGACTAAACCACCCCTTCTGGTTACAGAATTTCAAGAACAACTTATTTCAGCAAACCTCCAAGAAAAAGTGAGGAAACATAAAGAGAAGACGACGGGAAAGAGAGAAAGTGCGTGCGAGTATGGCTTGGGCAATCCAGAATGGGGACCCTCTAGAGAAGAGAGGGAGAGGGGGAAGAGGGAACATTGAAATGACTAAATTGCCCGGCTGTTTGGGTGGGTGAGGAGACAAAGAACGTACGGAGTGAGGACAAGTGGCGGGGATTGAAGGGGAGAAAGAACGACACGTGGTTCTGACCGATGCCTTTTTGGTGAGTGGTGAATGGTGATGATAGCTAGATTGATAGACTCTAACTAACGATAGACTTCTCTATAAAAAGTCCTACCGCCTCTAAATAATACTCTTTCATTCCAAAATATTATGTATTTTATGCAAAACAAAATGAAATTTTAACTATTTTTATATTCATTTTATTTAAAGATTGGTATACAAATTTAAAATAAAATGTATATATTTAAAATTTAGGTCAAAATTTCTACAAAATAAGAAGTAAAAAGAATGTTTTATTTTATCAAATAATCAATCAAAACGTGCAAATATACAAAAGTTTTCGTGACTTTTGAGACGGAAGAGTACTTTTTTTCATTCCAAAAAGATCATCAAAATTTGAATTTTTGGTTCAAAATGAGTTAGACTTTAACTATAAATTATGAAAACAATTTATATATTATACGGAGTAATATAAATTTAAGAAAATTATACTCCCTATGTCTTTGTTTAATCTAGATGGTTTTACTTTAGAAAATTTAAGAAAAAAATATCTAGTGACTAGAGTTTTGTTAAGTGATTACAGGAATTTGGAATATGATAGATCGAATTTGATGTCTAAATAACTGAAAAGAAAATTAAGAAATGCTTCTTTGATGAACGTAAGGTTCACATCACTTTTTGTAGACTTTCTCACATCAAAAATATTTTTGTAGGCCCACAAAACATTGTGTGAACATTAGGTGGACCATAACACTTACAAAAAATCAAAGCAAAGTGTCATATAAGGTAATGAAATTTTTCTTTCCATCTTTCCCTTAATTCAAGTATGGTCTTTTTCTCCTCCATAGAATACAATAATTGTCAAGTTTATTCACATTTTTGGAGTTGGGGTGCATGTTTATTCACTCTCTCTTTGGTCGTGCTTCAATAGTTTCTTTATTTGTACTTCTGTCTCTGAGTCGGGAGGTCTCCTGGAAACAGTCTCTCTACTTTATACGAAAAGTAAAAAGAGAAGAAAATGTTAGGACAAGGAAATGTACCCTTTGATTGATCATTTTAAGGTTGTAGGATGGCTGCTGGAAGAGAAACATCATCGTTTCATGCCGCATCAGAAGAGTGTCGTCCTACAAAGATCAGAGTTCGACTGTCAATGGGAAGGCGTAATAATAATGATAAAAAGGTGGTGATAGAAATAGAACAAAGAGAAAGATTTTCCCAAACTTACATTGTCAAAGGCTTTCAAAAGATTCACCAAGCAAAAAAAGAAAGGTTTTCCCAAAGTTTCCCTGGGGTTTAGCAGATAATGTCATCATCATTCACACAGCTTTATCCCACTTTCAAATTCAGACTCCAGACCAGCTTCCTTCATTGTTGTACTAAGTTCATCCAACCTCTCATAGATCATATCTGAGCAAGGATGTGCCTTGTCTGCAATATAAAAGCTGTGAGTTTCGCTCTTGATATCAATCCAACTACGCCCGGGCGACTTGTGCATCCCTCTGTCTTTCATCAACCTCCTCACTTCAGAAACTGCATCCCACCTCTGAGAAGAAGCATACAAGTTTGAGAGAGAGACGTAATTCGAAGGGTTCTCTGGTTCCATCTGAACGAGAAACTTGTATGACAGTTCCCGAATCTCTCTGTTTCCGTGTAGTGTGGATGCGTTCAGGAGGGCCCCCCAAACGCTTGGTCCAGGTCTCATGGGCATGGTGTTGATGAACTCAAGTGCCCGGTTCAGCTGCCCGGAGCGCCCAAACAAGTCAACCATGCATGAACACATTTCTAAAGTTGGTTTAACAGAATAATCATTCAAGAGAGAGTCATATATTTTGATGCCCTCTTCTACTAATCCAGATCTTGCACAAGCTGAAAGAACCCCGACAGCTGTGATCATGTCGGGCTTAATCCCCTCATCCAGCATCTGATTAAACATAAACACAGCTTCTTGGCCTCTACCGTGTAATCCGTATCCGAGAATCATTGTACTCCAAGATATTCTGTCCTTGGCAGCGGATCCATATTCAAAAACCAATCTTGCACAAGTCAAGCTTCCAGTCTTGACATACGTATCCATTAAAGCATTTGTGAAAGACACTTCGCGGCTCAAATTTTGCTTGATGGCGAATCCATGGACCTGTTTCCCACCCTTCAAACTTGCCAGTGAACTACAAGCGGGTAGGATAGAAACGAGTGAAACCTTGTTTGGTTTGATTCCTTCTATTTGCATATTAAAGAAAAATGCACAAGCCTCTTTAAAGATACCATTCTGTACATAACCATTTACTATCGATGTCCAGGCAAACACGTTCCTGTGGGTTAATTGTTCAAAAACCTTTCTTGCTGAATTAAGTCTACCGCTCTTCGAGTACATGTCAATCAAACAACAGCCTAAGTGATGATCATCGCAATCGGATCCTATTTCTAAGTTCAGACTTTTCTTGAAAACACGGCAGTGCAGTTCCCTTCCATAGTGCCACTTATTCCTATCTTCCGCACAGAATGACAGCAATGTAGAAACTGTAAAGGCATCGAATTCCCATCCTTCGATCTGCATCGCTTTCACAAAATCCCACAAATCATTTGCCAAGTTTTTCTCTTTCAAACGCACATAGCCCAAAAGTATAACATTCCAAGAGCTCAAATTTCTAACAGACATTCCATCAAACACCTTCAATGCATTGGATAGCCTATCGTTCTTCACATAGAGAGACATGAAAGAATTGCCGACCACAGTGTCCAAAACAAACCCATTCTTCTCACACACACAGTGGACCATCTGCCCAGACCTGAAATCCCCAGATTCGCCAAAAATTTTCACAATGCTTGAAAACGTGAATTCATCCGGCAAAACATCTCCGGCCCACATTTGCTCAAAAAGAAGAATGCTTTGAGAAAAGATCCTATTTTTCGCGAACCCGTTGATCAATGTGTTGTAAATATAGACATTCTTGGTTTCAAATGAGTCGAAGAAGCGCTGCGAATCGAAAGGGCTTCTGCAGGCGGAGTATGCGGAGATGAGTTTCGTTGCGAGAACAGAGTGTTGGTTGAGGCCGGAAGAGTGGATTCGGGCATGGCATTGCTGGGCGAGATTGAGAGTTCGGGAATCAATGGAGAGCTGAAGAAAGTGCAAGAGATCGAGAGACGAGACGGCATGGTAACGGCGAGCCATGGCGGCGGACCAGATGGCGGTGGACGTCATCTTCTCCACTGGTCTAAGACTCAAATGGTGCTTCGGAGATTTTAGCGCGCGAAGGCCATGGACGTGGATCTAAACTCTATTCTTTTGCCGCTCTAGGCTAGTCCGCTACCAGTTTGAATTTTAAGCAAGAATTAAGCTAGTTGGGAGAAAGATCAAAGTAGGACTAAAACATTGAAAATATACCAAAATAGGATTTCCATGTTTTTATTCCCGAAATAGGACTTACATTATCAAACATGGTCATATACATTACCAAAAACGTATAGTAATTTTCACATATACACTGGCAAGGGTGTTCATTCGGTAAAACCGAACCGAACCGAACCGAAATTTCGGTAATATTATATTTGTACCGAATACTGAACCGTATTAAATCGGTTCGGTACGGTAAATACCGAAATTATTTCGGTTTGGTATTCGGTAATACTGAAAAAACCGAAAATTTCATTTTATTTTCATCTATACTTCACTTTTTTTATTTTCAATTTGTACCACAAGCAATCTCGTTCAACATTTAAAGAAATTAGAAATACTTTATATTTTTAGCTATAGTTAATCATAAATTACTTAGTTTTTCATATTATTAAAAGATTATCGAAACACATGATTTTGATCTTGTAAAAAAATGAAATATAAAAAAAGAAATAAAAAATTCAAAATATAACAAGTATTCTATCAAAATGTTTAAAAGATCTTACCTTTAGCCACCAGTAATTTATTGCCCTACGAAGTGAGGTCAATGTATTGACCATTTAGAATAAATGAAAAAAAAAATTAAAGAAGAAAGAGTCAAATAGTAAGCATGAGTAAATTTAGCTAGATATGAAGTATTTTTTAAAAATTAAAATTGTCAATAAAAGGAAGGATAAAATAAGGTAGACCATTATATAAGTTGCTAGGACTCAAGGATAGAATTCAAACTTCAAAATATTTAAAATAATAAAATGAAGTAATAATTTGGTATTCGGTAAAAACCGAATTACCGAATTACCAAATCAAACCGAACCGAAAACCAAATTTTAGAAAAAAGAAAAACCGAATACCAAACCAAATTATTCGGTTTGGTTTCGGTACGTACCGAATTTTTGGTTTCGCTACGGTTTGGTCGGTTTACCGAATTGTGCACACCCCTATACACTGCCACATTACCACAGGGCAAAGTCACATTACCACAGTGTAAAGACCTATTTCAGGAAAAAAACATGAAAGTCCTATTTTGGTACTTTTATCTATGTTTTAGTTCTATTTAAGGTGATTTCTAGAGTTAAAACTACAAATTCAAAAACTATTCCAAAAAAAGTACTCCCTCCGTCCCACAAAAAAGTTCCCATTTTGAATAGTATTTAGTCAAATATTTACACGCTTTGACTACAAATTGTGAGAAAGGTATATTGAATTATGAAATAAATTTTATATAATTGGATTCATCTTAGGATCTAGTTTTGATATCTCAAATTTTTTTAGCATTTCTTTATTTAGATTATATTTAATTTATGGTCAAAGTGTGTAATAGTTTGACCAATTTATGGTCAAAATGGGAATTTTTTTGTGAGACGGAGGAAGTATAATGCTTTGAGAAGAAAGAGTAAAAACACAATATAACATTATGAAAAAATTACTCCACCTACATTTGATTACTCCGTATAATTATTTTCCTCAAACAATTTTTTTTTTTGCATTTTCAATAATTATTTGAAAGATTAAAATATTTTTTTCGTTTCTTGTTTCGTAAAATATTTTATGAAGTTTTTTATATATAAGTTTAATTTTTATTCTTATACTGATTTTTTAATTAAAATGATTACAATAGACAGATGGAGTTTATTTAATACACCATATAATGCACTCTGAAGTGCCAATATAACAATAGTATAAAATAAGTTTACAATCTTTTTTTCGAAAAGGTAAATGTTTCTATCACTTTGAGTTTCAATGTCATTAGAAGGCACGAGTCCCGATTGAAGGGAGGTTCCACGTGACATTAAACTGCAATGTCATACTAACGGGTCCTTGTTAAAAAAATTGACGGTTCATATTCTTTTTTTTAACCATAATCCTAGCTTGAATTGATCCTCACTCACACACCCCTCCCCCCACAATTGCATCACCTAATATTTGCAGACTTTGGAGTTAAAATATCCAATTCTAAAATCAACTAAAATTTGGTGTAACTAAAAGGGTGGAGCATCTATTCGAGTATGGTCAAGGTGAAAGATTTTTATCAAAATTTAGAGCATTGGCAATGGCATGGAGATACCACTCCCACGCCTGCCAGCTCAGCTCTCTCCCTTTCAAATCGTGGAGTGGCATAGGCGTGTCACCCTGCCCGCTGAGGCATGCGTGCGGCTTCTTCTTTTTTTTTAATACAAGAAAGAAGATTTTTTTAAAAAGATTACACCTATTATTCTTTTGAAAAAAATAAGGAAAATAATTTTTAATAATTAAAATACATCAAAGTGATAAGAAAAGTGATAAAAAATAACTTGTCATTATAGGACATGACACTCCACTCACTGATTGGACTAATCTTCATTAATTTAAACATTCCACATTAACGTATGACATTTCATTTTTGTTTTGTCACTGCCTATGCTCTTGGATAAACACCAATTTAAGCCTAAGTCGAATTAGATTGGATTTCAAAACCTCCCTTTCTAAGGAGGACAATAGTTATGGAGTTCATACAACCGGCTATACCAAAAATAAAGTACAATCAGGTAGTACTTATTTTGAAATAAAACAATATTCATTCTTGCATAAAATATAAATATTTATTTTGAAATAGCGTAGAACTCATTCTGAATTAACGTAGTGCCCATTTTCTTACATTTGTTTAATACAATTATAATGTTCAATTATGAACAACGTAGTGTTTATTAAGAAACACAGTAGTGCTCAAATGCCCATTCTCAAACAACGCAATGCTCATTCTTAAGTAACCTACAGGTCATTCCCTTCATATTCAAAAAATATAGTATAATTAATCTTACCATCATCATCTTCATAGCATCTCACTGCTGCAAAATTCATGAAACATCTTCATCACCATAGACCGTAGTTAGGGTTTTCTCAATGGCCTTCATCATCCATCTTCGTTGATCTCGCCGTGCTTCCTCGATCTCGCAGTTGTGCTTCCTCGATCTCGTCGGATCGATACAACAAGGGTCAGATCTATGCTCTTCTTCCCAAATCGTGTGGCTTCATTCGCGATTTCACATCAAAAATCACGTCTACTCTTCCTCTCCAAGTGGTGCAACAAGTTTCACTCAAATTTTAAGCCGACTGTAAAAGAAGAACCGCGATTGTACGGTATAATTTGCGATAATTATCGGAGTCACGAGTTTTTTGTTTTTTGTTTTTTTTTTTTTGAAAAAAAAAGAGTAAGGAGTTTTTAACTCTTCGCCTTCCCCGCCGTTGATCCCCGCCTGAGATGAGCACGGTGCACCTGAAGGTTCTCAGAAGACCGCCTCCCCTGTCCCTTCCGTCTTCGCATCTCCGCCAACTTTCCACCTCCGCCGCCGTTTCCGCATCCGGCAAACCTTGGTTCGCCCCACCTCCGCCGCAGCCGTCAAAGCTCCGCCGGAACAACACTACCGATCCAATCATCACAAGCCTTTCAGAAGCCATAGCCAATTCCCGAAAGAAACCTCTCCAGACCTCCCTGAAAACCCTCCTGCCGTCTCTTAAGCCCCACCACATCGTCGACCTAATCAATCTCAACCCCCACTCTCTCCCCCCTTCCTCCCTCTACTCCTTCTTCACATGGCTCTCCTCTCACCCCTCCCCTTTCCGCCACACTTTCTTGACCTACTGCGCCATGGCCCACTTCCTCTGCACCGTCGGAATGTTCGCAGAGGCTCGATATCTCCTGCAAACCATTGTTTCGAGAAAGGGGAAGAACTCCGCTTCCGCGATTTTTGCTTCCATACTCGGATCTAAAGGTACCCCGGACTCCACCGATCGGCTTGCCGGCTTTCTTATACTCGTTTATCTCGATTCTGGGTTTATTCCCGATGTAATCCAGTGTTTTCGGATCATCAAGAAGCATAGATTGCGTGTCTTGTTTGAAGCTTCTTCTCGAGTAATTGACCATTTGATGAAATCAATGCCGCCATGGGCGGCTTGGGGTTTGTACAGGGAGCTCTTAGAATCAGGGTGTCCTCCGAGTGTGTATTGTTTCAACATGTTGATGCATAAATTGCTCAGGGAAGGCCAAAACAGGGAAGCCAAATTGGTTTTTGATGAAATTGGGAAATGGGGAATCAGGCCTAGTGCTGTTAGCTTCAATACTTTGATCAATGGGTATTGCAGGTTGGGTGATTTAGATGCAGGGCTTAGGTTGAAGAATGTAATGGAGGACAGGGGAGTCGTCCCTGATGTTTTCACTTACAGTGTTTTGATCAATGGCCATTCCAAGAAAGGTTTGATGTGTGTTGCAGGCCAACTGTTTGATGAAATGTGTGAGAGAGGTTTAGTCCCGAACGGTGTGATATTCACAACATTGATTAACGGGCACTCTATGGCCGGGCAGGTGGATTTGGCCATGGGTCTCTATGAAAGCATGTTGAGAAACGGCGTGGAGCCCGATTTGATCACGTACAACACGTTACTCAACGGGCTTTCAAAGAGCGGCAACCTTGCAAAAGCCCAAAAGCTCGTCACGCAAATGAACGAAAAGGGTGTAAGGCCCGATAAGATCACATACACAACACTCATAGATGGGCATTGCAAGGCGGGCGATTTTGATGCCGCTTATGGGGTCCAAAAGGAAATGGTTGGAAAAGGGATTGCACTTGACCATGTGGCCTATACTTCCTTCATTACAGGCCTATGCCGAGAAGGGAGGGTGTCCGAAGCCGAGAGATTGCTAAGAGAAATGTTGAGAAATGGTCTAAAACCGGATGGTCCGACCTATACCATGCTCATTGATGGCTTCTGCAAGAAGAGGGATGTCAAAATGGGGTTCGAGCTGTTGAGGGAAATGCAGAGGGAAGGGTGCAAGCCGGGAGTGATAACGTACAATGTGATCATGAACGGGTTGTGCAATCAAGGCCAGATGAAAAATGCTGATATGTTATTGCATGCCATGCTCAATCTAGGGATTGTCCCGGATGACATAACGTATAACATTCTTTTGGATGGGCATCTGAGGAGGAGGAGGAGGAGGAAGCGCGGAAAACTTGGGGATGACGAAGATGAGATGCTGAGAAGTGAAATGGGGCTTGTTCTTGACTATGGTTCTTATTCTTCACTCATTGGCAAGTGGAATAAAGAGTTAAGACAGCATGATGAAAGGTGACCATGGTTCTCATTTACAATCACTTGCTTAGAATTCCCAACCATGAGCTTAGGGTTCTGCAGTGTTTAGGCTTATCTTTGCAATTAATCACTCCATTTGTGTACAAAATCTAAATCATGTGAAATTGAAGTGTAGTCTTTCTGTCTTTGTAATTGGGTTCACAAATTAAATCTGAAAATACAAGCATTTTAGAAGCATATTTTAAAAGCCTGATGATCCAAGGAGATACTGAGAGGGTGTTTGAGATTGTATTTGAGAATAACTTTTTAGCTTTTATTGTACTAAAATACGAGTATAGTTCTAAGTCTGGCGATTTGTTTCAACTTACTAATTATTGCTTCAGAAGTGCAAATTGAGCTCTAAAAGTTTTTTTTAAAACAACGCTATGAGCCTATGACTAGGAGTAAGTACTTTTTGCTTCACTTGTCACTTCTGATTTTCTAGACGTCACAATACCCTCAAACATCTTCTAAGACTAATAGAGTATAGAATGAGATACGATGGATATGTTATCTTTGGTTTTGTAATTTGTATCCATTATTTGAAAATATGGATATTTCCATAAATAATTACGGAGTATTACCTAGGAGTACTAAATTTGGGAATTTTATTTTATTCCTTTTAGATCGTTCCTAAATAATTTTAATTCCTACATCCTGAAAATTTTCTTCTTTTTCCCAAATTTGTGTGTTATTTTTCATATTTCTAAATTAGTACTCCGTATTAAATAAACCCTTTTTTCCTCGAAGGGTAGAGTTCAAAACGCAGTTCAAAGATGTCAATTACGAAAGCGATTGAGAGTTTAAGCATTTTTGTTACATTTTCTAAGTAGTTTCTTTTTTTCTTAATTTTCGTAAAATCGTAGTGAGCCCAGCAAATCATTTTACATGGTAGTATGATTTCATTGTCATTTCTAATTAAAACTAATTTATTACCGTATATAATTTTTGGCATAGGCTATAATTAAATCAATTCACACGGTAACATGGTTCCATTACCATTTCTAATTAAAAGTAATTTATTACCGTCTATAATTTTCAAATTATTAAAAGTTATTTAGTTTCTTTTTCTATTTTTGACCGTTTATTTTTTTCTTTATTCTCAGAAAAACCTAAGATCCTGGCCATTTAAAAATGGAAACTTATTATAATAAATTACTTTGATAATTTTATGGGAAAGACGATTTCAGCAATTTATATTGAAATATTTGCACTAAATAGTACTAAATTTAAGTCATTTTCCTAAATAGCACTTAAATTGTTTTATTTCCTAAATAACACTTCATAATGTCCATAATGTTCAGTGAAGACAAACATTTACTTGAATAATGACTAATATATAATGACTAAAAGTGCTATATTGGGAAGAAAAACACATGTGGTACTATTTTGAGAAAGTCATTATGTCTTAGTGCTATTAGTATTATTCTCGTCATTACCTTTATTAGTATTATTAATATTATTATCGTTGTTAGTATTATTCTTATTATTAATATTATTACTGTGTATATTATTATTATTATTATTATCATCATCATCATCATCACCACCACCACCACCACCACCATATAGCTAGATATTATTAAATTGCCTTATTAATAACTAGTATAGACATTATTAAATTACATATTGGTAAACATTAATTGATAATTAATATGTTTCCATTTTGGTTGAGAGAATACAAAAAAAATATAATTGTAAGCATTAACTAAAAAATATTATGTTTCCATTTTTGGTTGAGAGGATGTAAAAAAATATTTAGCATATTTCTAAGTTACCATTTTAATAAAAATGCAAGGCTGATTATTATTTATAATCTAAATATGAAAATCCATACTTTATTTAAAAAGACATGGAGTCAACCTTTGTTTTTCCCGCCCATGCGTTATTACATTAACAAATGGCAATTGTTCATTAAAAAGGTAAGTTGCCGAAGATATAATAATAAATATTAAAAACTTACGTCTGTGCTTAATTTTTCATGCGTTATTACATTTACAAAATGGCAATTATTCACTTAAAATGGTAATTTTTATTACATTAGCAAATGGTAATTGTTTACTTAAAATGGTAAGTTGCCAAAAATATAATTATTATTATTAAAAACATGCGCATGTGCTTAATTTTCTATGCATTATGACATTTACAAATGACAAGTTAATTATTATGAAGTTAAAATTAATATTAGTTTTTACACACAATACCTTTAAAAAATGTGAGATTATAAATCTAAAAATTAATTATTACTTAATATTATTAATGTTATTAATCTCAAAAAATTAATCTAGAAAAATGGTTTAAAAGCTATAAATACATTTCCTTTTTTTTATCACAGTGAATTTATCAATTCGTATGGAGTGTACTAATTGTACAATTTCGTACGGTATTTTAACCTCTCTTTTTTTTTGTGTAGGGGCGTCCGAAATTTGTTTCTTTTTTATCACACGGTATTTTAATACCGTAACTGTCATTTTTATACACCCAATTGGGAATAATCACAAAAGGTAAGTTATACAATTATACACCCAATCTCACAAAAAATATAATTGAAAAGAATTAACAAAGGTAAGTCCCAATTTCCTTTTGAATACGAGCAGTTTTATCTCTGATTTTTAAAAATTACTTTTTGAAAACGTGATATTACTAATCTAAAAAAATACTACGTAGTTATTATTATTAATCTAAAAAATGGTTTAAAAGCTATAATAAATACTCCTCCTTTTTTATCACAAGATAATAACCAGCTTTAACACGTAATCATTTTAAAAAAGGTACAAATAATATGACACCGTTTATAAATGGTAATTAATTTAAAAAAATAACAAATAATATGACATCGTTTATAACTGGTAATTTATCTATACTTAACATAGAGTTAACATATGGTTTTCCCGTCCAAAGAGTATGACAACTACAAATGGCAATTGTGAAGTTAAAATCGTAAGTGACCCAAATTATAGTAATAATTATTATAATTATTATATTTATAATAATTAAAGAAAGGTAAGTTAAAATAGCCGAATGGTAAGTTAATAAGTGTAGTGGCCGAAATTATAGTAATAATTATTATATTTATAATAATTATTAAATGACCGAAAGGTAAGTTAATAATTGTAAAGTTAAAATTGTAAGTGGCTGAAATTGTAAAGTTGTAATTATTTAAAAAAGGTATAAATATAATAATTAACGTATTGAAAATTGGAACTAATTAGAAAAGGTAAGTTAATAATTGTAGTGGCCGAAAGTGTAGTAATAATTATTATAATTATTATATTTATAAAATGGCCGAAAGGTAAGTAAATAATTGTGATGTTAAAATGGTAAGTGGTCGAAATTGTGGACTTATAGTTATTAAAAAAGGTATGAATATAATAATAGCTATTATTTTTATAATAATTAATTAACATATTGTAAGTGAGAAGTTAATATAGCTATTATTTTTATAATAACTAACATGAGTAATATAAAATGGTAAATGTGATGTTAATATAATTATCCATACTTTATTTAAAAAGACATGAAGTCAATATTACGTTTTCCCGCCCAAAGAGTATGCCCATTACATATGGCAATTGTGAAGTTAAAATGGTAAGTGTCCAAAATTATAGTAATATAAAATGGTAATTGTGAAGTTAGTATATTTATTTTTTATAATAATTAACTGTCATTTTTTAAAGTGTCCAAAATTATACTAGCAAGAAAGGTAAGTTATAAAATTGGAAAGTGTGATTACCGTGTCAAATTCATTATAGTAATTAAATGTTAATTACCATGTCAAATTAATTATAGTAATATGTGTGATTACCGTGTCAAATTAATTATAGTAATTCAATATTAATTACCGTTTCAAATTAATTATAGTAATTTTCTAATGGCTATATTTTAATTATAGTGGCTATATTTTATAATGGCTATATTTTACTATATTTTAATTATAGTAATTTTAATCAAAAAAGGTAATAATTAATCAAAGTATTAATTATATAACCGTGTGACTACATAATTGTATACTCCGTATTAATTACTGTGTCATTTTAATTATAGTAATTTTAATTATAGTAATTTTAAATATAATAATTTAAATAATTTAAATATAGTAATAGTAATTGTTAAGTATTTAAAGATGGTAAGAAATTAAAGTGCCCGAAATTATAGTAATATAAAATGGACTATAACTACTGTAAGAATTAAATATCCTTTAAATATATATATTTACGTTTAATAGCGAGAAAGGTAATAACCAAGAAAGGTAATAATTAAATGTCGTTTTTAAAGTTTCCGAAATTATACTAGCAAAAAAAGGTAATAATAAAAAAAGGTAATAATTGACCACAGTATTAATTATATAACCGTGTGACTACATAATTATATATTAATTACCGTGTCAAATTAATTATAGTAATTTTAAGTATAATAATTTTATAATAGTAATTTTATAATGGCTATATTTTACTATATTTTCATTATAGTAATTTTAATCAAAAAAGTAATAATTAACCAAGGTATTAATTATATAAACGTGTGACTAAATAATTGTATACTCCGTATTAATTACCGGGTCATTTTAATTATAGTAATTTTAAATATAATAAATTAAATAATTTAAATATAGTAATAGTAATTTAAATTCGGTATAGCACTTTGAAAAAAGAATAAATTTTTTTAACCCCGTATGCCAAAATCATATCATACATACATCTATTTACAAATCTTTCGTAGCCACTACATTCATCGTGAATTTTTTTCCCTACGTTTCAAAATTGTCATTTCTATGAAAATGAGGATCTTAATTGCTTTGAAAAATGTTGATGAGAGGTCATCAATGTTAATGATGAAGCTACGAGTAGTTAGGATTTATCACAGGTTTCCGTAACAATAATCCAACACGTTTTAGTCATGGACAACTCTATGTTGCAGTTTTAAGAGTAACTAATCATAGTGGGTTGAAGATTCTGATATGCAATGAAGACAATATTCCCACAAATTGTACAAATAATGTAGTTTATAAAGAAGTCTTTCAAAATTTGTAAAACAGTGATACTTTGTACCTTAAAATATTATAATCTCTATATTCTATTGCATCTCATTTTTTATCATTGAAAAATAATTTGAATTTAATAACATAAAATGACCCGTGCAACGCACGGGTGTGATACTAGTTATATATATAGAATAATTAACGTATCGAAAATTGGAAAAAAATTAAAAAGGTAAGTTATGAAATTTCAGAGCGTAAGTTTTTAATAAAATTGAAATCAATGTATTATATGCTAATAATTAACCACCGTTATTTTGACTACTGATTGGAAACGTCTGAAATTATGGTAAGAATAAGTAACTGTCATTTTTAACCATCGGAAGTTAATATAATTATTTTTATAATAATTAACGTGAGTAATATAAAATGGTAAGCCATCAGAATTTAAAATAATTATTATATTTATAAAAATTAACGTATTAAAAAAGATAAGTTATACAAATCTAAAGCGTAAGTTTTTAATAAAGGTAAGTTATACAAATGCAAAGCGTAAGTTTTTGAAAATTGGAAATAATTAAAAGAAGGTAAGTTATACAATTATACACCCAATTTCGAAAAATAATAATTATGGTAACCCAATTTCAAAAAAGTTAACCCTTCTTATTTCCACATATTGTGCAATAATGTAGTCTATAAAGAAGTCTTTCAAAATTTATAAAGCAATGATGTTTTTTTTACTTTAAAATAGTATAATCTCTATATTCTATTGCATCTCATTCTAATCATTGAAAAATGATTTGAATTTAATAACATAAAAATGACTCGTGCAACGTACGAGTTTGATACTAGTAAATATTTAAAATTCCAAAGTCAACAAAAAAATAATTTTTTTCCTACATATTGGTAAGCATTAATTAATCATTACTATGTTTCCATTTTTTGGTTGGAAGAATATAAAAAAATATATTGCGTATTTCTATGTCATCATTTTTACTAAAAGACTAGCTTATTACTATTTCTTATCTAAATAAGAGAATAAAAAATATTAACAAAATTCGAAATCAATAAAGAAATTATGTTTTTCCTACATATTGGTAAACATTAATTTATAATTAATATGTTTCTATTTTTCGGTTGGGAGAGTACATAAAATTATATTTTGTAGGCATTAATGTTGATAAGCATCAAAATAAAACTTAATTGAGTAACGTAAATATGACACGTGCAACGACGAGTGTGATATTAGTCTTCGAATAAACTTTTGAAAACCTTAATTTGATATAATGAACATGTTCTAACCATAGTTAGGTTGTTCTCTTATTTTCTAAACGTTCCTTTAGAATATAAGAATTTCCTAATAAAGTCATCTATTCGTGGTTTTCTATATTTAAAATTTATTCCATAATAAGTTCTTTATGGATTAATTGTAGAACAAAATATTCTCTTCACAATCTTTTATATTTGGAAACTTTTCATTTTAAAAAAATTATTATAAAATAGTTTTGAAATATAGAGGATCAAGAGAATAAATTGGAATTGACGAAAAAAATCTACCTAAATAAGAGTATAACATTATATTTAGACCAAAACAAGATTTTTCAAGTTTTTATCTTCTAAATAGTAGTATTGACATTTTAAAACAACAAACCTATTGAGTCACACAAAAGTAGAGTATGGGAGAGTCTGTGTACCCAGATCTAACCTTTACTCGAAAGTAGAGAGATTGTTTAAAAAAGACTTTTAGCAAAAGCACCACAGACAATCACGCACGTAACCTAATCTATATATTTAAAACATAGAGTGGTTGTTTCCGAATGACAATGAAGAGCATCGAAATTTACATTGAGTAACTGCTATCTCACTATTAAAATAAGCAAAACAATTTAAAAAGTTATTTTACTTTATTCTATGTCGTACCCTAGAGCCTAAAGATAGTAAATCTTTGGTTTAATTGGAGATGATGGAAATACAAGAACTTGGTATTGTACATTAGTGTTTTACAATATTTTTTACATTATACTCCCTCCGTTCCTCTGTATTTGTCCACTTTCATTTTTACACACCATCCAATGCACTTCTTTAATCCATTTTATCTTTTAATTTGTATATTAAAAAATTATAAAAATTACTACCTCCGTCCCGCTATATTCGTCCACTTTTGACTTTTAGAACTGTTCATCTAAATACTTTGACTCATCATTTTCTTCTCAATGTGTAAGCCTAAATGTAGTCATGCGTGATCTTGTTTGATTTGTCTTAACATATAGATTATTAATATATAATTTCTATAATTTTTTAATATACAAATTACAAGATAAAATGGATTAAAGAAGTGTATTGGATTGTGTGTAAAAATGAAAGTGGACAAATACTCTGGGACGGAGGGAGTATTTATTAATAATCTATATGTTAAGACAAATCAAACAAGATCACACATGACTATATTTAGGCTTACACATTGAGAGAATTTGATGAGTCAAAGTGCTTAGACGAACAATTCCAAAAGTCAAAAGTGGACAAATACTCAGGGACGAACCAAATATGTTTTAATCACAGTAACTAATTTAGCGAGTCAAACAAAATCTTTTATGATGGAGTAAACCTGTTTAGACTTTAGAGAATGAATAATGTCAGAAACGCATAACAGGTACCCTTTCGAATAACAATCACAAACAATTTCTACATTCATAGATACGGAGTAATAATCATTTGTGTTTAGGCACTACTCGGGTATTATTTTTATTCTTTTTAATGTATGTAGAAATTATTTATGATTGTGGTGGATTCTTAACATTTTTGTGGGAGAATTCATTCAAAAAATTTTTGTTTGCTTTCACTAATCACTATCATGGTATCTCTTCCTCTCACAGTCACATTTGGCACAAAAAAGCGCATTTTGGCTCCTCTTTTTTGAAAACGAAAACCAAAATTTGGTTTCGAAACCTCAATGGGCGAATTGAACCCGCCTATCATTAAAGCCCTAAATTCACACTCGTCACTCGTCCTCTTCCTCCTCCTTTCATGAAGTCATCATCATCATCAGTACCTGCAAATACTCCATTGTCTTTCTAAATAAAGAAACTCCAAAGGATACAATTGGTGGAGTGAGGTGTCCGGCCGGAGGAAATGGGTTCTGTTCTTCCATTACAACAAGACCTCAATCTCCAGCTCGGAACTCCCGCCGCTAAGCTTGTCCCGAAAATCGAGCCGAAGCTCGAACCGTACGACGGATTCTCCGCCCTTCCGACAGCCCATTTCGTGTCAAACCCTAATTCCGACCCAGGTGCAGCGTCGCTTTTAGGCAACCCTACTCCCACTCCTCCTCCGAGGCCCAATGGCAAAAGGTCATCGCCTTCTTCCGACGAATCCAATGTGTATTCCGAGTTCAGCCGGATTTCCGACATGTTCCGAGCCACTCTTGCTAAGAAACTGCAGCGGTCTGGGGAAATGGAGGCTGCGGATGACCCGGATTCCCGCGCTATTGTTCCCGTGGACGGCGAGGCTCAAGTCTCCGATGCCGTTGTTTCCAATAAGGATACTATTAAGCAACGGTCGTCGGAGCTGGTCCGGGTCTTGGATCTCAGACTTGAAGACCAGATTTTCTTCCGGGAAAACGTCAGGAGAACTAGGATGCTGTACGAATCCATTCGAGTTCTGTTGCTGATGGAGGACGAGAAGAGGCAGGATCCGGGGAGCTGGAGGAGCAGAGCAGACCTGAAATCCGCCCAGTTGATGAGACAAAGGGGGCTATGGCTGAACAGAGACAAGCGCATAGTGGGACCCATCCCAGGACTCCTAATCGGAGACGTCTTCTTCTACCGGATGGAACTCTGTGTTGTTGGGCTGCACGGGCAGGCTCAAGCAGGAATCGACTACCTGCCCGCGTCCCATAGCTCCAATGGGGAACCAATAGCAACTAGTGTGATTGTTTCAGGTGGGTACGAGGATGATGAGGATACTGGGGATGTGGTTATCTACACCGGGCAGGGTGGGCAGAACAAGTGCTACAAACAATGTGTAGACCAGAAGCTGGAAGGTGGTAATCTGGCCATGGAAAGGAGCATGACCTATGGAATAGAGGTCAGGGTCATTCGCGGCTTCAGATATGAAGGCAGCGTCAGTGGTAAAGTTTATGTTTATGATGGTTTATACAAAATTGTTGATTATTGGTGTGACGTGGGTAAGTCTGGGTTTGGGGTGTATAAGTATAAGCTTGTTAGATTTGAGAATCAGCCGGAAATGGGAAGTTCTGTTCTTAAGTTTGCACAGGCTCTCAGGACTCAACCACTAATGGTGAGGCCAAAGGGGTATTTAAGTCTTGATCTATCAAGAAAGAAAGAGAACGTTCCGGTTTTTTTGTATAATGATATAGATACGGATCAAGAGCCTCTTTATTATGATTATCTGGCGAAAACCATCTTCCCTCCACACGTTCACGTGGGACACGGGACCGGCTGTGTATGCGTTAGCGGGTGTGGGGCCGATTGCTTTTGTACTATGAGAAATGGTGGCGAGTTTGCTTATGACAGTACTGGTGTCCTGCTCAGAGGGAAGCCGTTGATCTTTGAATGTGGGCCCCACTGCCATTGCCCTCCGACGTGCAGAAACCGGGTTAGTCAGTGTGGGATTAAGAACAGATTTGAAGTGTTCCGGTCTAGGGAAACAGGTTGGGGTGTTAGGTCACTGGACATGATCCAAGCTGGCTCCTTCATCTGCGAGTTTGCAGGGGTTGTCCTAACAAGAGAGCAAGTCCACATTTTTACAATGAATGGGGACAGTTTGGTCCATCCGAGCCGTTTTGCACAGAAATGGAAAGAATGGGGAGACGTGTCTCAAATATATTCCAACTATGTGCCCCCAGCTCACCCCTCTATTCCTCCGCTTGATTACGCAATGGACGTGTCGAAAATGAGGAATCTGGCGTGTTACATGAGCCATAGTCCGACTCCCAATGTCTTTGTGCAGCTTGTGCTCTATGATCATAACAATGTCTGTTTCCCTCGCCTGATGCTTTTTGCACTGGAAAACATCCCTCCATTAAGGGAGCTTAGTCTTGACTATGGAGTGAGTGATGAGTCCATCTCAGGGAAGCCCAAGCTTGCTCTCTGTAACTGATTTTTTCTTTGGAATTTGTCAAAGATGCTGACCAGCTCTCTTTGTCAAATGATTTTGAGGTATATATCAACTTCTGTTTTAACCAAGTCTTCTTTGTTTTATTGTTTTTCCTTTTTTCACTATACTACCAAAGAGCATAATCAATTTCCTTTCTTTTACTGAAAAATAACAGTTTGCCTTTTTCTTTTCTTTTTTCATTTTAGTCTGTTTCAAAGTATTTATCTCGTACCATATCTAGTATAATTTATTTGGCTCAAATCGATACATATTACATTCTTTACAATGTCAATCTGCCTTGTCCCAAACATAGTGGAAAGAAGAGTGTAGCTGTTTAGTATTGAGATTTGAGAATTTTTATGACTCAATGTGCTTGTGTTGAAGTGTCCTGCAAGCTAATACGACAATGTTTTTTTCCTAAGACACATTGAAATCTTTAATGCTTCCTCTGTCGTCTTTAACATAAGTCACAATTTAGAAGGCATTAGCTGAATATCAGTTCTCATTATAAGAAATATCTTACCATTCCGATGAAGTATTTAATACTCGGGCTGCTTGTTTTTTTCTTCCATTCTTCACCATCATGTTTCACTTTGGATTTACGTTGCCCATTAACGAAACAAGATTTTTAATACAAAATTAAAGTAATTAAAATCACGCAAAAAGTAGGGTCTGGGAGGGTGTGTGTATGTAGACCTTACCCTTAGTAGTATAGCCTATAGAGGTTGTTTCCAAAAGACCCCAACTCGGAAAAAAATGATTTTTAATGTGGTTGCACGGTACACTTTGGAGTACTTAAATTACTTTCAAGTTTCAAGTAGGGTCTTCAATTACTTATATTGGTTGCAGGGGTATTAATGCTTTCCATGATTGTTTAGAAAATACAGAGTAATTCTCTTTATTTCCCCTGTTTGCGGTATATCATAATAAGACTTATAACCTCTTGTCACCAATGTTACACTATGTGGTAAGATTAGTTCCCGGCGGCGATTAAATGTGTTAAGCATCTCTATCTTGTCCGCACTTTCGTGTTCTGAGCTGAAAGTCTCTCAGAAACAGTGTCTTGATCTATTGCTGAATCATCATAATACCTTTGTATACACACAACAGATGTGATTTTTTTTTGTTTTTTGCATAGTTATCGGGATGCAGACATGATGCATGAACACAAGATGAAGATGGTCAAGACTCAAGAACATGCCTCATACGTTGCTGTTCAGGTTTTAGGGAAGAACTTACGAAGTACTCCCTTTAATAGTCATCTGTAATACTATTATTGCCTAACACAATGCAAAGGTGTGTAGGTTTTATGTAAACGCGACGAATTTTTTGTTGTTGTTGTTTAGACATGGGCGCGTTCCTTAGAGGTAACCCCTACGAGGAAGAGCCCAAATGTCTTGCATTTTGGCTTATAATCTTACGTTGGACCGTCGTTGTATCATGCCTTAACATGTATTGACAGTATAGTGGTCTCATTGGAGTTATACTAATTTTGAAGTTCATTGAGACTTTGCAATGATCAAATTTCCTGCTGTTTTGAGTTGAATTTGGTTTTGAAATTTGAAGGAGATATGTTCTGAAATTTAAAAACGATGATTAGGCTTTACTAAATAAATACCAATAATGAGAGATATTAAAATTCATATTTCTCATATTCTATGGAGTACTATTATTTAATTTTTTAGCATATTGACAATATTACAATTATAATATCTGTCCATACTTTCGAACTTGAGTTAAAAGCTCACAAAATGTGGCTTCCAAACGGCTCCATAGAATTAACTACAGTAAGAAATATAAAATCAAGAAAAAAAGGACAACCTCTCATATATTGCCATTCACGTTGAGAGATCATTCCCACACCTTTGACCACATTTACCATTTTAATTAGAGCCGGAGGAGGAGGATCAAAAGCGGCGGAGGTCGCCGACGTAGATGGTGGCTGCGCGGTGAGGGATCATTCTCACGCGAATGGAAGGCGTGGTCGCCGCCGCCGCCGCCCCGGCGACGAGGCGCAAGGTGATGGTGGTGGCGGACCCCACGCGGGAGTCGGCGGCCGCCCTTGAGTACGCCCTCTCCCACGCGGTCCTCGAGAACGACACCCTGGTCCTCCTCCACGTCGACAACCCCAACGCGTGGAGGAACCAGATCGGGTCCTTCTTCAAGCGCTCGGCCTCCTCCTCCTCCGCCGCCGCACCGGCGGGTGGCGGCGGCGGAGGCGCGGAGGCCGACTTCTTGGAAGGGATGAAGCGGGCGTGCCGGGCGGCGCAGGCGAAAATGACGGTGCAGGTGGAGAGGGTCCCCATAATGGACGGGAAGGACAAAGCTTCGGCCATTCTTTCCCAATGTGCAAAGCTTGGGATTGATATCCTCATCATTGGGCAAAGGAGGACTCTATCTAATGCCATCTTAGGGTTGGTTTTCTATACATTTCTTATTATATCATGGCCCGTCACATGTAGATTTGGTCGTTTCGAACCTTGCACGTGAAAATTTAATTTCATTTCAAAACTGAATAGTGGGGAGTTTCAATCTTGTTGTTTTTTAGTAAATAAGATTCTGATACCATTTCAAAAAAGCAACTCTAACTAGTAACTACGAGCTCAAACTTATAAGTGACGATCCCCATGACATTAGAACCACATGTCATGAGATGACCCGGGGCTGCTATGGTGTCCTGTTCGTAAAATTGACGGCTCTTGCCCCTAACCCCCTAACAAATCCCCACCTGTCCCGACCCGAACACCCCCCCCCCCACGTCCTTCAATTAACTCCAAAGCCAAAATTAACTTGGGAGGTACAGTTGAAGGGAGTGGGGGGTGTTCGGGTGGGAGTGGGGGTGGAGGGTTAGGGGGTAGGAACCGTCAATTTTACGAACGGGACCAGTGTCAAAAGAAGTGACCCCATATATAAGAGTAGAGCATATGATGAAATTGGGACACATGGATGCAGGCCAAAGAGGAGTGGGTCATTAAGGGGTCTAGACACAGCAGAATATCTGATTGAGAACAGCAAGTGCACCTGCGTTGGCGTCCAGAAAAAGGGCCAAACTGCTGGATATCTTCTTAACACCAAGTCCCACAAAAACTTTTGGCTTTTAGCTTAAATTACTTTATTTATCAATTATTATTACCACTGTTACTATACAACTTAATTATTCTCACCTTGTTTTTACTTTGTTCCTGTTACTATGTTTACTTTGTCCTGTTAATTACTCTATGTTTGGGACGGAGTCTCTTAAATACAGACTCTGTACTTCTGAGCAGGGAGAAAATCGACTTTCTTACACATAACATGTTCTTTCCCGATCTTACTTTTTGTGAGATTTTTACTGAGTTTGTTGTTGTTCTATCATTATTTTTCAACTGAAATTATCCCTTCTCAATTCATTATTTGTGATGTGCTTGCTTCTCACATAGTTTTGGTTCTATGTTTTACATAATTCCACTTCAGTATATATGAGTAGCTTAAAGCAAAAAAAACATAAAAAAACCAATCACAGCCACCTAAGTGTATAAATTTGTCATATTTACACCCTGAGTATAGTGAGTAAGGTAAGATTTGCCAAATAAATCTTACCAAAAGTATGATATATATATATATATATAGTAATTAATAAAGGATGATCTGTTCTAAGTGACTGACTCCAAAAACCAGTTCCAGATAACCAAAAACATACATATAGATGCATCTAACCAAAAACCACACCAACAAAAAAAAGCAAAAAAAAAAAAACAGAAATTAATAAAATGTGAAGTTTCTCTTGTTTTTGTGTGTGCTCTGAATTCTCCTTTGGGTTTACAAGCTGTGTGATATGTTCTTAAAATGCAGGAACAATATAAATATGATGAAGATCTTCAATTCTTCATTCTGCTTTTGTCTATATATGCGAATCCATACCGAGTCCATTCGATTCGGATGTCCTCATGATCCGTAACCGTTTAACCGTGCTCAGAAACATCCTAAAATGCAAGGAAACCATGCATCAGAATTCCAAAAAGAGTGCTTCTATGATGGACCTAAAGTCCCCAATAAATGCATATATATCCTTTTAATAATAATAATAATTTATCGTTTATATTAAGAGTCAATGTTTCTTATATGAATTTACATACGTACCCCCACGGAACGTCTCCGACAAGCATCCAATCTCCATCTTTATCTTCATATGTCAGCACAAACTCAGATGAACATTTGTCTATGAGCTTAGAGGGCACCATTTTTTGCTGCTTTCCCCTGCCTGAAAACCCACACACAGATTAAGCCATTGCACTCCTAACAATGAACTAATTAAGATGTCATGATTTGTACTTACTGCAGGTAGAATTAGTGGTTTTTGGGGCTGGTTTAAAGAACATGTCCTCCAAAGTTAGGGCAAGTGTCTTATAGGAAGTGTGGGCAATGAGATCCACCTTTCTCCCAATGGGGTGCCCATCCATGTTGACCTTGACAAACCCATGGCTCATTTTCTTCTTTGAGTTTTCTATGGCTTCTTCCACAGCTTCATCTTCTTGCTCATCATCTGATAGCTTTGATTGGCTGTTGGTGTTAGCCAAGGTGTTCATCCTGTATGCCGCTATGGGTGGCCACCCCACCACTTGACTGCAAAAAACCAAAATCTGTTGACCATATCGACCTCGAACATTCTGACTAAGAAAAGATTGATATATAAAAGTATGAGCCATTATTCCCATTGCCTATTGATTTTGGCTTTTTTTGGGTTGAAATCTCAGTATTTTGCATGGTACACAGCAAATTTCGAAAACTTGTGACCTCTAGGTCAAATGGATTCTAAAGCCTGGTTTGGTACTTTTAGGCCTAAGAAAGATTTTTATATTCTACGGAGTAACGAAATATTCTAAAAAACTATAGAAAATCAACTGAACTAAAAAGTCAAACTTTACTAAGATATATCTAAATAATTAATCACCTAGAAGCAGTAGGAGGGGAGCCAACATAAGGATCATCGGCGGCTCTTTTCATGCCGGAAACCGCCACGGCCGCCGGTCCTACCCTCGGAAAGCCATTAGGGAAGTCTTTAGCTGTCAATATTCTAGCGCCGCCGCCGCAGCTGCTGCCACACTCAGGTGATTTCCTCATTTTTCCCAGGCTGCCGCCGCTCCCCAGGCTTAACCCCAACTCAAGCTCCGCCGCGTCATCCTTGACCGCTCCGCCGCCGCCGCCCATTTTTAAGCCAAGAGCTGCTGCAGGTTCCATCATAAAGGTAAGAACAAGAATGGCCCTGTTCCAGTTTTACCCCTGACTGGGTAATTAACTAGAGTAAATAATTATAATTAACCTTAATTACCAAGAAGAGGAGAGAAAGAAGATTATGGGCATTGGGTTTGGGGGGTTAAAATAGGAGGAGTAGGAGGGGGAGAGTGGGACCCATGTGTCTGCTATAGTGCGCCATGTATATATTGAAAACTTCATCCTCAAGCTTCAGTACATCTGACCATCATATCATTCCCCCTACTAGCTAGAGCTACTACAGGTTCCTTTTTTTTTATTATTCTAATTTTTTTTATATATATAAAATGATTTATTAGAAACTTTCTTGTCTGGAGATATTTCTGTTTATAGTTTACTCCCTAGTCAAGAAAAAGAATCATTCTATAGATGCATTTGTAGATAGCCATCATGGGGCTAGTTCCCTAGTCTCACCCAATTAATTGGTCCCACCATCCCATTTGTTTTAATTTTTTAATGTTATTGTTTCCATTTTAATGTGTTTTAAACATATGGAATATTATTGTTTAATTTTCTTTTTTATTCCTAACACTATGTTTGGTTCAATATTACACTGCCACACTTACCATATTGTCACATTGTAATTATCACACTATTACCGCCACACTGTCATCCATCGCATCCAACATCTAGCCACCAGGGTAGCTTCCTAATATATGTTGATTTCCTTTCTTATTTATTTCCTTTTGTTATTATTTTTAGACAGAATTCCTAGCATGTGGGATCATATATATATATAGACAACCTTTATTCATATTAGGGTGATCAGACATTCAAAAGAAATTCTCTCCTAATGTATTATTCCTTCATCGTGTGACTCACAATAGTTTTCTTTCATCAGCATCACTTTCAATCACACATTTTTACTTTGCCAATTGAATTAATAGTCTTTTTTGTAGACGTAGGGAGTGTAAATATGGAAGGAGTACGTAGGGCATGTGGTCGACTGGCCGGTCGGTACTTACATAAATATTCTTGATTGTTGACAGAAAACAAATGTTATTAATAATGTTTTCCCATGCATGAACACAATCATTATTGGTTAATTAATTCTTAAGCATAAAATCCTTACCACTCTTTGGTTATGATGATGGTTTGTTTTTGTTTTGTGTTTCTTTACTTTTACTTTGGTTCAATACGATCGGAAAAGTAAATTGAATAGGGAAAAAAGATAGATAGACGTCGTACGACTGAGGCATGCATGAAAAATTATCGCTAGTATTAATTAGCTATACGTAATAATAATACTAATAATGACAGTAAATAAAAGCAAAAGAAATTCGTGATGATGGGCTTGAGTGCCTCATAAAAGTTGTCCTTTACTAATTACCTGGTACTCTATTCTTAAATGCATGGGAGCAACCATCAAACTTTAATTAATTCTCACTATCCCAAAAAATATACTCCCTCCGTCCCTAGATATTTGTCACACTTCTATAATCGAGGTAAAATAGATTAAAAGTACGTGCTAATATAATCATGATCGTATCGGATTTTTGTGTTTTTATTCTTGAAATAAGAGTTAAAATACATATTTACAGTGTCAATCATGATCATATGCATTACTAAAAAATATTGTGAAATTTAATTTCATGTATAGTGCATGTCACATTAACACAATGCGAACTCTTGTTTTTCGAGATAAAAATATGAAACTCATATTTTGATATTTTTTCTATTTTTACTCCTATTTATGGTAATTTCTTAAAAAAGAATTTCAAAGTTACAGAGTACTCTTTATTATTTACTCTTTCATTCCACAAAATATTTTAACTTTCTCATCTTATCAGTCTCATAAAATATTTTAATTTCTCCAAAATGGACTAAAATACCCCTCTTTAACCTTATATATTTTTCCACATCTCATCACTCACATCTCGTCTCGCTTTTTGTTTTTTAAAAACTCATTCACATTATTCTTAACTATTTATCGATGTGAAACTTCACTTTTAAAAAGAAATCCTAAGGCATTTGTGGAAGTTCAAACACCGAAATATATCTCCCTTCAATCATCCAAATGTCAAAACTGGAAAACTTTTACGCGACAGAACGAGTATATGATTAATACATCAAAAATATATCAAAATAGAAGTTTCATGTTTTTATTCTCAGAGTATGAGTTAAAATGCATATACAATGTTAATGTACGTAGTATATTACTAAAAAGTATCGTGAAATATCCATACACAGTGCAATATTATCACACACATTATTCACATTACAAACTCTTATTTTGAAGATAAAAGCATAGATCTCATATTTTGATAATTTCTCTATGTTTTACAAGAATTTCTATTTAGGATGATTTATTTTGGTTTTTGATATATACAAGTGCCCCCATAGATTACTAGCTCATTAATTTGGCTTTCCATATACTGCATTTATTCCCCATGTCTATTATTTACAAGACCATAAAGCAGAGATTTTGCTTTGCTTTTTCAAAGCTTGAGACCAAAGAAAAAATATACTGCACTTATCAATTAAAAGATGAAACGTTCCTAGCTCACTTGTGTGTGATCGAATCAACTGAAACAAAGTGTGAAGAAGATGAGCATCCCTAACTTAAGATGAGAGAAAATTTTATTTTTGGCATGAGTTTCGATTCAATCTTTTGGGTTGGAATTTAATAATTCGATATTGGAAGAAAGTGAACGGAGTTAGGAAAAGTTAATTTGAAGAAGTTGGAAAATTTTAAATGTTAAAAAGTCACTCAATTAAATTATCACTTAAATATATACGTAAGAAAACTCTAAACTTAGATAAAAAGAATTAATCATTGTTTGTATTTGATGTGTTATGTTATAAATTTGGTTATATAATAATAAATGATCGTAGTACGTTTTTAAGTCGTTGTTGAAAGAAACTAGAAAAAGTTAAAAAAAACTAGAAAGCCTTAGAAAAAGTTAGAAATTAATTTTTTCAACTCAAAAGAACAAAGTAAAATTTGTACTAAATAAGACTAAAACATAATGACTTTCTTAATGTAGGACTTAAACTTTTTTATTCCCTAAATAGGACTTAATAATGTCTTAGTGGGAGGAATAATGACCAGTATTGATGAACATTTACTTGAATAATGACTCAGTGATAATGACCAAATGTCTTACATTGGGAAATAAAAACATATTGTCCTATATTGGAAAAGTCATTATATTTTAGTCCTATTTAGGTAAATTTTAGTCTTGCCGGATTAATATCTCCTAAACCCGAGAGATATATCCAAACACCCCACTTTAGAGAGATTCCAATTTGATTAACTGATTTACTCCCTCCATTCTCAAAAACACTTCCTCTTTTATTTTTTCCACTTCTAACAAAACAATTTCCCTTTCTATTAAAAAACCACTTTTACCCTTACTTTTTCATACCCTACTTATCACATAATATTTTTTTTCTAATAATCTATCCATCACATTTTACTTTTACTCATCACATTGGGGACAAAATTGGAAATTAATTATAATTTAACATTTCCTTATTTTTTTCTCCCAAATTAAAATGGGAAGTCTTTTTGCAAAGGGAGGGAGTATTAATTTTATTTTTAGTTTTACAAGAGTTTGGCCAACATCTAATTAGTACACGACCCAAAAGAACTAACATTAAAACGGATTGGTTTTCCCCATTGGAAAAGGTGAAAGCTTGTTGGGTAGAGAGACACAAGGAAACAGAATGGGCTCCAAAGTCACAAAGCTAAAAGCGCCGACACGACAGTCTGCGTGCCCCGTGGCATTCAACTCCATTCTCAACTTTTGTTCTGATCAGATTTAACTAGATTTGATCTGATTAGATTTAATCTGATCTGATCTTTGATTAAAATTAGTACGATTTGATTTGATTGGATTTGATGTGATCTAATTAGATCTCATGGGTGGTTCGGAGGGTGTGCAAAGTGGCCAACCGCGCAGGACCCATAAAATTTTAGGGCCCTATATTTTTAAATTTGTTAATACTGTAATTTTAAAGCAAAACTATTTGAAAAAATAAAATATGGCCCAAAATGTAAAATTTGGACTGGGCCAATTTTGTTTTTTCATTTTTTAGGGCCTGCCATGTTAGATCTGGTCTGATAACAAAAGTACAGAAATTAAAGCAAATTAAATGGAGAGAGAGTGTCCTATAATATTATCGCCTTAACATTATGTTTGGTTCAAGAAATTTGGAAGGAAAAGAAAAAAATGGTTTTTTCTCAGTTTTCTCACCAAAATGAAAGGGATTTGGTTTTCTTTCCTCTTAGTACATTTTTCCTTTTCATTTTTTTTCTTCCACTTTTATTTTCTTTTTCTTTCTAACCAAATAAGAAAAATATTTTCCTTCTCATTTTTTTTCCTTTCCCTCTCAAATTTCTTGAACCAAACATAGTGTAAATGTTATGTGCCGAGTAAAAAGTACTCGGGAGAGGTATAACTGGATAAGACAATAAGACAATTTTTATTTTCCACTTTTATTTTCTTTTTCTTTCTAACCAAATAAGAAAAATATTTTCCTTCTCATTTTTTTTCCTTTCCCTCTCAAATTTCTTGAACCAAACATAGTGTAAATGTTATGTGCCGAGTAAAAAGTACTCGGGAGAGGTATAACTGGATAAGACAATAAGACAATTTTTATTTTCCACTTTTATTTTCTTTTTCTTTCTAACCAAATAAGAAAAATATTTTCCTTCTCATTTTTTTTTCCTTTCCCTCTCAAATTTCTTGAACCAAACATAGTGTAAATGTTATGTGCCGAGTAAAAAGTACTCGGGAGAGGTATAACTGGATAAGACAATAAGACAATTGAGCCGAACCACATTAAATTATTCATGATTTCGACTCATGGATGGTAATCAAGCATGGAAACACTACCCCTGCAAATATTGTTGATGGAATTCGTGTTCCCAAGTTGGAATCCGAATATGATGATCAAGACAATAACAATGTCATGCAAAATGCCAAAGCCATCAACTATCTTTATTGTGCAGTCAACTCTGATGATTATAGGAAGATATCAAGATGCAAATCCGCCAATGAGATGTGGACTAAACTCGAAGTCACTTATGAAGGTACATCTCAAGTTAAAGATGCTAAAGTTGATATCTTATTGCATGAATATTAATTATTCTCAATGAAGGAGAATGAAAGCATTGATAGTTATTTTGAGAGATTCTCTACAATCATCAACAATCTTGACATGCTCGGAAAGTATTACACCGATCATGAGCTTTTCTGGAAAATTCTGCGTTGTATGACTCCTGAGTGGAAATCCAAGGTGAACGCCATAACTGAAGGAAGAGACTACAATGTCTTAACTTATGATACTCTTCGTGGGAAACTACTCACATATGAAACTACTACTCCTCATCTATGTGGTGAAGACAAGAGGAGGAAATCTATAGCTTTGAAAGCCACCAAGGAAGTTGTAGAGGAAAATGAAGAAGATGATGATGAATCACTAAATTCAGAAGATAATCCCGAACTTGCACTTGTCATCAAACGCTTCAACAAGTTTATCAAGAAAAGCTTCAAGCCAAGGAGAGACAATGGCAAGAAAGCTACACCACCTAAATGCTATGAATGTGGTGAGATAGGGCACATCAAGCCTTATTGTCCTAAGTTGAAGCAAGGGAAGGACAGGAAGTTCAAGAAGCAAAAAGCATACATCTCATGGGAGAATGATCATTCATCTTCCGAAACAAGTGATGAGGATGAAGAAACGGCAAATCTTTGTCTAATGGCTACCGAGGAAGAGGTATCTTCTAATTCTTTTTCAACTCCTTTTTCATTTTTTTTCTTCCACTTTTATTTTCTTTTTCTTTCTAACAAAATAAGAAAAATATTTTCCTTCTCATTTTTTTTCCTTTCCCTCTCAAATTTCTTGAACCAAACATAGTGTAAATGTTATGTGCCGAGTAAAAAGTACTCGGGAGAGGTATAACTGGATAAGACAATAAGACAATTTTTATTTTCCACTTTTATTTTCTTTTTCTTTCTAACCAAATAAGAAAAATATTTTCCTTCTCATTTTTT